CGTCTCGAACTTCCCGGCAAAGTACTCGCCCCGTTACCTCGAAAGAACGCAAAAGATGGGCTTCTACAGTCAAGTGTTGATGACGATGATGTAAGCTCTATCTCGTCGGGATCTACCCAAGGGCCACCTCCTCCTGAACCTGAGAATAGTGGCGGTGGTGGTCTGCGCAGCTATATCTTTGGTAGTGGACACAAGAAAAACGCCTCACAAACATCGCTAGGAAGACGCTCGCCAAGGGCTTCGACGGACTACTCGGCGTACAAGGCCCCTCGGAAACTATACAGGGAAGAGCAACGTGTTTCTCTTCGTGCCTTCCTCCGATCGTTTCTACACAATGAGCGCATTGCCCAGTCGAGTGCCATGGCCGAATTTCTGACACGCGATCCCATAGAGGTCAACGAGGAGGAGATGGAAGACATTCAAAGGCGAGAAGAGATGGACAAAAAGCGCATAGAAGAGCAAAGGCAGTTCTACGAAGTTGCGCGCAAGCGAGCAGCGGAGCTTGATATCCACATGGAGAAGTTCAGGAGAGAGATTGTAGAAGCCAATGGACTCTCCCACCTGTTCCAGGAGATCAGGGTCAAGAACACGATCGCAGAGCTCAAGCCAGAGTACCAAAAGTTCGCAGAGTGGTTACGGATAGAAGTGGCTGCTACCATCTACCATTTGTTCCTAGCGGAAGACAACTCCCCCGAGCTATTTGCTCAAGCGAAGCGCATACACTCTCTCGTTCCATATGGTGTCCTCAAGAACGTCATTAGGATAGCCAACCCTGCCGCAGTCATGAGTGGAGTCCTGGATCTGTTCCTTGCCCAACCGTTCGGTGCTCGATCATTACTTCAACGTATATTTGGTATGGCCATCAATGATGGTGTCAACTCTGTGCAGAAGACGATTGATACACTCGGTTCTACCAGGATCAAGGATGACGTGCTTTGCGACAAGATCAAAGCATACGTACAAGCAGACGAGGGCGTTAAGGAAGCGATACGACAGGAAGCTGCGCGCGATAACGTCGATGTGGTGGTGACTATACTACGTTCCGAGTTTTTCCAACCAGAGTTATCTTCGCAACAGGTGGAGAAGGTTTTCAATGCCTACGTTGCATGGAACAACGCGGTCGAAAATGTGAGATCGCGCCGCCTCAGTAGAACAGCTAGCAGCCGCAGCAATGTCAGTACAGCAACTAACGCGACCGGCCAGGTCGAAAAGGAGATGCGATCAGGCGCTGAGCTCTTCGCGCACCTGAAACAGTACTTGAAGCTCTGCCTAAGACAAAGAGACAAGTTGATGATGTTACAAATCATCGAAGAGGTAAGCTGGAAAGGAGAGCGATATCTGGAACGAATGACTGACGTTTCTCTAGCCCACGACTCTCCAACTCTTCCGAGATCTATTCACCATTTTCTACGAGCCGCTTGTCCGTGTCTACAAGTCCGCGAACGTATACAACAGTATTACTGATTTTGCCATGTTCGCCGATGACACCATTAAGACAATTGAAGCTTGCCAACGGCAAGAAGTTTCTGCAGACCCCAATCAAACCGTGCAAGCTTTTATTGATCTGTGCGCTCGTCACGAGGGTAACTTCTACAAGTTCGTTCACGAGGTCCACAAACATGACAATGGTCTTTTTGACCAGCTCATGGGCTGGTTAGAGGGTATATTGGATTTCCTACGTCATGGGCCTGGAAGTGGCGGTAAGCTCGACATGAATGCACTCTTCCAGGGTGGTATGGATTCAAACTTGATCGACAAGAACAAGGCGATTCGCGAGATCAACAGTCTCATCAAGTGGCAAATGGCGCGGAAGAAGTGGCATTCAGACAAGACCAGACAGAAGATGGCGAGTGGTGGTGACGATCCTGACCCGCTTATGGGCGGTATTGCTGGCTTCAAGTCGAGTGACTTTGGACTCAATGCGGTACGTTTCTTACTCTGACAACATCGTATTCATGTACTGATGTGGATACAGATGGATCTCCAAGACCTTGAACTCGATGATGATGGTAGCGACTCGACCGACTCAGAAGACATGGACGACACAGATGTAGCAGATCCAATCGAAGCCGAGCGCAAGAGCCGAGCGCGCGCTGCTGAGAAGCTTAGGAGAAAGGCTGGCGAACCCAAAAAGCCGGCGATCGTGGAGCTGTACAAGCTCAGCGAGGGTTTCAACAGCATGCTCAGGAACGTTCTCGCTTCATAGGTTATTTATATGCTTCTGTGGTTGCAGAGCGCCGATCAGATCGCCCTCGAACAGCGTTATGATAGAGCACTCTGGTCACCGCTTCCAAGACCTAATGAAATCATTTCGAGCCACTGTGCAGTTATGTTGAAAACATTCTCCCATATGTGCTAATCAGGTCCTGGTGTTGGCGGCACAATGCACCCACGTGCTCGGAATGCGCACCTACCAGAAGCACGCTAGCGCGGCGCAGCGCTCGGAGCTAGTGTTCGGTCGCAAGATGCTGTTAGCTGTCCTTTTAGTTTCAGCCGGAGCGTTGCCGCGTCCACGCGTTGAACTTGCTCACCATTTCCCTTCTTCGTACAATGATAGTGCGGCTTTGGCACGAATTGTGCTAACATTCATTCATTCACTCTCTTCGTTGCCCAGAAGCAACGCCAATTGCGTTTGCAGTACGCGTGAACTTGGTTCCACGTTCCAGGCACGAGCTCCTACCATATCCCGAACGACTTTCGGTTGCAACCCCCGCCGTCTTACCTTGAGACTCCCTTTCTATCGCAGAGCACGCTGGTAGAACGTACAATTCGTCGTAGCAATACCCCACAATCTCAACTACTTTACAGCGGTAGCCCGTCAACATGCCCGCGAAATCGCGATTCACGAGGCTCGATGCCTTTACCAAGACGGTCGAAGATGCGCGCGTGCGCACAACATCCGGTGGGGTTGTTACCATAGTCAGCTTGTTGGTTGTCTTTTGGTTAACGTGGGGCGAGTGGGCCGATTACAGAAGAGTAGCGGTACGGCCAGAATTGGTGGTCGATAAGGGCAGAGGCGAACGCATGGAGATCGCCCTGAACGTAACGTTTCCAAGAGTGCCATGCGAACTACTCACTCTCGATGTCATGGATGTATCTGGCGAGTTGCAAATGGGCGTCACGCACGGTATCAACAAGGTTCGACTAAGTCCTGAGAAGGAGGGTAGCAAAGTTATCGACATCAAGGCTTTGGATCTGTAAGTCTATAGAGTGCTTTGGATAGAGGAGCATGTCCAAGAAGCAACAGAGTGCTGATAGTGACTCCAGGCACGCTGACGAAGCGTCACATCTGGCCCCCGACTACTGCGGCGAATGTTACGGCGCCCCTTCCCCCACCAACGCAATCAAACCTGGCTGTTGCAACACCTGCGACGAAGTCCGCGATGCTTATGCCTCGATCTCATGGTCCTTTGGCCGTGGAGAGGGAGTCGAACAATGCGAGAGAGAGCACTACGCCGAACATCTCGATCAACAACGCCAGGAAGGATGTCGTCTTGAGGGCAGTATCCGTGTCAACAAGGTCGTCGGAAACTTCCACATTGCTCCTGGAAAGTCCTTCTCCAACGGCAACCTGCACGTCCACGATCTCGAGAACTACTTCAAGGATGAGTACGCGCACACCTTTACCCATCGGGTCCACCAGCTTCGCTTTGGCCCTCAGCTCAGCGATGTGGTCGTCCAAGACATGCAGAGGAAACACCAAGGCTCAGCCGCCGGTGGATGGTCGAACCACCACATCAATCCTCTCGATGACACCGAGCAGCACACCGACGAGAAGGCATACAACTACATGTACTTCATCAAGGTCGTGTCGACCGCTTACCTGCCTCTCGGCTGGGAGAAGGAGATTAGTCGTCCCGGTAAACAAGATGAGCTGCTCGGCGCCACGATTGATGCTACATATAAGGGCAGTATTGAGACGCACCAGTACTCTGTTACCAGTCATCATAGGAGTCTCCAGGGTGGTACTGATGAGAAGGAGGGTCACAAGGAGAGAATCCACGCCAGGGGAGGTATTCCCGGCGTTTTCTTCTCTTACGTGAGTTTTGCGGTTCCCTTCCCTTGACCCCTGAATCTGATCACTAATATTTGCCGCAGGACATTTCACCCATGAAGGTAATAAACCGCGAAGTCCGCGAGAAGACTTTCTCTGGCTTCCTCGTCGGTCTCTGCGCCGTAATTGGTGGTACTCTCACCGTCGCTGCAGCCGTGGACCGGGCACTGTATGAGGGTGTGAACAGGATTAAGAAAATCCATTCACAGTAGATGGCTATTTTCCCCTCAAGGTCTTTCTATGGACCCTCTCATTGTTGCATTTACGCGCGTTCGTGTTCGGAGTTTTGGGCGTCGCAGGCTATCTCTGGAAAGACTTGACTCATCTTTACATGTCTGGTAGAGTGACGTGGGCGGCGTGGGTATGGAGAGTTGTAGAAGGATGGAAATTCTCCCCGAACAAACCTTGTATTATCTAGGTCGAATATCTGACAAGAAACGCCTATTTACGCGAACATCGCCTTCGGTCATACTATGAACCAGTCGTCTTGCCTTCTATCATATTACTTCTGCTATCACCTTCTGGTTAACGGTACCTAAATGCCTTTGTTTTAAGAACTATGGAGTGTGGTATGTAGCGAGTCCAGTGCTGATCAGAGTGAGTTTCTTCAGGCTGTCATCACAGTGGCTGCCTAGTTGCCTTGCTGCCTAGCTACGCTACAAAGGGCGAAAGTGTGAGACCGCTGTTGTGTGGTTCCAGAGTCAAGCAACCAATGATCAGACAGAGGTTATCTGCGCAAAATAATAGGTGTAGGTAAAGACACGACAACAGTAAACCGCAGTCACGATCCACGGAACCTTCGACGTCAGACCAATGACGATTGCCAGAGGGCAAGAAAACGTGGCTTGGCGGCGCACGGACCCTCGATCTTTATAGACGGTGTCAGCTTCTCGGCCTTGCTCACTTACACTTCTACCACAGCACAACCAACGTACTCCGATTAAGAATGAACGATCAACCAAGAGGCGGACGGGGGCGGGGCCGGGGTCGAGGACGCGGGAACTGGAGCGTTTCTTTCACACCACAAAACCACGATGACGATCAGATGATGCTTGATGGTGACTCCTCACGTGGACGAGGCAGAGGAAGGGGACGAGGAAGAGGAGGATTCAGGGGCGGTCCAAACAATTTCCAGCATGAAAACCGTTCACGAGAACCGCTAGTCGACAAAGACATGCTTGCAAAGCTGAAATCGAATCCATCCTACGCGCTTATGGAAGGTTTCCTCGGACGACGTTACGATGCAGCCAACAAATTACTAAACCTCTCGACTATTGCTGGAGATCAAGAGATCCTCCAATCTGGCATGTTTGCCTCAGAAGGTGCACAGAAGAAGTTCTTCCCTGCCCTCATGATCGTTTGCGATGCCATTCTTGAGACGCTAGAAGCAAAAGAGCAAGCAATCCACAGCGTCACACTCGCCGGCAATAACCTCCAAAATACACACGCTGTTTACCAACTCTGCAATCATTTCCGCCACATCCAGAACCTTGATCTCAGCAACAACGCTTTTGCGACGCTGGACGCGCTAAAGCCTTGGAAAGGCCGCTTCAGGAACGTCGAACACCTCATTGTCGATCCGTTCCCAACACCCAACTGGGAGGATGAGATCATCTCTTGGTTTCCTAAACTCAAAATTTTGAATGGCAATCAGGTTCGTCCTGACGCAGCAGTGGCAAACAACAATGCAGCAAACGCACAGCAAATACCATCATCCACCACACCAACACCTATACCAACGACTATCGACCCGGAGCAGCAAAGGAAAGAAGAGATGATCCTCTATGTTCAGCGCGAAACCAACCTCAAGCGCGACTACGCCATTCAATGTCTGGAGGCTGGCCAGTGGAACATCGAGCAAGCAGGTGCTCTCTTCGCACAAAGTCGAGAGTCTTTGCCAGCTGAAGCGTACAACTAGACGTTTGCGGCATCAGACACCTAGCAACGGGAATCCCGGGAGCAGGGACATGGACGTATGCATGGCAGAGAGCGGGTTTTTCAAATATGCGCAGACACTCTCTGGCTAGCACCCAGAAATTACTACAAGGAGCGGGACTTTTCTTTCACTGTACGGAGCGAGGCAAAGAAAATGATTCAGGGCGGGGCATAGCACGGCGTTGATTCTTTTGTATATGGAGCATGATGCGGTACATATACCCACGTAGCAGAAGCACGAGTATCGTCTATATAGAATGACAATGTCAAAAACCATCTTCTACTAAGCTCTCTCACATTTATGACGGTAATGAGCTTGAACGCGAATGCTAACCATGCAACAGCATCTTAGGCATCCATCAATAGACTGCGCACCTGCATCACGATGCATGCAAATGATAAAACTAGTTTTTGGACGCGAAAAACACACTCTAGGCCATCAGCCGAGTGCAAGTAGATATCATCTCTATGTACTGACAATATATATATACTGAAAGAAAGCCGCATTACCACTACCGAAAGACCACAAAGTTATCTAGTGACTCTTTCTCTGCGCATTAGCCAACGCACTGTTGAGCGCAGCCGTTACGTCGACATGGAACAGCGGTCTGTTCAGCCCTTGAACAACCGCTATCCGGCCCCTCTGTCTAGCATCACCAGCCTCTACATGTCCGTACGCCTTGCTGTGTTCCAACTGCTTTGTTATGCTACCAGTCTCCGAACTGTCACCCGATTCTGGATGTGCTGCCTCGATATCGTGACTTCGTACTTGCGATAGTGCGCGTTGAGCGAGGAGGTTCTCGCGTGCTTCTGCTTGCGCAGCAGCCGAGTCTGAACCGCCGATCTCGGCGACACTGAAGATGGGTTTCCAGCGGTGCGTTATGCCGCTGTCAGGCGTCTCGGGGGTGTAGTAACCGAAACCCGCTGCAGCAAGAGAGCGCTTGGTCCACCGGTTGTTGATGTTGCAGAAATGCCAATCAACTGTGTCTGGAGCCGCATACTTGTCAAGCTGATTCCTTACATCAATCAGGTTCTGGATTGAAGTAAGATCGACGTTGTTGACAGATGAGAAATCGAGGATAATGGCTTTCAGCGTAGGCCGATCGTCTTGTACTTGAGCCTCCTTTCCACGAGGGCCAGGGTCGTTCCATGGGCGGTCGCCGGGTCTGTTGTACGTCGCTTGGTTTGTACGACGCGTCTTCGCAAATATGATGTCGGTGAGTTGGTCGAGGTAGTGGTTTGCGTTTGGATAATTGAAGCCTTCGCTAAATCGGTAGATAAAGATACCTGGGTAAGGATCCTCCAGCTGGATGCTTGGATTGGATCCATCCTTGTGATCAATAGGCAAGAAAACTTCACGGATGGAGTGCTCTCCCTCTGCTGGCTTCTGCTTGAAACCGGGCGATGGCATCTTGTCTTCCTCATGCGGGTCCAACAGATGGTCGCCGATAACGGAGTGAATCTTGGCTCTGCCCATAAAACGACCCTTGGCTTTGAACAGACGGAAAGCGAACATGCCTGCCGATACGGACACTGTAACGTAGATACCGTTTTCGATGCTGGAAAAGACTGTAACCAGAACACCAATGAAGAAAATGATGACCTCAAGTGGTGAGATCCTCCAGAATTGGTACACGGTGTTTGGTGGTGTGATCAAGTCGAGCACTGCGTGGATAATGACTGCCGATAGTGCGGCGTTGGGAATGTACCAAAACATAGCCGGAAGTGCATAGATAGCGAGAAGCACTACGATGGCCGTAATGACACCTGCGAAAGGCGTGCGAACTCCAGCCTTGGACTTGATGGCAGTGCGAGAGAAAGAACCAGTCGCGGGGTATGCTCCTAAGAAGGGACCCAAGCAGTTGGACACGCCGATGGCCACGAGCTCTTGCGATGGGTTGATGACGTAGTTGTTCACTCGTCCGAACGACTTGGCAATGGAGATGTGCTCGATGAGGAGGACGATGACAGTAGACGGTAATTCGGTGGCGAACGACTTGATTATGGGAATTGTGACCTTGGGTACGCGAGCGTGTTGGAATCCTGAAGTTGTAAGTAATGGATCTGATCAAGATGAAGAAGCATCTTACCTCGCGGAACAGTTCCAAGAGTGGTAATAATTGGCTTGGTTCCGTTGGCTTTGTGCTCTCGGTTTGCTAGGTAACTGAACAGAATGTACAGCAAAATAACAAACACCGTTCGCAGAGTGTTGATGAAGAAGAACAGCTTCGCACGGGTAGGGAATCGCTTTGCGAGCTGGCCGCATGTAAAACGGATCGCATAGAGAAGGAAGAGGCAAGTCAAGCCGAATGATGCGTTAAGGTTAGTTCGTCCAAGGTACTTGAGCGAGTTGATCACCACTTTGTATGTGGGATCCCTAGTCGAGAAACCTGTGATACCCATCATGGCTGGAAACTGTCCAGCAGCGATACTGAGCGCAGAGCCAGTCATGAACGCTGAGATTGCAGGCAATGAGATGAGATCCACAATCCAGCCCATACGGACAAGACCCAAGAAGAGAACGATTGATCCGGCGATGATGGCCAACGAGGATGCGATCATGTCTCGTGAGATATCCTGACCGGCTAACTTCTCTTCCGCTGACAGCACAACACCGCCAGTGACTGTGGATAGAACTGCGACGGGTCCGATGGTGATGTCTTTCGAGGTAGCGAAGAACCAGTAGATGAGTACGCCCATAAATGAAGAGTACAATCCGAATTCGACAGGAAGCTCAGCAAGCTTTGCGTAGGCCATACCTTGGGGAACGACAACAGCACCCACGGTGATACCTAGCGAAAGTTAGTAGCCATACAAAATAATCCAACTATAGCTTGACATACCAGCGACAAGGTCACCTATTAACCATTGTACGTTGTAGCGACCTATCCAATGGAGGAACGGAAACAAGCTGTAGCAATATTCTCTGAACTCGGGTCCACTGGGAAGAGTGTCTTGAATCCATTCTTTCGCAGTAGGTTCATCCTCAACATATGTATCTGCGGAGTCGATGGTGAAAACACTTTCGCCTCGTGTTACGCGCTCTGAGCCAGTTTCGTTCCGGTAGTGCAGGTCGATGCCTAAGACCTTTGCCAGGCTGTGGCCGACTTTATTGGCTGTAGAAGCCATCGTTGGGGTAGGAGTTCTTCAACGCGTTCGAACAAAAATGCACTGGTTCAGCACTTGGAGGGCCACGTGCTTGAAATCCAGTACCAAGTTTGACAAGGCCGAATAAGCTTCAGAAGCAAGGACAAGAGTTGCCAGGCGTCTGAAAGTTTATCTATGAGGACCAACGGGCTGGGAGGCGTGCACAAGCACAGCACAAGCAATTGATGGCTTGGAGCGAAACGCACGCGGTCTCTTCAGAGCGAATAGCAGTGTCGCGATGCCGGTCTGGGCTGCAGGATCGGCCCTGTGAGCTTCGAAGTCGAGATAGCTTGGGAAGCTTGAGTGTACTGGATGTGGGAAGGACCGAAGCCTTCAAGACGCCTCCGGATTGCTTGACCTGGCGGAAAATTGCGTGATCGCTTCCGTTACTGGATCGGAATTGGTTTTGAAGGGATCCGATGTAGGCTACTGGTCGACGCGCAGTTGGGGAGATGTCGAGGCAATAAGGCCACTGCTACGGTAGAGGGCTTGAGGTAGGTAGGGTGTATTTCCAAGCAACGCCCGGGTGGAGGGTTCTGACAAGTGACATAATGCTGCCCTGATATGCCGATCAGATCTAACGAAGTTCAAGCGACTGTGACGCTTTTCGCCGCGGTACCGGCTTCAATCTGATGGCAGATGGGTCGAGCTTGCAAGGGTATGCGGGTGCGGCGACAGGGATGGCGCGCGAAGGATGTGATGGTCGCTCACGGTTCGCCCTAGTGCCCAATAAAAAAGGTATGGCCTGAATTGCGTGCTCGGGAGCAAAGATGTCGACTTCGGTGTGCGAGCACGCCAAGTGAGCTTGGTGAATGGTTGAGCTGTGGCATAATTGGCACAAACGGGATCCTTCTAGAGCATTCGTGATTACAACCTCATTTGACGTTCTGCTATTTGCAATACTGCTGAGCACAGCAGCCAGCTCGACGCCTCTTTACATTACGTGCGTCAATATCTTTGCACGTAGTGTCCTCCAATCAAAAGAGGCGGGATTTTCTAAATTCGGGACGTCTTTGTTGAGCGCATTCATGATGTCGAAAAGTCAGTTCTGACGTCATGCTCTGGGGAAAGCCGGCTGTGCGGATACGTTGAGACGGCACTTGGATTCGACGGGAACTTGCATCCAATCCAGGGCAACCGTTTCTGAACACCACAAAGCGCCCGTAATAGATCCGATACTAGATCCGCTGCGTAGGAGAAGTTTGTGGGTTCAATTAAGGTTCTTTGCAGGATGGCAGCCGCACGTGGGGAAAACTGGTCTTTACTAAGCGAGCAGGCGCCATTCAACGTGGGGTCCTCGTCCTTTTAGGAAAGGAAGTTACAAGAGGTGCATACCGCCATTGTCAATTCTACACGCCAACTAAGCACCATTGAATGGGTTTTCACAATACTTTGTGTCTGGATTTCAAGAGCGGGCGGCTAGCTTTGTTGCTCTAGTTGAGGCTCAATCCTTCCGTTGATACGGATAGGTTTCTTTCCACAGAAGGGCTGCAACTACATCAAGCTAGTCTCGCGCGTTCGGCGTCGTCACTCCCCGACTTCCCCTCTTGGCTGACCCTCAGTCCTACGTATTCGCATCCACACGGTTGCCCACCTTAAAGATTTGCACGACACGATACCTCCACCAAGAGTATCCAGTGCTGAGTCGAGTCGGATCAATCCGTCCGTCCAATCTAGGCGAACGCTACAATGTTGTAACGCGTGTAGACGTGCCCGCTTGAGACCCGCTTCTACATGGGTCTACTATGTACAACGTCTATCAAAAAGGATCGCTCCCAGCAATTTTCTGCCAGGGTTGGCCGAGTAAACAGCACCGAGATCTATTTTTCGCCTGCTGCAACAGAGCGAAACAGGAATATGCCATTTCTGGACCGATGATCATTAACAAGAAAAATGCATTGTTATTAGTTAACTACATTTCCTAATCATATGCTGTTGTAGACCGCAGCACAGTAGAAGACTTATGATCTCGGCGTTCTTAGTTTCTTCTACTGCTGTTGTTGTTGATAAAACAAGGAAGTGCTTCAGTCTTTGCAAGTGGAACGGCATGCAGATGTCTCGAGAAATAAGAGGTAAAATCTGGACTGTTAAACTTATATACCTGGTTTTTCAACGAGCTCGTTGCTCTAGAAGACTCGAACTATTCCCTTCGATTTAAATGCATCATACACCTCAGCCAGCAGGCTAAGACTCAGTGACTCGCGTTGGTTGCAAAGTATACTGTAGTAATCAGCATCAGATCTTGCATCGTGTGGATATGTATTGGAGCGTATATTGCTTCACGTGTCGCTGCGTTTCTAGGATATGTGAAGTCACCAATCATAATCCCGATCTTGATTTGGTAAACAGTGATCGGTAGGTAGTGAATAGTAGAGGACTGGTGGTGTGTGAGGGAGTTTGCTTGAAGGCCAACGGGAGCTGTGAGCAGACAACGTTTATAAGATGAGGCAAGTATAGGTTCTACTTGACGAGAAAGTGGTGCGTAGGGGTCAAGGTGAGCCCTGGGTTACGATCAACCATAGAATTCGTCACAATCAAGGTACTGGGGGTATATGAACATCACGGCGACAATCACCAAGTATTTGATCGAATGCTCAAAAATGATGCCAAGAAAAAGAATTTTGTAGTCGACTGATATACGTCAACATCACGAAGTGGCAGCAAATGATTGATGCATCAATGCTGCTGTCTTCGTTACGAAACGATCCATTCAACAACGCCAGTACCAATGCGCGACACTCAGCAGTACCCACTCGCTGAAAGTCACTTTCACATCTAACCCCTCTTCCTAGCCTTCTTCGCCCGATCATAGGCATTCTTCTCCCTGCCCTCTTCACCCTGGATCTCTGCCACAAGCCTCCTGTACTTGGTCTCGTAAGCTTTGTCCTTCTCCTTCTTCTCCTTGAGCGTCTCTCTCGCAATGAAGTTGGCGTCCTTGCGCAACTCCCTGAGTGCACCTTTCCTCTCGCGCTTGTACTCCTTCTGCAGCTTCTTGGCCTCTGAGCGCTCCTTATCAGGGTCATAGTGGCGGTTGGGATCGAAGGATTCTTCGAATTTGGGAATACTGGATTTGATGGGTAGGGGACGGTGATGGTGTAGGAGAAGGGGTCGCCGTTTGGAGCGTGCAAGGGATATCCGGGCACGGAGGTTCTGGTAGGTAGACATCTGGTTTGCGGACTTGAGGGGTGCAAGTAGCGGGCTGAAGATCTCGATGAACGCGGATGAGGCACTCCAGAGTTCGGCGGCAGTGATGACGTTCTTGCTGTGCGCTGCCAGGAGAGCGGGCGTGGCGTGCTCTGATTTGAGGGCAAGTCCAGTGTAGCGTACAAACTCAGGAATATATCGCTTCGATAGTCTTTGGTATTGCAGACATAGCGCACCAACGAAAGCACCTGTTGCAACATCTGTAGTAGAAGCAGGCGAGGTAAGTCCCATCCAGCGAGCCATGAGGGTGACGGCGGGAGTAACGACCTGGTGGAAGTGATCAGAAGTGGGGAAGATGGATCCAATAGCAGAAAGTAGAGCCAGATCACCTGGTGTTGGGTCGTTCGAAACCTGAAGCTGCTTCAAATGTTCTCGGAATTTGGTAGCAATCTGAACCGGGTATGACCGCGACATGGAATGGATATGACGGATGATCGCTTCAATCACAGCCAGGGACACAGCTGGCGTCTGGTTTGATAGGTAGGAGACATGATCAATGAGCGCACAAGCGAAGTCGGCAAGCTTGTTCTTGTTGTCCGAATGCAGTCCAGCATGATAGAGCGCACGTATCCTCTGGATGACGGTGGAGGTATCGTTGGGGGTAACATCCTTGAAGACACTCAGTAACTCCTCATGAGTCCGCGGACATTTGTAAGTAAACGCCAACTTGGACGAAGGCTCAACACCGAGAGTAAGGACGCCGTTAACAGCCTTGGGTTGCTCTTTCCGCTCCGGCATGACGTGCTTCAAGAAGTCTGCGTCCTCCTCGTCCATGGCCATTGTGTCGTCGATTGCAGAGCCAGCATCAGACTCATCGTCGGACATATCGGCTTCTGAGTCGGTAGCAACAAGGTCATCGTCCATGATGAAGTCGTCCTCGTCTTCAACGCCGTCAGGTCTCAGTTGGCCTGGCGCTTTTAGTCCGAACTCGGCAGCATCATCTGGCAGGCTGTCGTCATCTTCGTCTTCATCAAGCTCCTCGACACCGTTTTTGCGTGGTTCTTCGTCATCGCTGACAGGCTCTCCGCGCATTCTCTTCATGCGCTTCTGCTCAAGTTCCTTCAAGCGATCTGCCTCTTCTCTAGCCTTCTCTTCTTCCGTCTTTGTTCGTTCTGTCGGCTTCGCTCGCGAATCTTGCATCAGTTGGCGCACACGTGTATCGTACTCTCTGTCCTTGTCTTGCTGTGTAGCTCCAGCTAGAAGTGCAGCGCGGTCGGCGTTCATGCCAAATTCGTTGACCTGAGGGTCCTTGGGCTTCTCAGGCTCGGGCTTCTTGTTGATGTGTCCTCGCAGAGCGGCCAACACGTCATTGAGGTCCTTGTCAAGCTCGTCTCGTAGCTCATCGTCGTCCTCTTTCTGTGCTTGACGCTCGTATTTATGCTGCTTCGATTTGGCCACGACCTCTTTCATGACCTCTGCCTTGCTTTTCTTCCTCTCTGGCTGATCCGCAGCCGCGTCACCATCCACGTCGCCGTCTTCATCGTCTCTCCGCCTCTTCTTCTTCAGGAAGCCATCTTCGCCGTCACTTGACCCAGCAATGCTTGCCGCATCATAGTCTTCCTCTCCAATCTCATCGTCAAAACGGAGAGACTGTCCACCGTGAGTGAGCTCAACCTCGTCAGCATCATCTTCAAGGTCAAACACATTCCCGCCCCTCTTGCGCTGTTGTTCCCTCTCAAAGCGCGCCATCTCACGGTCTTCCAGACTCATTGTCGGGTCATCTTCACCTATCCGCCTGTCGAGGATGCCTCCGACCTTGTTCTTGCGATGCATCTCTGGAAGCAGCGACTTCCTACGTGCCTCCTCGCCTGCGCTCTTGGTAACGCCGGGTCTACCGAGGATCTTCTTGGGAGCATTCTCGGCCTGCGCAGAGACATACTCATGCTTGTGGGGGCGCGCAAGGTGCTTGAACTCGAAAGGATTGAAAGATTCGCGAATCGAGGCGAGCGCAGAGGCTTTCCGTTCGTGGTGGTCGGCGTTCTTGGATTGCGACTTCTTCTGCTTCTTCGACTTTTGCGGGCCGGTGATGCCTTGTTCGCGGAGCGAGGCCTTTAGCCGCTTCAGCTGTGAGGGCGGCATGTCTGTGGCTATGTCGAGGCCCGGAGACCTGTGAGTAGGGTGTTCGGCGCTGAGAGAGCTCGTGGGCGACACGAGATGGTCGGCTTGAAATTATTTCCCAGACCAAGATTTCGGCATGGATGGCCCCTGTCTAGCGCCACATCCCTGCAGCCCGCTCCCCACTTTCACGCGCGACGGCCATCACGGCGCAAGTGCATTCACGACCGCAGCATGTCTTCAAGCCTCGTCGCCATATGCCTCACGCCATGACCAAATACACCTCGCTATGGCATCCAGCATCCCCGACCACTGGCTCTGGCTCGGCCTCGGTACAGACCCCTCTCACCATCGACCAACCCAGCCCCACTAACCCGTCTTCCAGGCGTCTTCACATTCATAGCCGTCCAGCAAGTCTCCCACGGCCTCCAAAACATGCGCACCCTCACCGAGATTCGAAACCCACAGAACATCCCGCAACAACGGCGTACCATCCCCTCCGGCCCGCCCACCCACCAAGAAGATGCCATCAAGACAAGTTCTCTCTTGACACTGGCGACAAGCCACAACAACGATATCCGCGCCTCCGCTACAAATATCCTCTGCACGCGATTTTACGCTTCCAAGTCCGCCAAAGACCTGCTCATCAAGGATCTGTACTGTGCGGATGGGGAGGTGTTGCATCGCGCGCAGTTGGCGTTCAATCTGTTAGGCGATATGGGTGTCTGGAGAGACGATTCTTTGTTGCCAAACCATGGGTTCAAGTGGGATGTCGTCCAGCCTAGAATGGGCGGTGGCTCTCAGGATGAGGTGAGGAGGAGACGAAGAGAGGCCATGGTGATAAGTGACGGGGACGGGCTGATTGGACGTGATGATGTTTACATGAGGGATCCGGAGAGGGAGGAAGAGCAAAGTGATGATGGTTTGTTCGTTTCCTCTTGAAGTTGCCGACTCGGGGACCGGATGCGGAACATGAATTATGATACCCCGATCGTGTTAAGATCATGAGCGTCTGATGTAAATCTATTGCTGCTTCAATGTTCTGCCCAACTGTAATGGCGCATATCACTCTCAACTTCGTCTATCGTCCGTCTTCACTCCGTCCAAATCCTCGGAACCCTCCCACATCCCTCCTGAAGAACTTGCCAATATTCTTCAAATTACTCTCCAGGTTCGCGCCTCCATCCGCACCTCCAGCCTGCTGCTGGCCCGGCGCAGGACTACCGAATCGATCAACACCATCCCTTGCGGCATTAACGAGCATGTTACCCAAGCCTGCTGCGTCGAATCTGCCCCCACCAAGACTCGGTGTTCCCATCGTGCCCATGACGCTTCCTGCCGTACTTCCAACGCTACCTGCAGCCTGGATCTGCAGTGGCGTAAGGAAGGGCGAGTTCTGCACGAGGTTTTCGTGGTTGGGCGATGCACGGAAGGCAGAGAAGAGGTCGAGAAGCTGAGTTTGCTCAGCCTTGCGGATACCCTTGAGATCAAGAATCTTGCGGAAGTTGGTGTCGGATTTGTCGGCAATATGGATAAGGTAGGCTTGCACGAGGGCTTCTGGCGGCGAAGGACGAACTTGCAACGTTTTGAGAAGAGGGTCGATCTTGGACATGGACTGATTTACGCGTTTGATGAAGCTTTGGCATAGTTAGTAGTGCGTCGGCGCAACTCGGAACCGACTTGAGTAACATACCTTGCCGGTGGTGCTGTACCAGGCTCCTCATTGAGGGTAGGGAGCTCCGTGAAACCCTTCTTCAGCACGTAGGAATCCAGCAGCATTTGCTCAGCCCCAACTTCGGAGATTGGCTTGCACTGCATTATGTTCGCAATGTACGTGGAAGCCATAAGATCGACAAGGTTGTCGCTGAAAGCTCGCGCATACTGCTGCTTGTGGAGATGCTTCAGGATCTCCCCAGATCTCTCCTTTACGTTACGCAAAAGTTCAGCCACATAACTACTTTGGTCGCCAACACTCTCGAGCTTTGCCCAAGGTGTGTTTCGCATCTCCCTCCAGCTAGGTTCGCACGCCATCTCGACTTTTCGAACGAGCATTCGGACTGTGGCACTAGCGATACCCATGAAGGCATCAGCCTGACTCTGCAAATCAACCTTTTCCTTAAAGTCCTCGTCTATGCGGCCTCTGATCTTCTCCTCCAGTTGGTTGCAGGTCATATAGCAATAGTCTGCAGTGTTGAGAATGAGGACAGCGTCTTCGACGGAAGGCCCTTGAGCTCCTGCTTTCTCGCTAAGAAAATAGTAGAGCACCTGTTGCCCGTACTGATCCAGGTACTTGGCAAAGGTCATGGATAGCTCCTGTAACCTCGTTCCAGTCGAAAGCTTAGCGCACTGTGCCAATGTCAAACGATAGAATTGGAACAGCTCTGTCGATGAGGGTATCACAGCTTGAGGGGAGAAATCCTCCTCTGGGTTTCGGAGGGGTTGTTGCCGGTACTTTGGTATGAGATTGGCGAGTTGCCTATAAAGTCAGTCTTGCAATGACCAGGTAAGTGTGCGTAACATACTTGTCTTGAGATTCGACCCAGAGGCTCATGTAGGGTTCAAAAGCCTCGGAGATGGCCTGACTAAAGCCATGCGGCCGGTCGTCCTTGGAGGCTACTGTGTCCATTGAGGAGCGAGACTGCACAGAGTAAGCATGTAGTTCGATATGATAGGCCGTCTTCACAAACCTCATTAGCGAACCGCCTTTCTAAACTGTGTTCAAAGTCAAGTGTCTCCTGCAAGCACGAGAGAAGCAGTTCGACATCCAAACTCTGCCCATCGCCTCTCCGCACAGACTTTTGTAATATGGACTTGAAGTCTTCACGGGTTCCTTCGCAGAACGAGTTGGCCAGCATCTCATTCACCCGCCAATAGGCCGGGAAGATGGAGGCATGTTCGACGTCGTATGTCTTCATCATCCGGTTGAACCAGCTGTATCTTCGTCCAATATTGTCTAATGATCCAGCCTGGTACCATTAGCGTGCTATCACCATGAGCGAACATGGGTGGCTCACTTCATCGTTGCCCCGGAAGACCTGGCGATACTCGCGCAGCTGCGTGTTGCAATACCAGTTGATGAGCCGGGTGCGAGCATGTTCTCCGAGCGCATCGATAACCAGACAGGCTTCCGCGAGCATGGCCTTTCGTGACGCCGTTTCCCCCTTGGCGAATGTCACCTCGAAATCCTCGCAGACCTGCTCTAGCAATTCGCCCTGCACGTCCGCCACATTGCGACTCAAGGTTGCAATCTGGTCTATAGAGCGATAACTCTTGAAGTGTGCCACAAGTTGTATGACAGCCTGCAACAGTTGTGCGCATTCCCTGTACTGTCGCGACTTGCTAAGACTCCGTAATTGTTCATAGGCCGTCGTCAACATCTGAAGTCGCTTCAACGCCGTCATAGAGAGCGTCAGGTTCTTCTTTGTGCTATCCAAACGCTTTATGTCTGCAGTCATCTCGGTGATGGTCTGTTCTGTCTGCATGGCCCGCTCCCGGACGCTCTCAATCTTTTTGAAGAGATCAGCCAGCTCTGCCTTTGCAGCCTGTATACGCTGGACGCTGTCGGCATCTGAGCTAGACTGGGAGGCGACAACGGCGGCAATGTCTTCGTCAAGGTCATCCTGATAGTTGCGAAGGGCGTCGGAGGTGGCAGAGACGGAGGAGAGTGTGGCGGGGTGGGAGAAGAGGGCGTTGAGATGGTCGATGGGATCGTAGTCAGCTGCATTGAGCGTCAGCGCCGGATCCATGCCTGTGATTGACCCTGGGACGGCGTACTAGATTCCAGCGAGGTGGAAGGTGCAGGCATATGGTTCGGCGGGAGTCCGCATCAATCGCATGCGCCCGCGGTACACGGTTGCAATCGTTGCGGCGGCGGGCAAGGCACGTTCAGGATACAAGGCGAAGAGAGGCACGTCTCGTGTTCTTTGGGAAGCAGTACGTGCGACGTGGTGTTATCGGCAATTCTGCGATCTTCTTCATGCTTCAACGAGCCAACATCCCACGCACCCCAGCCCTCAATCAAGGGTCTGGGGGCCCAAGCTCATCGCGCTAGAGTAGCTCTTGCGTAGGGCAACATCACCGTCGAACACACACGGAGCACAAACAGCAGCTTTCAGACACAACAGGACGCGTCAATATGTTTCGATGCTACGTAGTCTCAAGTTACAGCCACGTAGCTTCTATTGCGGGAACAGACCTAGGAAGCCATTATACACCAGACTGCGATCTTTCTGAGTGAGCGAGCTTGCGTCGCCTGTACCGGTCCAATAGAAGAGTCCACCTAGTCCGTTTTGTCGCACATAGTTGGCCTTCATTCTGACAGTTTGCGGGGTATCGTATGTGACTAGCCCTCCGTCACCCCCAATACAGTAGGCTGCGCCCAGCTGCTCGTCTACGTGCTCTTCCGCACCCGGACGGGGCAAGTCTCGGTACTCGAAGGTGCCCTCCTCTCCTGCTTGCCCGGAGAATGAGTGACCTATACCACGGGTTCCGGTGAAACTTCGGCCGTATGCTGGCACACCCATGACGATCTTGTGTCTTGGGACACCTTGCTGCATCATGTAGGAGACAGCTGAGTGGCAGGATATTGCGGCTTCGGGACTGTGCGGAATGTGTGGTGTGAATAGTTGAGCTTGATGACCACACTTTTTCACCCAAGGCCCGCTGTAGTCATAAGCCATGAGGTTGATCATGTCCAGATAATGCGAAGCATGCGCCAGGTTGATATGCTGAAGGGCCCATTCGCCTGCTGGAAGTGCTGAGGAGAGGGTGTATTGGGGCGCCGGCAAGTACTGACGGAGTGTGGCCAGAAGAGCAATGTAATCTGTGCCTTGGCTGGCATCTGCAGGGTGTTCCCAGTCGACTGTTGCCTTTTCAGTAAAAATATCGCCACTCTGGATCAATATACTGACTGTCGATGCCATCAATACCAAATTGTTGTACCAATGCCAATGATGTCTGAGCAAAACGCTCACGGCAGGCAGGGTCTCTAGCAACACCCGCGAAAGGCTCACTGCCTTTCCCACCGCCGCCAACAGATAACACAACCCGTAGTCGGGTATACTTTCGCTTCAACAGGGCGAAAGAGTTAAGACATCCTTTTGCTGCAGGAATGTCGTCAGTGCCTGGGACATCGATTTGAGCATCCGCCCATTCATCACTTAGCTGTAGAGTGAGTCAGTTAGGGAAGCTTCGATGCACCTGATGTACCTACATATACAGTTCCATCGTCTTTAACCCTATTGCCATGTTAGTCCATGTATTTAGTAACCATCTCCAGTGATTAGCGTACCAGGCAAAGGCGTAGAAGACATGCGAAATGACATCGTAGTTCAGCGATACAGGTGGCTGATCGCGATAGATGCGCCAGTTAGGATAGTAAACTCCGTTCCAATACATAGCTTGCAGCGGTGTGGAAAAGGTGGTGTCGTGACCAGGCGGGTTGAAGTAGTGTCGGCTCATTTTCGGTCGTCGTAAGCTATGGCTTAGCTGTGGCTAGCTTCCTGCACGTCAGAACACCCTGCAGGTAAAGGCCGGCAGCCGGATCGTAAAGGGTGAAGGCTGAACGGATATCGGAAGCTCTTTGTCGTGTTAGGGCTTGAGGTGTGGCCTTGGTGGTGAGGATCGGATAGGTGTGCATGTAATACAATGACAGGAGCTATATGTACCGATTATCTGTGCAACTTGGAAGATGGTTGAGGAAGGAAAGCGAATGAATGGCTTCAGGTAGTCGAGAATAATTCTGGAACACATCCTGCTTGTATGTAAATATAAATGGAAGGCTATCAATAGTGGCGCCAGAAGCCATCGGTGATGCAATGTCTTTGATGATCGCCTCAATGCCAAAGGACCGCGCAGCCATCCTAGAACGAACGAAGGCTCCATGCGTGACTTGCTATAGCGGCTCTACTACAGATTAGACGGTGAAGCCCAGTTTGGCAACTGATGAGCTACGGATTCACACTAAGGTTGTGCCACCAAGCATCATTGATCGTAGGAGGCAGGCCTGAGGTGCGAACGAAGCCGCAATTTCCTGAATATTCCGGCGTCGTGATGTGGACCCTAGTGCTTCAAGAGCAAACTGCTCGAATCCACCCGAAATGGTTCGACTCTACCCCAATGCAAGATTATGGTAACGCGAAGATTGTTAAAGCAAGATCATTGCTGAGCCGAAATAGCTTCTCAGTGGGTTGCAGAGTGACAGGTAGGATACTGACTGCTAATCACACGGCCAGGAACGTTCTTCCGGACATTGTGGGGAGGAGGCATCGCAAAATCGGCTAGAAAGATACCTAGGTAGTAGCCAAGAAGCATCAGACACCATGTTGCAGGAGTGGTGACCGAATGCAAAACCAGCCCCGCATGGGATGAAAATCCGGAAAAGATCATGGCTGACTGCGAACACGTCGATGAAGACGCTCACATGTTGCAAAGCGTATCGACGGGCCGTGAATAGTGAAGCAAACATGGAAGAGCGTCTCAACGCGTGTGGTTCCAGGGTTGCATCAGCTGTAAACATCGGTTCGACGGCACGTTGGAAATGCAAATGCAGTGGGTAGATCAGGGTAAGTCAAAATCAAGCGGGATGTAGCCGCCATGTAAGACGTTTCTGGCAAGGTGCAGTTGTGGATACGGGAGTAGACGGTGATCGCCGTGTCGAACAAAGAACCTTGGAAGTCCGCACCTTCTCTTAGCGTCCACGTGAACTCGCGTCCTTGGATCTTGGCAGTGATGCTGCGCATCTTCTAGCATTTGCGACGTCACATCAACAGTGTAGAGCCACAATTTAACTCTCTATACACATCGTGTAGCGCTCACTTCTAAAAGACGGCTGAAGCGTATCCGTCTACAACGCGCCACGATGGCCGAGGTTATGAACTCCGCCCCAACGCCAGCACCCGAACCGAAACCCGTAGAAAGCCAGCAACCACAATACACGTTCAAGTTCAGCGAATTTCTGCGACGCGAATATCGCTTTGGCCTTAGTCCTGATCGTCCGGTATGCAAGGCATACCTCCAGGGTCACTGCCCGGATGGCAATAGGTGCCCAAACAAACACAATGTCTCTTCATCCTACAACAAGTATGTGAATCTAGTGGTAAAGCATACACCACCTCTTAAGCTAACACGGCTCAGTCTAGTATGCAAGCATTGGTTGCGTGGCCTATGCAAGAAAGGCGAAACATGCGAGTTCCTTCACGAGTACAACCTACGACGAATGCCCGAGTGCTCCTACTACGCCCGGACACAAACGTGCTCCAACGGAGACGACTGTCTGTACCTACATATCGACCCCGAGGCGAAGCGCCCCTCATGCCCACACTACGATAGAGGCTTCTGTCCGCTTGGGCCATACTGCGCGCTCAAACACAACAAGAAGGAGAAGCTTTGTCCCTTCTACCTCTGCGGCTTCTGTCCCGAGGGTAAGAACTGCAAGTACGGTGCACACCCAAGGTTTCCTGCCGATCTCAAGAAGCCTGAGGTCCGTGTGGAAAAGAGCCCTGAGGAGCTTGAGGCCGAGCGAATAGAGCGCGAACGCGAGATGATGAGAAGAGAGGAGGAGGACCGTGAGCGTGACGAGAGGAACGGTCATCAAGGTGGCCGCGGTTTCAGGGGCAACTGGGACCGCAAGAAGCGTGGAAGAGGAAGGGGTAGAGGTGGCAGGGGACGAGGAGACTATTGAACGGCTAATCCTCTGCTCGTTGGAACTCCAGAATAATACCAGAACGCACTCGTTCTGTGCGGCGACTGAACATTGCACCGAGCTTGTGCTGGGTTCAAGCCAAAGAGTGAGAGAAACAGAAAGGATAATGATACCCCCAGGCTCAGTCCTGGTATTAAGCGCTGAGTAGTCGGGGCTTCGACATGAATGGTCCCCAGTGACATCGGTCTGACACCCGAGTTGGAATCCAAGAGGCAGATGTACACAGATGATTTTAGGATGATGGTCACAACGAGAAAGCACAGTAGGGTCAGGGCGTGAGCCGACATAACGGGTACGGTATAAAGTATTACTACTATATTATTCTTCATGACGACTGCTCGCGACAGGCTTGACAACCATTTTTGATCGACGCTAACCTCCTGTCAACGAACTTGATGAATGTGATAGCGTTTCATCGCTACACTACATGTGAACTACATCGAATCAGATCGTGGTGGAGGCTTTGGAGTTCTCTTCCAAAAAGAGACCAATATGCAGGAGTGGACGCCAATACAATTTTGTTGTTTGCGTATCTCTTTTGTTTAAACTTTGACCATGCTGCTAAATTGCCCGATGTCAAAGGCGTGCCTGCAATGAGACGATCGACAACCCGAATGAAGATTCGTTCCGCCTTAGCGTACCGCCCAGCACTCAGTGCTAGTGCAACGGCTTCGAGGAGTAGACCAACCCCAACACCATTTCCCGCAACTCAGTTTTGACTGCGTTTCTTCCATATTCACTGCACATCATTCGTTCTGCGCATGCTAGTTGCCGTCTCTTAGCAAATCGACCACCACGAGCTTGCAAATACTTACATGTCTACTTGGATACCCACTAGTAGCGTGCAGGTGGTCTGGCGACATCACATCGAACTTTCCATTATTATCTCGAACGGCGCTTGCAACTTCACATCCTCGGTGTCGATGATGAGCAGTTAGTGGGCTACCGCCGTCCCTACGCTCGCCATATCCCCTCATATTGCAGGCTTCACTGTCTCACGTTTAGAGCCGGAGAGAAACGTTCTATCTATCCTTGGAAATCCTACCAGAAGCTCCGGACACCTATCGCACCCATCCATCATCTTCAGAAGCGAGCTGCGCTTGCCAGAGGGAGAACACATATGACCCTCACGGCGCTTCAACTCTCAGCATGTGTTGAATATACACGCTGTGTCTGTCGTCTTGTTGGGGTTCAATTAATGTTGTGGTTGTACAGATTCCTCCTTGATGTCGGGGGCGCAGGCCTTCTACCAGTGGCTTTGCAACTCCACCACCCTTGAAGCTTTGACTGCAGCTATATGGGCGTCTGCCCCCGCACCTAAGCTACGAAAACCAAATCAGAAAACACCGTTCATTGCTGCAGCCCGAGACAACTTGTCCATAAGCGCGAGTTAAGCACCACACCTCTTTTGTGGATCATCCGGGGACCAGATTCTGACGAATGCTGGGCATCACGGTGACGGTTTCTTTTGTCTTCATGCTTCCCAAGCTGACCACCTTAGCATCTGACAGGTGAACATTTACGCAGATAATGCAGTTTGTCTTTGTGGCTCGCTGGGTATATAGCCTTACAGCGCGACGTTGGATTCCAATACTGCAGAGGCGCATCGACCCAAACCCACTCAACGAAGTTCGATCTACATCTTTTGCTACTTTCAGGCTCTTGGGCAGTATCATCTAGTACTCTCTTAGCATCTCCCCAGACGTGCACTTTTCTTATCGTTTCCTAACAAGATCTTGTTTTTTGGCGAATCCGTTTTCGCATCCCAACCACTTTCTCTGCTTTTCTTCATTCCTCGGATCTCCAAAAGTCGTAATCATTCTCTCCAGTCCACCGGGGAAATGGCGACCGCAGCCAATTACGCGACATTGCAGCAAACACCCGCCTCGGCACCACGAGCCGTAGCGAACCCAGGCAATCATCCAACACTACACAACGAGGGTTATCCCAGGCTGGCCTTCTTTTTATCGCAGCACACCAGATATCTACATCTACGAAGATTTTCCGCGCTTGCGATCCGCCTTCTGCTCTATCGTCAGCATAGGTTGATGGGGCTGGAGAAAGACCTCTTGCATCTTGAAGATCGCGATGCTCAGTTCGATCCCGACTTCTTGAAGAATTTTGCCCGTATCGACGCAGAATACAACACACCTGTCATCGTTCGAGAAAAGACCCAGGGCAGACTATATGAGAAGCTCCAGAATGAATTAAAGGAATATGGTAAGCAGATCATTGCTGCAGTCGGCGTAGATTGACCAAAAACAGAGGAAGCCCTTCTAAGATTCAATCGCCTTGCTGGTAAAGGCTACGATGCTGCGGAGCTTCGTGACTTTCAGGTTTTCTTAGACCAGAATGATCTTTTGGGACTTGATGCTGCAATTTGGGGCTCTCAGAACGATCCCGAAGGCCATGCATCTGACATATACCAGGTCGTAGATCGATCAAGTCCCAGTACGATAAGTAGGTTTTTCCGGGATAAATTTGTCTTGTGGGCTCCGTACTTTCCAGACTGGCTCTGGGTGCTCTTGACCTGGTCCAAAAGACCCCTGGACATCTTTGGATGCCGCAATTTCAGCGAGCACCGAATTGAGGTGATAACATTAACGATCGGGAATCTCACAGCCTCGTTGCTCATATATGCGGCCGTCACGTCCTTGTACTTCACAGCTGGACGTGCGTCCAGCATCGCAGGGGTTGTTATTACATCCGTAACCATAACCGCTTGTAGTCTGTTGTTTCGTAATCAGCAGTTCATTTCTATGCTTGCGACGTATGTAGACCTTCCATCTCTCTTTTGAAGACTTACTTACGATGTAGGGTATGTGCCGTACTCGTGACGTTGCTGCTCAACGATAAGCCCGAACAACGTCAGTCGACTCAGACCGCTACGCCTTGAGCAAATATTCCGCATGCAGCAGGGTATGTATCGATCTGGCCATGGTAATCATGCAAGAGTACGTACTGGCGCGGCGCTGGCAGTTATCACCGGAGGCCGTAATACACAGACTGTGCTAAATTCTCGAAACATAGAACTAATAAGTACTGCTAGGTCACAACGATATGTTATCTGAGCTATCCAACTAGCAACATTCGGACCAGGCAGAAATCCGATTGGACTTAAGTTGCGGTCTATTTCAGCCTAGGGTATTATGCGCTAGACCTACATTGGCCGCCATGGTAATACTTTACCAATACCGAAGGGACATGGCACACAGACTGTGCACTGCCAAGTTCTGAGTCCTAACGCACGTGGGTACGAAATGACTAACTTACGTTCAGTGACTAGCGGCTACGACTTTGCTACAGTTCTCTCTGGGCCCAGAAAAGTGCTCGATCGGCTGATGTACGCTGATTCAACACCATAACTGCATCACTTGCATGCTGCACCCGATCAGCCTTATATACGCTCATGGACTTGACGTTCTGCCAAGCTAGAGCGGGGGCTGTTGAGTGGTATGCAGGCATCGAGCGTTGAGACAACGTAAAGTCGAAGCATTGCTTGAGATTCCTAGTTACCATAACTTTCACGTCTCCGGAGCCTTTGCTATTGCCGCGCAGAAGCCCTGGACTATGAAGAAGACACTTTACGTTGGCTGGTCGCGAGACCACTTGGAGCTATTACAGGACAGAGCATCGTGCCTTGACTGCTTGAGGCTGACCGGCCATGCATGCCGCCTGCGCGTATCAAAATTCCACGTAGAACTCGCGCAACTAGTCTTCTTGGTCGGACAGGTAACGCACATCGTCAGACTATAAACCTTTGGATTAGCCCCCCCAAGTTGTCCTGCCTTCGGTAATCCGTATCGCAAGAACTTTACCAAGATCAACTAGCTCGACAAAGGGACGATGTCCTTCAATACACAGCCCCACGACTCTACGATCGTATGGCACAAGGATGGTACGAATACCTCATCCTTCTCAAACGCTCTCTTGGATCCGTACTGAGACTACCGCACAGCTTTGGAGAAGGGCAACACATACGCAGATAAGTGCGCAAAGCGAGAAAGGGACATGCGACAGGCGCATGAAGCGCACGAGGCTGCGTCAATCCTCTATCACGACTCTTCGAATAGCCCTCCAACACCACAACAACAACAGCCCACTGCAACGACTAGCCAACGTCAAACCACACAGTCGAACCATCAGGGCGTTCAAGGCACCTCCTCCGGCTGCTCTTAAGCATCTCACGATCGCAGGCGTCTATCGCTTTTTGCGGCGGGCCACCGCGGTCCTCGGAGGACGTGCCACTAAATCGAACCTGTCATTGCGAGTCAGAAATCTGACCGGTGAAACAGTATTCGGAGGAAGCGAGAGCAAGGGTAAAGATGCGGTGATGATGATCGCCGTTGTGCCGAAAAGTGATAGCGGAATCGTCTGGGCCAACGGTCTACTGTTTCGAAATCTCCAGCGGGACAGCATTTGTTTGTCGTTGTTACCAAAACCAATCAATTCCAACACCTCACAGGAGTCTGCCAATACGTAGCAACATAAACTCATCGCCGTCCACATCCGCATCTTCGGATTCTGTCCTGGTGACGCTGTTGTGTGCCAGGCAAGCCTCAAATCTCGCTTAACAGGCCGTTGAATAGGCCTGTTAAATCTCCGCCCAGAAGGAGGTTGGAGGATTTTGAGAATTCGCCGGCAAAAGTCGAGGCCCGTTACTGCTCGCGAGGTGGACCATGCGCTCTACCGATCGCAAGGGACTCGCCCTAGCCTTGGGGTCTCCATGAAAGGAGATCTGACACCTTCGTAGTGGCATCCACATCTCTTTCTACAAGCGCGCTAAAGGGCATGGTGTCTATGAGTCCATAATCAGAAGTGACCCTCGGATCCTGTGGTGTCCGGGGTTCCGTACGCAGAACTCAACAAGCAAACGCAGAGGTGGGTGTGGCATCTGGGGTATGTGTAGAGCTCTGACACTTCCGGTGCCCGGAAGCGGATCAAGGCCAACAGCAAAGCGCGTCGATTGTCTGATCAGCTTCTTGTTATGCGTGAAAGACGCAACGAGATCTCTCACATGAATGTCACACCCTACCTGGGATTGATTTTAATATCTGTACCGCGTCTTTCGTGTCTTTCGTTTCAAGGTGCGCACACATCCCCTCCAAAGTCGTGTAAGTACGGGACCCATGCGCACCGTCTAGATTCTACAGGGTATGCATAAGTCGCACTAATATGATACATGACTTAGTTGAAGAGCAAGACTAAGAACGAGCACAGGGCTTACTCCAACGGTCACTCATCTCCTGAACAACGGCTGCGCTGCTTGAACCTTACCTCGCCGCACTCGTCAATCTGCCGACCGCAAGTACCGCAATCCCTTACCATCCGCACCCACACGACGATATCACGAACCCTTACGCATAAATCGCGGAACAAACCATACCGTTGGCTTACGGGAATGCACCAGCGGACGCTTCCGTAACGTTGGAATTGCTTATTTCGACCGCCCGGATTAGTCACTACAAAGAAGCTCATTTCGTCTGAGTTACAACTATCCAGCAGCGACTTCGCATTGTAAAGACGTATCGTGTTTTCTGTCTTGCCAGTACTCTGGGGCAGGAGGAAGAATACCCTTAGCGCGTAGGTTAGTTACAATTCGTACGGCGGTACTCGCTCCGCAGTTGCTGCAGAATGCTTCGATATGCAGGAGCGGAACCCAATGACTTGAAGCGCAGGGCGCAGAGTGTGTGAGATGGGTCTGTTCGATGACAGTACTACTGCCTTGTAGATCTGCCAATCTGTGCTTCGGCAAGAACATACTCTATGCGCAGCATACAATAGCTGGAGTGGGTCTTACTCACTCGACTCGTTAGTGGGATTGGCAGGGGCAAAACAAAGCAGCAGTAGAAGGTAGAGTGTCGAAGGTCACACACTGCTATGCTCGTGTATACGTTCTTGGTAGTGAAAGGCCGATATATTGTGAGTTTGTTGCATAGAACACAAGCTGCTGAAAGCGTGGTAGAACCTCTGCTGCATTAAAGGTTGTAATAAAAGTCAATATCTCGTCTGCCTAACATATGTAGATGTCCAGAGAATTTGCTTCCTGTGCGACGTAGTCCTTTACATGGTTCCTCCGTCATGACGTCCCCAGATAGAATGTACATTGTGATCGATGGATGGCATCCAACCCTGGCAGGTCCCTGATAGTAAACCGCTGAATCGGTGTCGAGAAAATCGTGTACGATAATAGTGGCGGTGCGAAGGAAGATGCTAGCTGAGAACTAGACTAGAGATGTCAGCAATCTTCTCAGATGTGAACGATTTGCACAGACTGGTGATATACCAAATATTTACTGGAGATTAGTGGCTATCGAGAGACACACTGCATCATTCCCCCAATCACTACTCAACTATCACAATTGGAGCTGGCGAAGTATTAATGGATGACTGTTTGGAGGGATAATCTGAACTCACGAAGGGGTTTCGGTGAGCTGATTGGCACTCTATTCATAGCTAAGAGTCTCGCGCGTTGAAGCTTTCTGATGTAGTCGGCGTTCGTTTTCGAAAAGTGATGAAGAGTTAGGTGGCTCGATGGTTGGTACGTATACTGAAGATGAGCTCTAGGGATTTGACAAAGGAGTGCTAACTAGCAAGGACACAATCCAGCGGTTAGTCACTGTGGCTGACCATATCGGCCCGGCGTGTGGCTCTGATAATACAGAGGACCTATCCTGGAGCTTTGCAATGGGATTCTAACCAATATTTGGGTAAATTAAGGCATTCCACTAGCTGGACCTGGGTGCCGCTATCTGACGGCCCTCCAATGGTGATATTTAATATTGCCAGCTCGCGTTGATGCCTGTGCACATACCTCCCCGCCATGATAAAGTTTAAGACGTTGCCCGATCGGATGCCATGTGAACGGTCGCGCAGGAGGGTTCTTGGCAGAGATTGTTGATCGGTCGTGGTCTTCTCGAAGACCCTAGCGATATCTATCATAGTCGTTCAATTCTTGTTCCATCACCCGATCGACCATTGTGTAGATTTTGCTATCAGGGCGTAGACATTGAGCGTCAAATGGCAACTTTACACGCCTAAGACCTCTACCTATGGATATCTTGTATCAACGAGAGAGATGACTTGGTCCGGCCCTGTGCTGTCAGTCGGAAATCGGCAGTAAAGTCAGGGTTCACTGAAGGACTTACACCCTGCATTGTCACACTGCATGGTGCCTGGTTGGATAAATATTGTGCGGAGAGTTATGCTTTCGGCACAGACGCGCGCACAATGAGATGACAAAGAATGCAGGAAATCGATGACTCCAAATCAGAGTAAAATATTTAAATTAAGAAAGTACCTACCTGAGTAGATACAGGCGACTCCTGATCCTAAACAGTGGCAGACATGAGTACAGTGCAGACCTACTCTTTGGTGTACGCGGGAAAGTACTCGAGCATGGATGAATCGTATCTATATTTAGCTAGGTCAACCTTGGTACGCAAGGGTGAAAGAAAGGCCCGATGCCATGCACGAGCCTCAGCGACGTCACAACCGGCACTCGCAATCACTCCCCATCTCTCACACCAACCTTATAGTATCCGTTACTGTCAATCCATACTCCTTGCCCCCACAAATATTCCACCCACGGCAAAGAAGGCGCCTGTGATTGCGAACATGTCACTCCGCTTTAACGTCGGAACACACAAAATCAATAATGCGGTAAGCATCAATCCAAATGCACCGAGCACAACGATGCGCCATTTCTCAGACTGAATACTGCTGAGAACCCCGAGGCATGCGGCAAAGAATACAGGAACATAGATGCCAGCGAACACATTGGCGACCATAACAATCTTTTCGAGGCCAACAAACTGCTCTGGTGCGGCTCCTTCCTCCTCGGACCATTCCTTTGAACCGCGAGCGATCCACTTTCGTAGGCGTATGTTGATCGATTTGAGATGACGGATTGCGAAGCTTGTTAAGTGGTCTTGCTGATCTACTTCGCTGGCTTTCAGGGAGCAAGTATCCGCATGCGAGGGGACTTGACTGTATACGGTAGCATCCTCGTTTGTCGGCCCGAAACGACCATCTTGAAATGCTTCTGTATACTCGGAGAAATGTCTGGCCCATATCTCGGGCTGACTAGGCAAGTTGGCAATGGCGTGGGCGAGGGTGAGGTCCTTTCCTGTGTCACTGTTGGTCAGCATATCGCCAAGCGCAACGAGTAGAATGCGACCGACCGTATCGCCTGATCAACTTTTTCAAGTCTTCAATTTTCGACTCCAGTGTTGGGTCCTGCTTTTTCACGTAGGTTTGAGGATAGTCCATTAACGTGTAGACGCTGCGAGTCGGAGGTACACTATGAATGTTTGCGACGATCTCGTTGCATTCTCGGATCTTCTGCTCGATCTCCCAATTCTCATTGTATAACATCCAAGACCAGTAACCCAGATATCGACGAAACTTTGCAAGCTCTGGGTCTTGAACGAAATCACCGTATAGTTTTGAGTATTGATATCGGATACCCTGCATCCTATTCGAAGGTCGAGATCCTCTACTCGTTCGTTGGTTCTGGACTAACCAATCGGGAAATTGCTAATCCTGGTTCAGACTGGGCAGGTTGCGAAATGATTGCAAAAGAGCAGGAGAATGCTGCAACGCCTTGGAATGGATAATTAGGGTAGTCCGAGCCCTGCGAGTCATGGCTCTACTGGATATTTATCTTGGACGAGATCTCGCCTTGCGCAAACGTCACTTGTAACCTTCACAGCTGCATTACCGCCTGGCACTTTACGATCCACACGATGACTAGGAACGATCCTTCGCCGTATACCGACGTACGTACAACGATGGCTGTTTTCTCTGGGCCAACAATCGTGCGCAAAGAGGGTGTACTGACAACAAATCACGAAAGAACACAATTTTCCGACATCTTCACCGGCTACTACTCAAGCATATCAGTACACACCATCTTCGTTGGAGATGGCTAGCCTCGTCACTCGTTGTTTAGTGGAATTGGCGGTGAGATTGATGGTTGAAGCCCTTCAAAGCCTTGCACGTGGACAACTGAGGCTGTTAGGAGTTTCTCTCGTATGTCAAAGCGCAACACTGGAGACAGAGAGATCGATTCTTGAATCAAGATGTTCGAGTCGTTCGGAGACGCGCAAATAGTCGTAAAGCCTAGCGGGCTGATTCTTGCAGTGGGTAGACCTTGCAACCTCGCAACGTTGCTGTGGTTTTGCGGCACGTATTCCGCCCCCACAGATGACCTTGTTAGTGCAACGAAGCGATCACCTAAAGCCAAGCGCTTCCGCCGTGCAGAAAGCATGAACTTTACGGCTGATGACGTGCGCATAGCGTCGCGGCCCGTGCTGCTTTGGAAAGCCTTACGCTTGCGCAATCTCGACGATGCTTTGTCCCGCTATCCAAAACCCGAGGAAGTGGTTGACGAAAGCTACTGCTACCAGCTCTCTATGCCCCAGAAGAAGTGATTTTCCTATGGCCAGTCCGAAGCACCGTTTTCCAGAACTAGGCTAGTTTCGCACCATTGCGTATCTCGCAGCTCAAGACTCACAAGCGTGGTAAATTTAGCTGGATGCGCATCTGGTCGGACAAAGCTCAGCCTCGCCAGCGGTGAGACAGAACAGCGCAGCTCATGTCTCAAGGCGATCCTCAGAGAATGTCCCATGTCTAAACATGGTTGTGAAATCCTGTGGTAAGTAAGCACATGTGTGATGACGGTGACATGAATGACATGGGGTGAGCCCCTAATCAAAGTTCTCTTGAACACGGTTCTCGCAGACTCGTTTAACATTATCTTTAAAATTTTATCAAAGCCGTTCACTCCTGAAGCATCAATCGGTTGTTGTTGATTCGGCGATATTTTCAGCCGATCCGGGTGAGGCTGCAATGTGATGGCAAGGGCAGAGGTACATTAGCGAGCTGTCACAAAACGGCTTTGGATAGCATTGGACTACAGAAGATGCAGTTTCATGACTCGCTGATCTGTAAAGGATTTGGCAACGCCAAGCGAAACGGTACAAACGTGTGGCTTTGAACCGGTCAAGGGCGATCATCATTTCCCCCATTTTTGCTTTGGAGTCATGTTACGTATATTTCCATTTCTAGATACATCTGATCTATTGAAACAATCTCGGTAAGTTTAATATATACCCTGTTGTCGCCAGGTTCATAAGCTATTGTCCTTCGTCAGTCTAGTCATCTAGACGCTTCCACGAAACCGACAAAGTCCGGAAAAATCAATCGCATCGAAGACTTTGGATTCGTACCGGCAGTCTGTTCTTTCCCTCTCGATGCGGGAAGCCTATCATACAGCTGTTGACAAGAGCAATGCAGGCTGTCGCAAACTCTCACTTTCGAGCCGCAACCACGTGGACGCACCCTGGTCTGAGGAACATCTATGCGACATCACAGAACTTAGTCAGTGTGACTGTTTCAGAGCAAGATGAGGTCTTCATGATTCATATGCCCAGTGCCATGATGCTTGTCGCCCGATCGCTCAGCTCCCTAAACAGATAGGGCATTAAGCCACAATCAAATCAAATCAATCAAATCGGCTCCCTAACCGAGCTGAGCGAGTAGAGCCATTCCGTTCTCAGTATGCTTGAAGCTCGCTTCGTGCCGCCTGATAGAAGGTACAGATCTTGATATGGTCTGTGAATGGCGCATCCTTCACCTTGGCATTTAGGCGGGAGCTTTCCAGGCACGACGCTTGAGCGCGAAGATGCGGGGCGTCCGGATTATACACAAGGTCTATTGAATCACGATTTGATGCAAGCATAAATGGCGGAGCTAACCGCTATGCATGTGTTAGCAGGGCCTAGAAACACAAGCAACCGTCTATCTGAGGGCTCACGCCATCTTACGGAGAGTGCTTTTACCCTCAGCGAGTTGAGTGCAGCTGTTCCAAGCTCTAAATATGATTGTTGAGATATGCGTCGATGGACGGCTTTAAGAGAGCGCAACTTAGCGTATCCAAACGTCGTGGACACACGTCTGGCCAGGTACTCTTTGCCAGACATTCACAGATTCCACGCAACCACACGTTCTGGTGAGATACTGTTGCAAGGTTCCTCATTGATCCAGTGTCTTGTATATCTCCAACAGAGCTATACGACAATGCAGAGTCATCGGTGTCACATGCCGTCTCGTACAGGCTTCGCGATAGTCGTATGTTTCCAAAGCACCCTCGTCTTTGTATGGCAGAACTTGGAAGGATCTCTCCGGTTTCTGAACCAGTGGCGTTAAGTTGGCGTGTATCGTCACTGCCAATATACGCAAAGACTCTAAGCCAGGGTGCAAGCACGCGTTAGGCCTCACAAAGCCTCTTGGGTGGGATGTTTCACTTTTTCGATAAACTCCGGGATTCTTGATATCTCAAATTCAGCTGAGTAGTTTGAAAGAGGGGTCGGCCATATTCGTTCTGTATATGTACACGATTACGCCTCATGGGGGTCGTGATATCGCAAGTTAGATACAGGAAGGAGGAATCATGGACGACCGCAATGAGTACATCAGGCTTTTCTTACAGTTTTTCCACTACTCACCGATTATGGCTTGATATTCCAATCATAAGACAAGACATATTTGGACAAAACAGACAACCCGGCTTGAAGGTTCGTAACAATCTCATTGATGGCTGGCATCTACTAAGGAAAGCCCAAAGACATGTACGCTATAAACGCTGTACATCCACGCTTGGGGCTACTCTATGCAATCCAGTACCAGATCTTCTGCCAGACATTCTTCGGTATAGGCGCACCAGAGATATCGTCCTTGCACAGCTCATTCATCTCCCGCACACCAGTCGTAACATCAATGTTCTCAACCTTTATCGCGAAGGCGGTTCTGAAGTAGATCTTGTGGCCGGCGTAAAGAACGAAGAAAATGGGGATAGTGATGTAGGCGGCCAAGAAATCGGATACGGACCAGTTGGCTGGCACAAAGACTTGAAATCCGTTCGTGAGAGTCAGGAGCGAGACAACACCAAGGATAAAATATGTGAGGTATGGCTGGAATGGCGTACGGTAAGGAAGCGACTCGAGCAAGTTGTTGAATATCAAGGCCTTGCGGAAGCGGATATAGGTGATCATAACAACAATCCAGGCGATGAAACCGGAGATTGTGGAGATGTTTGAGAACCACAGGAAGACTTGCGCACCAGTATTGGAGACGTTGAGATAAGCAAGAAGACCTATGGCCCAAGTAGCTAGGACAGCCACGTATGGCACTCCTTTCTTGCTTGTCCTGCCGAAGACCTTTGGTGCTTCTCCGTTGAGAGCCATACCGTACAAAACACGGGATCCAGAGAACAGGAAAGCGTTTCCGGCAGACCAGGCTGATGTCAAGACAGCCGCGTTAACAACGTGGTTCAGGCCCTGGATGCCTGCTCGCTGGATACCAATAACGAAGGGTGAGGCCGAAGCGTTGGAGCTACCGCTGAGGAGACGGTCATCATCTGATGGAACGATGACTCCGATGATGAAGCTTCCCAAACCGTAGAAGATGGCCAGACGGTAAACAAAGCGGCCAGCAGCCTTGGGGATGTTACGGCGAGGGGCGATGGTCTCTCCTGCAGCAAGTGCAATCAGTTCAGGCGATGTGATGAAGGCAAAACCAGCGCGAACGAAAGCAGTCCAGTATGCCAGGAAACGACCGGAATTCCCTTCCACTATATATGGTTTGAAAGCACCCGGGTTGTTCCAATATCTGAATCCAAGTCGGCCTTGATCATTAGGACTACCACCTAACATGATAACAAAGCCCAGAATTACTAGGCCTATAATGGTGATGAACTTGATGGAGGCAAACCAGAACTCTGCTTCTCCGAAAACCTCGACTGCGACAATGTTAAGGAACAAAACCACCACAAGAAAGATGGTAATCCAGACAGCGTTGTGAACAGGCGTCTCCCAATACTCCAGAAGGATGGCTCCAGCTGTGGCTTCGGCAGCAACGAGAATGGCATATGCATACCAGTAGTTCCATCCGGCGGCAAATGCTAGACTAGGGTCTACAAACCGCTTAATGAAATACGGGATGGTAATACCACGCATGGGAAGCAGGGTAACGATTTCGGCCAAGTTGTTCATGACATTGTAGACGACTGCAGAAGTGAAGACACGAAGTTAGTGGATTTCTCACATGCATTTCGTATAGGCACAACCTACCAAGCATCATACTGAGATAGGCCATGAAGAGTGGAGCGGGACCGACTAGAGCAAGAATAGATCCAGATCCGATGAACAGGCCAGTTCCGATAGCACCGCCTAGCGCGCTGGTGGAGTGTCAGCATGCGGTTTAGCGACGTCAAAGAACACGGACTTACAGGAATTGGATGTGTCGACTCTTCAAACCACGGTGTGTATCTCCTCCTCGTCCAGTCTCACCTCCAACAGTAGCAGCGCCGTGGACGAATGGCTCTTCGAAGCCAACTTGATTCTCCTCGTAGCCATACGGCACAGCCTCAGGCTTTTCGTCAGCCATGTGGTGGTTCGGCATGATGCCCAGGTAGATTGCGAGACGATGGAGACTTGGTTTGTGCCGGTACCAATCTTGCTGATCCCAACACGGGGATGTCAGCCGGTTATATAGAGAGCAATGTCAAAGACGGGTGAAGGATGCGTCGGCTATGATAGCAGAATTTTCAATTGTGGTGTATGGCCCGGCGCACGACGAGGTATACTCCACGTTTGGAATGGTTCCGATGTGGTACCCGTGGACTGCTGCTGGCTCGGTGGCCAAGTCTTGTCCATGGTATGGGACGATCAGCCCAGACCCTTGTCAGAACCATGAGCAGTGGGGAGTCTGGGGAACCAATTATCGTTAGGTAATGGCAAACTACCGCGTGAAAAGGCGGGGAAAATCGCCTCTTGTGCTGTGGTGGTTGCAACACAGTGCTTAACTTGCCTGATGACGTTCGCCCTACACGTCGCGCATTCCTTCGGTTTTACTCCCGTGCGCCATGGGCACTGTTCATCTTTTGGTGTTTGGAGAGTTAAATGGGGGCGGGCCGGTGTACGGAGTGAGGGTTTTTGGAACTGAGCCGACAAAAGCCGCAAATCGTAGGGATGAGGCTCAATTTAGGCACGCCCAGAGCTTAGACAAGCTTCTGGAAATACGACTAGAAGTCTTAGCGCACAAAATACCCGCCGATGGTTTGCGAAATGGGTCTGGGTAGCTATGGAGTTCACCACGAAGTGGATGGAGCCAGACGATTTACTGCAAAATCCGGGGATCGTGGGGATGGCGGTTCGTGCTTCATTGAGCTGTGGATTTTGTATATCCACAGGACAAGCTGCCAAAACTACCAAACTAAGACTGCATCTGCCGTGAAGAAGTATGCACAGTAGAACGAGACATTGCAAGTCGCTTAGAAAATTTTCACCTTGGGCGTACAATACGATCAGGCCTGCGTCGTTATCACTGCACCTGATACTCTTATCTTCAGCTTTGGCACCGCAGAGATTTAAAAACGTAACACTTTCATCCAAAGAGGGTTCCAGGGACTTGGACGTCGCTTGGAGGATTATCTGTTGCGGGTCTTCTGGTGGATACATCAAATCTTAGGCTTATGCAACCATGGCGCGACCCACTGTCATACTAGACATCAGTCTAGCAGCTTTAGTTAGGTATCCGGATTCCGGAGTAGAGGAACTATCCTTCGCGCTAAATTCCCAGTGCCGGACGAACCTTCACCACCATTCGGTATTACATGATCGCAACTTCAATTTTCGTCTTCACCCCGTGAACTGCACCATATGGATATCATTGTGTCGCAAAACACAAGCTTCGAAGCCAGACATACAAGGTCCGTCGCCTAGGACGTACCGCAACCCATGAGCATTCGGCCCTGCAACGTTGTTCGTGTTGGTATCCCCTACCAATACTTGAGAAAACTAAGCTGTCAACATCGGGTCATGTCAGCCTAACAACGCTACGCGGCCGTTCATTCCCAGTCAAAATTATTAATTCTGTAGCTTCGCACACATAAAAGGAAATGTCTCGTGATGCTGGCCCATCTACCTATGTGTGCTTTCCTTTGAAAACACCAAGACGTTGCGCGTACCTCTTGAGTCGGCACTCCTCGGACATAAGGTAGCTCTGGGATAATCGAGCCCTTAGAAATCACGCCAACTCGAGCTCTGTGCCTATTCATGCAAGCTACAGTAATCTGCCAAGTTCTTCACCCCTCAATTCTGTATCGCCAGACCTGTTGTTTTATTCGCATTGTTGTCTTGCGTGCATTGAAGCTTCGGCAAAGAGCTTGGAAGAAGGAACAACCCCTCACCAAGCTTTTGTCCGCGGCAAGAGGCGAAGGCGCGCGTCATGACACTAGACGCAGCCGCCGAAAACTTCATTTGTCCCAGCCATTTGTTCAAACACTCCTAACATCCAGGCAACTATCAACTCTGATCACCGGTGCAGAGATATTGATCGATTAGTATACGGCATGATTCCGGAAATATTGATCGATAAGGTGCTGAATAAAGCGCGAGAGACTGCGTCGCATAGCTGGGAATATGGAACGGTGTTCGAAGCAACCCTTGAATACAGAAGTTCTCAGTTTACGGTTTTCCACGACCCATTTCCAGGCGGTGAGATACCAGTGTTGAGGGTCGAGGATGTAGAAGCACTGCAATATGTAAAACCATTCATACGGACCAACAGCCAGAGACTGTGTGAAGGAAATGGTATGTCCTACGGTTTCAATACTTACTAGGCACGTCATAAAGACCGGGCGTATGCTAACAGCAAGTACTAGGCTCATCGTCCGATCCGACATCCCTCTGCATCCCAACTCTCCTCCTTTCCAGATCAGCAACCCTCCCCGTGTCTGATAACCTATATCTCTCCGCAGTAAGCCATCAACTGCACGACCTGCTTTCGACTACGCCTAGATTCTCCAATGATGCGGTATCACACCGCGATGCGTACCCTTCCTTGTGGGCCGACTTTATCTATATGGTGCCGCCGGCCCTCGCCTATAATGGTACGTTTACGGCAGATATAGACATGGTGAAGGAGAGTGTCCGGCAATGTGAGCTATACCACGAAGTTCTCGGTACGCGAAAGGGATATTGGCAACACATAGCCAATGATGCGGGTGTATGCAATGTGAAGAGTGACGATGGTGCATGGTGTACAAGTAATGCCTGGGCCGCAGCTGGAATGGCAAGGGTACTAGCCACCTTACGGAAATCTCAATATGTGTCTGAAACCGAGGAAGAGCAGAATGCCTTACTGCAGATGACCAAAGGCATTCTCAGTGGCGCCATGGAAGCTGATACCGATACAACGGGCTTGCTGCGCAACTATCTCGATGATGAGACCTGGTTTGCAGAGGTCGCTGGCACAGCGTTGATGGCTGCTACAGCTTTTAGAATGGCCTTCCTTGAGCCTGGCCTTTTCGGAAAGCGATATACGGATTGGGCAATAACGAAGCTAGAAGCTGTTAGCCGTCATATAGACAAAGAGACTGGTATTGTAGCACCGGTTGTCAATTCTCTCAATGAAGGTCAGAGGACGCCACTGGAAGGCGTAAACCCTGAGGGACAGGCTTTCGTCGTGTTACTGTATGCTGCATGGAGAGATTGGAATATCGCAACCGGCGCTGCACCAAATCTGGCTGTGGCCTCAGAAAGCCTTTGTATACAGTAGATTTTCAAGCCAATCTATTAGAATGTCCGTACGTGAACCGAGTTAGAACTAAAAGACTGGACCTCGAGATGCCCGCACTTCGATACAGTCTTGTGACAATACCGATCTTGTTTGAGTGCACATACCTGCATCATATCACATACGATGTCACCAGGTCGATTGCCCTGAATGGTACGTACCTTCAGCATCTCCTCAGCTAGAACACACTCGACCTCATTCTCCCCTTATGAAATTCGCACTTTTCTATGCATGCGTTCCAAATTGTAATACAACTAACGCGCGAAGACAGCGTAAGCAGATTATAGGCAGCGCCTGATAGTCGCGCCGTAGTTCGCGCCGCGTGTTGTACCTCGGCAAATGTAACTCCTCACGCCAGTCATGACTCTCCGAATTGCAGCGTGTTTTACGCCTCGGTCGCGTAGTATATGATCATGGCTAGAAGGTGCTTTGAGTAGCTAGAGTATCGACACGTTTGCCTTGCAGTCCGTCCCCTACATCGATATGCCGTCCTCCAACATCCCCGTGATCATCGGCGTTGGCGACATCAAGAACCGCTCAACTGCCGTCACGGACGCGAAAGAGCCCGCAACATTGATGCTTGAAGCCATTCAAAAGGCCATCAGCGACACTTCGTCTACTTCGAATACCAATCTCCAGTCAGCGATCGACAGCGTCGATGTCGTCAAGACATGGACTTGGCCATACCCGGATCTGCCAGGGCTTCTGGCAGAGAAGCTGGGGATTGAACAGAAACTAAAGTGGAAAAGATATTCCGAGCATGGAGGTGACAAGCCAGGGAAGCTCCTCGACGAAGCGGCGAAAAGGATTGCGAAAGGCGAATGTAAAGTCGCGATTGTAACTGGGGGTGAGGCGTTAGCTTCGTGTACGTGCCAATTTACTTTTCTTTCTCTCCACAATCACTAACTGTACCCAGTATCAGCATGCGCAGCTGCAAAGAAGCTTCCTCCGCCAGGCTGGACAGCGCCGTCTGAAGCCGTAGATTCGGTCTTCACTCCAACAGGCCGTGACCTAGGAAATAGTGCAGTGTCCTCTCTTTGGCAAACACTCTCCTCTACTGACTCTTGCGAAGACCTTGGCGCTATTCATAGGATTGGTGCACCAATACATGTTTATCCACTTTACGAGAACGCATTCCGTGCGCATCGCGGCCAGACACCAAACGCAAACCACCAAGAGAGCGCAAAGTTGTATGCCGAGTTCTCCGAAGTTGCGAAGAATAATGAATATGCATGGAATTACGGAAGTTCAAGTAGTGAAGAAGAGATTGGGACGGTTGGGAAAAGGAACAGAATGATATGTCATCCTTGTACGCCATCCTTCTTTCTACTCTGGGAACGACCGCTTACATCAGATCCGTGCAGATCCCCTGCTTATGAATGCTTTCAACACGGTCAACCTCGCCTCTGCCATTATTCTTACTTCAACTTCTTTCGCCAAAGAACTAGGGGTATCAGAGTCAAAATGGATATATCCACTTGGTGGCGCAGGAACGAAGGATGCGGACGAGTTCTGGAAAAGACCGAACTTCTACTCCTCGCCTAGCATTGCGCGTTCTATTGATGCAAGCTTGAAGGTTTCTGGCGTAAGCAAGGAAGAGATGGATATCGTTGACATCTACTCGTGTTTTCCGATCGTTCCTAAAATTGCCGCGCAGCATCTAGGGCTACCTGTTGTTGGTGGTGACAAACCATTGACGATACTTGGCGGTCTGACGTCGTTTGGTGGAGCTGGCAACAACTATTCAATGCACGCGCTCACTGAGATGACAAGACAGCTAAGAAACGGTAAAGGCCGCAGGGGATTGGTGCTCTGCAATGGCGGTGTTCTGAGCTATCAGTACGTCGTGATCTTATCGAAAGAGCCCAGGAAAGAAGGAGCTTATCCCACAGAGAACCCGCTTCCACCACAGATCACCGATGTTCCTGCGCCAGAGCTTGCCTCTAATGCAGAGGGTGAGGCTGTCGTCGAGACGTATACCGTAGAGTTCAATCGCGACGGCAGTCCGCTTCGAGGCCACATTATCGGTCGCTTGAAGAACAGTAACAAACGCTTCCTTGCGAATCATGGAGACGATACCACAATGCTACAGATGTCTAGCGGGGCAGGAGAAGTTGTTGGTAAAAGTGGATGGGCGTGGCAAGATCCGGAAAAGAAAGGAAGGTCGCTCTTTGCATTCGCAAAACCAGCAAAGCTGTAACAACTTACCATTACTCGAGCCGAACAGAGGCTGTGATCTAATTTATTAATCGCGGGCTACTGGTATTTGTAAATTGAAGGATTTCTAGGCCATGAGACGCCCACCCCCAAATCTGCTCCATCCCTTCGGCTACTTGTTGAGCCCGAATCCCTCCAATAATGCACTTGAGATCTTTATCACAGCTTGTACACGCTTTGTGCCTCCACCATTGCGGCTCACCACCTGATCACTTGAGAGCTTCTATAGAGCTATCCTACGCTTACACATCTGGATTCTGGGGTAACTTTGGTGTAGTGTCTACCACCTGCTCACGCCATGTTCTCGGTTAAGTTGCCGGTCAGTAAGGGTAGCAGGGAGATGGAAACGTAAGATCGGAGTGGTGTTGAAGTGACTATTGCCATGACAAAATGTCTCGAGGATATTAGGACAGTTGTTGAAAGGAAGGAGGTTGAATTTGAGGTATGCTGGTAATTTAGGCATTCTTCATGAGCGTAGGACAATAGAAGGTTATTGCGAACTGATCATACTGGATACATCTGCTTACCCTAAGAGCTACTGTTACCTCATAATCAGTATGTACTACAAAGCCTAAAGACGATCTACCAGGGAAGACAGTTGTCAATACTGCAAGAATGACTGACAGCCAAATTGGTGCAGAGTAGAAGCCCGATCATGGGCTTTTGCGGGGTATGATGGCGGTTCTCGTAGATTCGTTTTTGAGTATGACAGCCAGTGAACTGTTAGTGTAGAAATCAAATCCAAGGGCAGCTCGTATTGCGTGCCAAGTACATAATGATCCAACGTACGAACCAATCGTCGTCTTTACAAGAGAATCAATGGGTTCTGACCATCAGGTGCTATCTAATCAATGAACCTTTTAACGCTTGTGTCCTATATATATGTAATTGTTTGTCGTCCGTGTATACCACCATCAAAGTCGCTGGAAAGTCATGTGTGCAACGATTTCACGAGACCAGTCGCAAAGCTGAGATATTGCTAGACAAAACCCTGGGAGAATACAGTTGTAGCGCATTTATCTCGATACAATCATGCGGCCTACGTAAGAATGTAAAGTCTCTACAACCCACTAAGCACGCTCTGCACCCCGACAGTTCCAACGTCATCTCTTTTAGCAATGAAACCCTTCAATTCCTGCGCATCTTGTCCACCCGCAGCCCTAAGCCTATCCCTCAGCGCCTCAGGTCCAATAATGAATAGCGTACTGACATCCGTCAGAACATCCATCGCTCCAGGCTCCAGCTCGTCACCTGTGGGCCATCCTCTCACTAGCTCAACATAGCGATTCATGTCCTTGGAAACACTAAGACCGCCGACTTGTGAAATGGAGAATTTCAGTAGGTGTGCCAGAACGAGAGACCGCAAACCGCGAGCAAGCTCAGCGAGGAACAAGGAGAGGTTGCGACCAGAGAGCGCGGCAGAAGCTTGTGAGGCAACACGAGTTAAGAATGCGGAGACGTCGCGGCAGGCTTGCGTTTCACTTGTTACCATAAGGTCTTCTTCCTTGGGTCGGAAATCGGTCTTCTTTTGTTGAGATAGACATCTGCTCACCCAATTGAGCGATGCTGTCAATGTGAGATTGAGTATGTTGGACAGTTTTGATTCAAGAGTCGACGTTGTGTTGTTGGTAGACTTTTCGATCTCCCGACGAATAGTCAGATTGGGTGTACATAGAGGGAGGATAATGGTTGTCGTGGTTTGTTGAAGAAGATGTAGGATTGTGGTAATGGCGTGTAGGGATGGGAGGTGGGTGAGATCAGGGGGTGTCTTGGAGTTCTCCTGCGAAACGGCATGATCTTGTGCGCTGCATTCGTGTTAGTTGTGTACTCATCGGAGGAATACATGACTTACGCGTCCAACGCCGTCTCCAGGTAGATTTCGCCCATCTGTCGTAGTAGAAGATTAAGCAATATTTGCACATCCTTCGGTGTCTCGTTACCAGGCGACAACTCGAGTCCACGTCCGACACCTTCTGCCAGCCACTTGAGCATACGCTTGGCGACTGGTAGCGATAGCTTGCCATCCTCATCCGTCACTTCAATATCTTTCTTCTCCTGCTGATCTTCTTTCAGGCCAGCAATGCGGAGCAGGGTCGCTTTCTGACTAGCGGGCAATTCTGTGTTTTCCAAGCGCTCCATGTACTTGTCACGAGCGGATGCAGCCATCTCCTTGCCTCGCTGAGCCAGCGATCCAAAGTACGATGTAGGCATCTTGCTGCGCCGCGAGTGGTAGATGGTGAACTTGAGTAGTAGCGAAGAGTATAGTTCCTCCAAGTTCTTCTTTTCTCGTTCAATATACTTCTCTCCAATGAAGTAAGACGAGAAAAGCTCCTCCAACTGCTGGTCAAGGGTAGCAGCCACCGCAGATGTAGCAGGCTCTGGGTGCTCTGTCAACCCATGTGATTTTAAGTCATCTACCAATTGTGTGATATAGCTCCTAGAAGCTTGCAACGAGCGCAGAAAGGCGAGTGACGATAGCTCTCCTGCTTTGTCAAGCACCATCTCAAGCCGACTTTGTATTGACTGCTGGAAGATGCGCTCCAGGAACTTGATCAGCACCTCCTCGTAGTAAGGGAAGGCTCGTTTTATAATGGCAGATTCATCCTGGACGACGATCTTGACTTCATCAATGAGAGATTGCAGCGTAGGCTCAACACCCGGTGGTTCCGCATCAGGATCTTGGAGGCGATCCCAAGTTTCCACATCCGTCGCCAACTCTTCTCCATTTAACTGCATGCGGTCAATGAAGAAAGAATGCTGGTTGACATAGGTTCCGATGACACTAGCCCCATCGTTGAAGCCCTTCAGCGCGATGGCACAGTCGCGCATGCCAGGGTAGTTTGGACGCGCGTAGCATTCCTGAAACTTGCTGAGGAGATCCTGCTCAAGATTCTCCAGGAACTTCTCAATGACCTCCTTTGTGTTGTGTCTTGACTGATGTACCGTTCTCCTCTTCATGCCATTCGGTGCGTCTCCGTTGACTCGCTGGCTGCCCTCGGGGTCGAGACGTGTGCTGATGCGCAGCAGCTGGCGTGCAATCTCGGCGCATCGTACTATATCGCCGTTCTTCCGTTGGTCCTCGAGGATCATGAGTTCGCCGCGTTCGCTGACTTCTTGCCAGCATTCAATCAAGAACTTTGCGTCCAGGGCTCTCTTGCGTTGGCGATCGAGCTCTTCGAGTCGTTCACCGATGCGCATGGCAACGTTGCCTCCAGTGTCTGACCCTCCCTCGTCACTACCATTGAGCGAACTGTCTAGCCGTTGGAACCTGTCCATGGCCGCTTCCAGTCTCCTTCCTAGCGACTCGACATTCTGGTTGTGTTGTAGCTCTGCTCGGCGTACAGCTGTTGACAGCTCGGACTCCTTCTCTTCCAGGTCCTCGGAGAGACTGTTGAGTCGTGTGAGGGCATGTTCGAACGTGCGGATGAGTGGTTTCGGGTCGAATGTCTGCTGGCCACCGGCGCCGCCAGATCTTCGAGTCGCAGGTACGGCGATCTGGGAGAGGTCTTCGATGAAGTCTTTTACTAGGAAATCTTTGCTCTGCAGGAGTCAATGTGAAAACAACCCTGAACTTGTACGGCTGCTTACAGTGAACTTCTCTAGGGTGAACTGGGGTGCGCGTATCGATGTCCTCGACGTCTGGTGAGTGAGTACCGACGAGCCATCGGAGCTGATGCGCTGCATCGTTACAGGAGATTGGAGGGAATCCGCCTTGGAGGTTGAGTACTACTGCAGTATTGTATTACGGGCGTCTATCGCAGCTACCCAGCGGGCCAATGCCGCCCCGAATGCCCTGGAGCTGGTGTTTTAGATTGGCGCAAAGCATCAAGCTGCCAGGTGTTGCTAGCGTATGTTGTGTTCTCACTTGGGCATGGCACAGAGTAGATGTTTCCCGTTGCAGGTGTATCTGCACGTCGTGATCTGGCTAGCAACATGCTCAAGTCGCGACTGTGGCTTGTCGCACCCCACGCCTCGGTCCCTGGTTCGCAGTCGCAGCAGCTCCAGCCGAACGGACAACGGGTGACCTCATGCACTATGATGCCACCAATCCTGTCGTGGCAGGACGTATACAAAGACCCAAAACAATAAGCTCGAGTTCCTACAGCCTCATTGTACTTGCGACAGCTTCCGCGTAATGACGCCTCAGCGCATGGCGGAGCAGGCAGCTACGCGTCTATACTTGGCTTGCGCTCGGCAGGAACGGCCGCCACACGTACCTCGTACGCACCAGCCTCACTGGGATATTTCATCATCTTACGTCTGCCAGACATGGCCAGCTAACGCGCGCATTATTCCTCTCTTTCCCTTGACTTTTGACTGCCTTGTTATCCATACTTAGACATCGGCTGCCCAGCTCATTTTGTCGCTCAACACCCTCACACCGCCCGCAATGGCTACCACAGGCCTGACTCCCAAGCAAGAAGCCGCTTTTAGGCGAAGCAAGCAACTCTCGGTCGAGCAACGCGAAGAACTCCTGAAGCCGTTTCTTCCCTCTGAGCCTTCTGATAGCGAGAAGGAGGCGCAGAGGAAGAAGGCACTCCGCGACCGCCGCCAGCGCGCAGCCCAACAGAGCCGCAAGCCTCTCGTAGGCCCCATCAAGACCTTCCTCCACCTCGCTATCTACCACGTCGTTGCGCTCCTGTTCAGCGTCTTCTTCCGTTTCCGCCGCGCCTACCGACTGGTGAGGGGGAAGGTTGTCTCTCTGCTCAAGTACCATCACCGCACGCCAGAGTTCATAGCCCACGATGTCAAGGACCTGGAAAAGCTGCCCAAACACCTCAGTGTGATAGTGGACTACCAGGAAGACGACGGAAGTCAGGGTACAGCCGGGCTGGAAGGACTAGTGAACGATGTCTGTGAGATAGCAGCCTGGGCAGCGAGTGCCGGCATACCGTTTCTGAGTGTCTATGAGCGGACGGGTAAGTCCACCATCTTTCTGTAAAACAGAACACGGTAACGTAGGGCTCTGGCTAATAATGTCAAACAGGCGTACTTAAGAACTATCTCCCCCAAACTCACGCTTCCATCTGGTCGACCCTAGAAGCCTACTTCGGCCCTCGTAGAAAGCCCACCCTCTCCCTCCGTGCACCCCACCTTTCCTCGTACTCCCCTCCCAATACGCCTCCTCAGAGTGCAGACGACGAACTGAAAGAGGAGGAACGTCAACATCTCACCGTCCTCCTTCTCTCTGAACATGACGGCCGCGACACCATCGTCGACCTGACGCGCACACTGGCCGAGATGGCACAAAAGGGCGACGTGCGACAAGAGCAGATCAACACTGATTTGATTGATGCCCAGCTGAATGACCATGTTTCGAGCGAACCGGATCTTCTGATCCTGTTCAGCCCTACTGTGCAACTCAAGGGCTATCCGCCGTGGCAGCTGAGGTTGACCGAGATGTTGTAAGTTGCCTTGTTCACATGATGAGGTCTTTGCTAACACACAACACAGCCACCTGCCAGACAACAAGGGCGTTAATTATCAGGTCTTCCTGCGAGCCTTGTATAACTTTGCAAAGGTTGAGATGCGCCTTGGAAGGTAGCGAGAGCACACGTCACTTGCATTTCCTAGTATAACAATACCCAATACGATTACCGCTGCCCTCCGACTTGTAGACTTGCCATATCTCTTGATCTGACGTCGCCTGTCCCATGTGAAGTGCAGTGCAGTGTAGTGCAGCGATTGAATCCAATCGACCAGCATGCTCAACATCGATCACAACAAGTACACATCACCCAGTGGAGGAAGCAGTGTGGAGGTATCTCGAATGTAATGGTGGTGCTATCTACACCATATCTTCATGCCCGCCATGATCGTTGTGTACGTCATAGCCATCGAGAGTAAATGCACCTAACACCTGTATTCATTTTAGGTCGTCAAGTACATATCCGCCCCACGAAAGAACCCATGCAACCAAAACCCAGTTCGTTTACTTGAGAGGAATGAAACGGGAAGAGTGAGTGGCACCAATACCCGGCCTTCCGTGCTTGACGGGCCTGTATGAGATGGAGAACTCTGCGAGGTAGTGGCCGACCATCTCGGGCTTGATTTCGACCTGGTTGAACTCCTTTCCGGAGTAGACACCGATGACGCTGCCGATCATCTCGGGGACGACAATCATGTCACGGAGGTGGGTCTTGACGAGGTCGGGCTTCTCGTTGGGCTTGGCCTCCTCTGTTCAGGGTTAGTTGTCTCCCTTCAACTGTGCGGACAGTGTTGCCTACGCTTGGACTTCCTGAGCTTCTTGATGAGGCCCATGGGCTTGCGCTTGAGACCACGGTTGAACCTGCGGCGGGCACGGGCGTGGACGAGGTCGCGGAGTTCCTCAGAGCCAAGGTCGAGGAGCCTGCATATCGATCAGAATACCGCCACCATCTGTATACATTCCCCATCGCTTTCGGAGAGTCGCGGGGGGTCGGGGGACGTACTGGTCGAGGTCAACGCCGCGGTAAGAGAACTTGCGGAACGCCCTCTTCGCCTTAAGGGCTGTTGGATTCGTTAGCCATGTCCTGTCACATTGTGCGTGTACGTATCCAAGGGAAGCGGTGCGGGTGTGTGGGAAGGGCTCGTTGGAAGGGCAAGAGCGTACCAGCTGCGGCCTCGGGGTCGTAGTCAGCGTCAGCCATATTTGCGATTGTCGAAGTAGCTGATGGGAGAACTTCGTTGGGGTCGCGAGGGTAGTTGTCGGTCGTCAACGGAATCGATGCGAAATTCAAAAGGTCCACGGGTGTAGCTGCCCTGTGCGCTAAGCGAGACCCCTTAGCGCCGGTTTGGACAGGTGCGATCATTCACACACAACACCACCACCCACCATCACTGAACTCACAGTGAACATTGTTTCGATGGTGGTGATTGGTTCCAATATGCTTTCAGGCCCCAATTGGTGACGCTGTATCGTCAACCTATGTTCAGGCCTCGCTCTATAAAAAAAGGCATCTAGTAACTCCAGTGGTCCTCGCATACAAACGAGCTCGTTCTTGCCAAGTCAACCCTTTGTAAGACTGTACAGGAAATGGTACTTTGAAGGTATGTGCCGTTACTTTCTTGCTGACAATGCAACGTGGAGGTTTGCGTACACCTTTGGATTAGGTTGCAGTATCTAGGAACAACTTGGGGAAAACGAGCTCATTCATAACATCACCTGGAGTCGATCCATTCTCAGTCTTTTTCACATCCTACAAGTCGCACCAATAGTGGGCGAAGGTCATGCTAGCCTCTCATTCCTAGAGTTACAGTCGTCGCATCTACTCTAGACTCCATGAGTGACATGCCTGCCACAAAAGTTGACGTAATAGTTACGGAAAAGGCAGTACAGCACTCTCGGTAGCACCTCATTTTAATTTACGAATCACACTCAAAGCAAATCATTGTTATAATAAAGGCTTGGCGCGGTCACAAAAAGCAGGTAAACTGCCTGTAGTGCTTGGAGGTGCATGGCTTCATTCCGGGTATCTCAGCAGGCAACTATTCTACTATTGCCGCGGTATCCTTCTCCAAGCCCCTTGCAGTGCACGCTCGACACTCCCCAAATGGTTCTCATTGCGCATGATTCTCGTGATAGTCGAGAGATTGGCCGGATCATACTTCGTAAAGGTAGGTGAAGGTGTTTGTTTGGCGATGGTGATGCGCTTAGTCGAAGAGACCGAAACCCATGTCCTCGTCAGACTCCTCCTTCTCCTCCTCCTTGGCGGCCTCAGGAGCGGCCTCAGCCTGAGCGGAGCCACCAGCGGCAGCAGCACCACCGGAAGCGGCAGCACCACCGGCACCACCGGAGGGAACGGAAGCAAGCTTCTCGGAACCGGAAGCGATGAGCTCGTTGATGTCCTTGCCCTCAAGCTCGGAGATCAGCTTGTCAAGACGGTCGGAGTCAGCCTCGATACCAACGGACTCAAGGACGGCCTGTTGCGACGTTAGATTGGGACAAAGCCACAGAACAGCGCGGTATGAGACTTACCTTGACGTCGGCAGCGGAGGGCGAGGTGTTGCCACCAAGGCCGAGGAGGAGGTATGCCGCGAGGTGCTTCATTGTGATTGTGGTTTGGTGATTTGTAGGAACAGGAGTTCAATCAATTTAACCTGCGCTTGTCAGTATTGCGCTGCTGGAAGCAGATTCAAAGTGGTGCGTACCGTCGGGACCGGAGACTGAAGCTACAAGTTCTTGCTGTAGGTTGTCGTTCAGAAGAAAAAGTTCGAGGTCCGCGAATATTGACTTCTGGTGGGATTTCGCTACTTGCGCTATACCGTAAGACGACTAGCGCATATCGCCCGCTTTGTCACGTGTGGCTGGGCTAGGCAAGGCCCAGGTATAAAATCGACCTGTCTGCGCCGCCGCCGACCGCTCATTCTCTGGCCGCTCCCCTCTTCAATCTTCGACCGGTCCCGTGCGCCTCGCCCCGTCTCCGCGCGCGCGATCAGTCCCTGACGACTAGTTACTCCGGAGATTCTTACCCGGAAAGCATGTACAACTTGTCCTCCAATCGATTCGACGACCGGTAGCCCTGAGTCAAACGCTTATCAGTTGCCCACTATGAGTGTGAGTTTGGCGACTCCATCCACGTCGGCTCTCACATGCTGACTGCATCATTTAGTCTCTCAAAGACATCATGTCTATAATCGACCCGAGCGCGAAGACACAGGCGACCGTATCCAAGCAAGCCTCGCCTGCCGGAGCCCCTAGGCCAGTGTCGCGACCAAGCGGAGGGGCAAATGGCGCATCGCAGCCGCCTCAGTTGAAGCGCAAGGCATCGGGGCCGGTTGAGAGTGGACAAGTCAAGATACAGAGGAAGGAGGCTGTTGGGGGACCAGCGCAGCCAAACGGCGTGGCGCGTGCCACCTCGTCGCCTGCCACGTCAAGACCTACTCCATCCGCATCTACCACAGCTGTCCCATACCGTGGAACCGCCGCTCCAGCATCATCGAAACCAGCAAATCCACCCGTCCGTAAGCCTCTACAATCGTCAAATGCACCCGCTGCCAGACCCAAGGCCACTGCGCCTGTGCCCGCGCCCGCGTCCAAGCCTGCACCACCTGCCACATCAACACCAGCCTCGTCCGCCGCACCCAAGAAGGGGTATCTCGCTATGCTTCAGAAAGCCAAAGAGAAGGACGCGACAAAGCCCATCGCTCCGCCGATCAAGCACGAGCCAACCAAGATCTTGTCAAGAAAAGAGCGCTTGGCACTCAAGGCAGAAGCAAGTGCTGGGGCAAAGGGCAAGAAGCCTGTTGCTGGATTACCTTCAAGGGCTCTAGACCCGAAAGCCGATCCCTCGAAAGAAAAGAAGAAGCCATCCGAGGTTGGCTACCAAGGCACAGCCCGGCCGGCCAAGAAGCCTGTCGAAGTTGGATACAAAGGAACAGCCCGTCCGGCGAGTGCTCCTGCAACGTCAAGTCGGAACGGCACGCCAGCCGTCAAGGCAAAACCGAACCCGGCCAAGGGACGCTACGATGGTTATGCAGACTGGGACGAACTTAGTGACATGGAAGATGAAGAAGAAGACTATGCCTCTGATGCTTCCTCCGACATGGAAGGTGGTATCTGGGACGTCGAAGAAGAGGAACAGATAGCCCTCAAGGTCGCTAAGAAGGAAGACGCTGAGGCATTAGCCGAGGAAAACCGGCTGAAGCGTGAGAAGGAGGAACGAAAGAAGAAGTTGGCGGCTATGGCTGCCAAGGCTAAGAAGAGGTATTGAGGTTCTTCGGCGTTATGGTTTACGATCACACGGCATGGGGGCGTTTCATCTGCATTCTCGCGGTTGCATAGCCATGGAGCGGTTTCTTCTTTTACTCTGGCGCATTTACGATTGTTGCATACCCCGAACAACGATCATGGCTTCACAGCAAGTGTCTCACTGGAAGAGACTCCAATACAAGTAGTGTATATTTATAACGCCATCGGCAATAACACCCCTTGGCTTCAACACCACACGGTGTCCTTTCTCATAACTTCCATCGTGCTCGTCCCAGTCTCCGCGCAATCACTTCCTGACTGCTTACACAATTCCACTGCAGACAAGTGTGTTCGGACATCACCATGATCATGCGTGATTCTGCGATTGTCATTGAAGCGCACCATCAGCCAACGCATCCACAAACGCCCCTTTATCACAATCGGACAAATTGGATTGCCAAATAACGCATGCATCCCCATGATCGAGGACTGTATTCCCACATCCTGGCCTTCTTGTATCATCTAGCATCTACGACACCTGGTTTCCAGCTCCTAAACTACAAAGATGCCATCATTCCAGCGGCTCAAACACCCCTTTCGACGCCCTACTCATTACTACACGATCCATGAACCATCTCCTACACCAAGACAACTAGAAGAACGACGTGAGAAGGAGAGGCGAAGGGCACGCGACAACATTGAGAACGACCTTGATGACGGGCGTGTGGGGCCTAGGAGTAGTGATTCGCCTGACGAGCTTCCAGTGATCATCGACAGAGGTCCATACAGGGGTCACATTTACCCACGGGAGCAGCTTTTCTTCAACAGCATCATGCTGGCCTCTGATGTAGAGCCGATTTACGCTGGCCCACTGGGAGGAGAGCTTAGACAAGAGGTGCACAGAGCCCTAATAAGGCGCCCAAAGACGCAGCGTGAGCAGAAGCCACGTTCAAGGCCTGTGCCAAGTGAATACTTGACCGCATCACAGAACGCAGAAAATCTAAGGCAGTGGGAAAAGCGGAACAGGGTTGATGAGATAGAGCAAAGAGAGTATCCGAGACCCGTGCCGAGTGAGTATTTGACGGCCAAACAAAACGCTGAGAACTTGCGGCGATGGAAAGAACGCAGCAAAAGTCTTGCAGCTCCACGAGCACAGGTTCTAATGCGGACCCCGTCTCCCCCAAGATCCCCATCTCCACCAAGGGGTCCGATCACGCCTGGCACCAGAGAATGGGATGGCTTCATGGACTTCCCTTTGGATAATTCCCTATACGCTGATGACAGCAAAGAGGTCACTGTAGATGCACCTGACTTAGCATGCATCCTACCGACGACATCCACACCTAATGTTCCACCGCACCTGACGAATGCGCCTGAAACTGATATTGTTCCAGTACCGCAGGCTGATTCCTCTTCCACACCAGTCCACTCAAATTGTTCACAGACAAAGGCTGAAGGAGATGCCTCAAGAAGACTAGGGATTCGATTGTCAACCGGAAACGAGCAGCCTGAACAGCTAACATGGAACTCAGCGCTCAACAGTATCCTGCGCAATGAAACCGTCGATTCAGTCATGAAAGCAAGAGTCAGAGAAAGAATTGAACGTTGTATCACCTCTGCTGATCAAAAGCTTTTTGGCAAGAACTCTTACCCTGTTACTATGAAAGACGCTGGTCTTGTTCCAAATTTCAGCCACCCAAATGCTGGGAGTGAGTTTCATGACCGTCTTCAGTCTGGACAGGCGGACCGGTCGTTGTCACTGGAAAATTTTAGACAACAACCCGAGGAACAACAGAAGGAACAGTCACTGCCTATTGGTGTGAATGCTGGATATCACAATCGTTCGAATTCAAGTAGCGCTCTCTATTGTTCTCTCCCGCACTCCGACTGGCCACTACGCGGAGGTAATGAAGAGAGTCCACCTCAGCTAACTAATGGTGTACTACCAGGTTACTATTCTTCGTCATCGGGCTCTAGTGACGACTCCAACCATGATCCCCATCATCGCCCAGTGTCACCCCTTGATCGTGTGCCAGAGCATGTCTTCGCCTTTCTCTGTTCTCTACTGACATCGTCCGAACTCGCCCTCCACTACGATGTCATCTACGATTCGGCTCCTCCACATCCTCCACCATTTCCCAATCTCGTACCACGCAGCAATGCCATGTCGGCGATCCCATTAGACGTGCGTCTCGTCCAAAAGCTACACACTGCGGTTTACGATCTCCAAGATCGCATCGTTGGCGTAGAAGAAGACCTCATTCCAGAACTTAGCACAAATCTGGAGAACAAGTACCTCCAGGTCAAGGAACTCGATGTACAGAATCTCAGCCTGCAGGAAGAGGTTATAGAACTCAAGCGCATAGTAGACTTCAGCAACAAGGTTCTGGCTGGATGTTGGGAGCGCGAATGGGAGGTGTGGCGCACACTTAACGATATCCAAAGGAGACGTAAAGCATGTCGTGGTCGGCTGACTCGTATGTTCTCACGTGCCTCAGATGCTACTATCCAAGACGATGAGTTGCTGCACTCTCATAGGCCAGAAGGTTATGTGACCCAGACTCAGCCGTTCGGAAGAGCAGCACAGGGCCCTCTTAAGAAGAAGGAACTTGACGCTCTTCTACTGATGGCGAAACAGAATGTCAGCATACTTGTCGAGGATTTTGGGGAAGCAAAGGGGCTGGTGGAGGCGTTTCGAGAGAGGAGCGAAGTAGATGAAGAGGTGCCGCCTGCGGAAAGGTAGTGAGAGGATGTGTAATGGTCTTTGCGAATGAGTAGGTCGGACATAGTTTGAACCAATTCTGTTTTCAGCTGGAAATCTCCTTGTGGTCGTTTCAAGACTCTAGTACCTCGAAGCTGCTAGAAGCTGGGATCTCAAATGCGATATTAGTCCTTGTGTGCAGTATTGGCTGACCGTAAGAGAGGTAGCTGTGCATCTCCCCACCTGTGCGCTAAACTTCAGCTCTAACGCGCCTGTCCTCGCAGACTCCTACACACCCCATCCTCACAGCAATCGATCCTGTGCGAACTCCCAACTAGATGTAATGGCTGAGATCGTTGGCACAGTAGTATCTATTACCCAGCTTGTGCAACTGAGTGGTGCCTTACTCGCTGGTGGCTATAGTTTCCTATCCAAAGTCGCGCGAGCGCCTAGCGAGATCCGGGGTCTCCTGACTGAAACCGCTGCTGTCAACAGCCTTCTAGCGCAACTCCAGCAGATTGCAGACTCGGTACCTAAGAACGCTTCGGACGATGCGCTGCAAGCCCTCGAACGCGTCGGTGTCTTCCAAGAATGTCAAGCAATCCTGAAGTCGATTGAAAAGGCACTAGCCAAATGCGAGCAGGTCAATGGTCAAGACGCGAGGAATCTTGGAAAGAAGTTGATGTGGCCGTTTAAAGAGAAAGAGACAAAGGATGCGTTGCAGAGACTTCATCATATGCGCGGGTTGCTCGCGAATGCAATCGACGCCAATTCGGCGTGAGTATGTATGCTCCATGCTGAGCATATAGCCTAAACGGTTTGCAGATCCGCGGTACGGCGCATCGAAGTGGGACAAGCCCTACTCTCAGATGAAATTAGAGAGGTATCCAGACACCTCAGCACCCAGAAGAACTGTGAAGAAGCACGTAAGGTGGTATCATGGGTCTCTTCAACGCCATCCGATGGTGCTCATATCAGTCTTGCAAGTGCTTTGAGCCGCCACATTCCTGGTACTGGAACATGGCTCTTACAGTCCAAGCAATTTCAGAATTGGAAAAACTCGGAGATCGGTACAATGTGGATAACGGGTCTGTCAGGATCGGGCAAAACGCTTCTCTGTGCTTCTATCATCCGAGACATCCAGCAGTTATGCGCAGAGACTACTGCAGTCGTCTACTTCTTCTGTGACCATCGTGATCGCACAAAAACAACACACGAGAATTTTGCTGCGAGCATCGTAAGGCAAATGATGGAAGCTTCGTCTTTGTGTCTCGAACAAGGCAGAGCACTGTACAAAGAGAAGTCCAAGGAAGGCAGTCGCCCTTGTCATAAAGACGAGTACATACCACTGATCTGTTCTTCGGTGGAAAATCTTAAAGAGGTTTTTGTTATCGTGGATGCGCTGGATGAATCCACTCAGGGCGATGCTATAGCCCAAAGTCTCGTGAAAATCCACGACTCTGGCAGAAAAGCGGGCTGTCATATCAGAGTTCTTTTAACGAGCCGATTCGACGCCCGTATACAAGGGCGATATCCGACCCTTGCTATGACACATGTTGTTCTTGCAGAGAACATGCGCTCTGACATTCAGCACTACGTCAATGAAGAACTTCAATTACGTCTCGCCAAGGGCGTACTGAAGGTCAGGAACGACAACATTTTGCCTGCAATACAGCAATGCGCTTTACTTCGTGCTGGCACGTAAGTTCCTCTTCTCTCATGCATGTATACTTTGATGCGAAGGTTACTAAGTATCATGTATTATCTTAGAAAGACAGTTAATGAAGTTTAGGATACTACAAGCAAGGTTGCAGATCGACTACCTTTGTACAGCAAAGTCGGACAAAGAGATCAAAAACATGATACAAAGGTTGCCTAACGGACTCGGATACACGTATCAAACACTTCTATGTGGTATCGCGATGCGATATCCGACGAGAATTGTAGAGGTGCAGAAATTGTTCCGGTGTCTTGTCACTGCTGCCGAGCCCCTTACTGCTTGCGAGCTATCAGAAGTGTTGGCCATCGAACCCGACGAACGCGATCTAGATCATGACGCCGTGGCCACTGATCCTTTCGATGCCTTGGAACCTATCTCTGCTCTTGTTCGGATCGAAGGAATGGGGACACTACGCAGTGTAGTAAAACTTTGCCATTACTCGTTCCAAGAGTATCTCTGCTCTCATGCCATTCGACAAAGTCCGGCCCACTTGTTTCATATTGACAAAGAAGAAGCACAAGCGTGGATGACTGGTCTATGCCTGCAGTATCTCACGTTGAATACTTTCGATACGCCAATAGAGTACGGTCTGGATCTGGGTTCCAATAGTAGTTACGCCTTTCGACGATATGCAGCAGCCAACTGGTTCAAGCATGCCATGATGGCAGAAAACTACTGGTTACTACGAAACATATCCATTCCTTTTCTGGGTTTTTTCCTGGACGCTGGTGAGGGACCGCCTTGTTACAAGAGATGGCAGAATCTGGTTGCGAATACTTACATCGACGCTGACTTTGTCGATTACTCCCCTATATGTATATGCATTTGGATACCACTGAATGGCATTGCAAGAAGCTTGACCCATCAACTACCCTCGTTGGACCACACTTTTGAGAACGGTCTGACATGCCTTGCTGTAGCAGCGAAAGAAAACAACCTTTACATGACAAACTACCTGCTACACCATGGCGCGAACCCTAACAAACCGACTTCTGAACCGGGCTTTCCGAGAGCCATGACTCCGATACATTTCGCTGCGGAATACTGTGCATTCGAGGTATTAGAAACGCTGCTAAAGCATGGGGCTGACCCACATATTCCTTCAACTTCTGGGGCTACCCCATTCTACCGGGCTTGCCGTGGTGGAAATCTAGACATAGTGAAGAGGCTCAAGGAGTGTGGTTGCGATATTAATGTACGGACTTGGGACAGTTGGACACCTATGATTGAGGCAGTCGTAAACGACCACGAGAGCGTTGTTGATATCCTTATCGAGTGGGATGCCGATGTATCTACTGTCACAGGAGACGGCGAGACGGCGCTTTCGATTGCTGAAACTCTCGGTCAATTGACGATCGTAGGAAAGTTTAAGTGTGCTATCAGTGGATTACAAGAGACCATGCCTAACATCTTACCTGAGAAATATAGAGAATAGCGTAACACGAGAAGTGAATCTCTAGAGAAGACAAGTAGCGCAGGGGTACTCTAATAATATCTTGTTGACACAATGAAGTCAGTACTTCGTTTACAGCAAGTGGTGAAGGTATGCGTTCTGCAATTGTAAGTGTACATCACGTTTGAACCTCAGTGGCGTTCATCGCCATCATCATCTTTGAAGTCTTGTTTGCTCTCACCACCCCGCATAGAACCATCCAGATGATCAACGACGCCAAAGCTCTGTACCGCTTAATCCGTTACGTTCGTTGACCTAGAATAGAGAAGAAGCCAGAGGACGGATCAAAGTTATTGTGTAACCGAACTAACTGTAGTGGCTTAATGAAGTACACCCGTACCAGCAATGCACGCCAAGAGATATGAAGATGGCAGAGCGGGACACATACTGGACTTGTGGTAGGATGAATGCCTTGGTCAAGATGGTGAGGATGGTAGGCGCCGGAGCTGATGTTAACGCCCGAAAGGCTGAAGGTACAGAACGAAACCATTATGGGCAACGCGCACCTGCGAGATGACTCACAACATTGGTTGTTTAGAAGCTAACTCTGATCATCCATGGTTGCGTTCGTTCAACTCTGGATGATCTCTCACGTGCAAAGACCGGCGTGTAACTACCAAATTAGCGCGACCATACATACCTAGGTAATTTGTCAACCACCATATATCTCTTCTGCATCGTCACTAGCTTCTCTTCATTTGAGCATCTCCGGAACCGCTGGAATACTCATCCTTCGTACATGAGGTTCGCAACCCATGTCGCTTGCGTGCTTGATGTTCCACCCGTCGGCCATCCCGTGTCCGATCGTTCTCGCTCTATTCGCCCATCTGGAATCTACCCCTCCAACACACCAGATACGTCCGAACACAGTACATCATGCTCAGCCACTACATTAATCCCGCAAATCCAGCTTCGGCGCGCTCGCGGTCGTGCTAATGTAGCTGGAAAGGTTGCTCTGCGCTACGAAAGGCCACACCGAAAGTCTAGTACGTTGCTCGGTCATATCTGTGCGGTGGCTTTGCGGTGCCACGATGGAGACTCAGATGTTTACCATGACGTTTTTGGTGATGAGTTGCTGCGGAACCATTGCGCATTCGGACTTTGCCGAGATCTAGAGCGGTCCTTAGCTCATGGCTCAGCTTCACAGGGGTCGCAGCGATAGCAATGGAGCAAAGACGGCAGAACCAACACCAAACCTGCTTTTGGTGTTGCGGGGTGATAGAGGGGTAGGTCTGCGTCCGAGAGAGCGTACATAAAGAGGTAGGATGTCTGCCATAATCATCAGCAATCAACAAGCTCCGATTTCTTTCTGCACAATAGATTCTCAATCTTCAATTCTTCCAAACAAGCACCAGTTCTCATCACCATGTCTTACAACGATAACGATCGCGAGGACCGTGCCTCAGGCTACGGTAGCAGCAACCGTGACGACAATGAGTACGGGTCTAAATCCTCCGGATATGGAAACAATCAGGATGACTCCTCTTACGGCAACAAAACGTCCAGCTATGGATCGAATGACAACGACAGCACTTCCTACGGATCTTCTACGCGCAGGAACAATGACGAGGATACTTACGGATCTGAGAAGAAGTCATCAGGATATGGTTCTTCCGATCGCAACGAAGACTCGTATGGGTCTGGCAACAAGACCTCCGAGTTTGGCTCATCGAAGCGCAATGATGACGACGATTCGTACAGTAGCAATAAACAGTCAAGCTATGGCTCATCGGGTCGTAATGACAACGATAACACCTATGGTTCAGAGAGCAAGTCTTCGGGCTATGGATCATCAAACCGTAATGACAACGACGAGGGCTCATACGGCAGCAACAAGCAATCCAGCTACGGCTCCTCGAACCGCAACGACAACGAGGACTCTTACGGAAGCAACAAACAGTCCAGCTACGGTTCATCAGACCGTAAGGATGATGATGACTCGTATGGAAGCAAGAACCAGTCAAGCTACGGCTCATCGAACCGTGACAACGACGACTCGTACAGCTCCTCTAACCGCAAAACCAACGACGATGATTTTGGCTCAAGCAACAAGACTCATGGCTCAGGAAACACTTCTTCTGGGTATGGTGGCTCTTCGGGTCGTGACGACAATGATTCGTACGGAAGTTCTGAACGCCGGAACGAGGACAGCTATGGCTCCAATGACCGCGAGAGTTCTGGGTATGGGGGTTCGAACAGGAGGAGCGATGACTACTAAAGGTCGATGGGATAGGATGAGGTTGGTTGGTTGTGAATGTCACGTCACGGGTCCAAGCTCTCCTCCGACATCACAATGCAGCGAACATTGCATTGGTACTATATTTGTAGCAGCAGACATGAATCGCACCCTGACGACGCTGACCGCTAATCGTTGAATTGTCCGACGTGACGTGATGTGCATGTTGCTGTAACACTAGCGCGAATCATGACAGGGAAGCTTGCCGCATAGTGGGTGCTGTACGTCAGTAGTGAGGGGCAGCGCCTTGGTTGGAGGGGCAAGCAACTTCCAAGGCCGACAAGAGCTATAGCTGGCACTTGGGTACCTGACATCCTCCTCAACACACATCTGCACATTCAAACTTTGCCAACCCTCAATCCACATACAACCCTCACTTCTCCAACGTTTTGTAAGTCATTGCTCCCCCATGGTCATCAATGATCTACAACCTTCTCTACTTGCATGTTCGCGTCGCATAGCTCTGAGCAAGCTTAAACGACGTGGGAGCATTAGCAGTCAATTGTTCTCCGTTCTGGCATCGCTAACAAGAAAGCGGACTTTTAGACCTTCAACATGTCATACAACGACGATCGCCGCGAGTACGGCCAGCAGTCTGGCCATGGTGGTCGTGGAGACGACCGCCGCGAAGAATACGGCCGACCCCAGGAAGGTGGCTTTGGTGGGCCTGCTCTAGGCGACGAAGAGAGGAGAGGCGGAGGCGGAGGTTATGGCTCCTCTGGCGGTTACGGTGGTGGTGGTGGTGGTGGTGAGCGTAGAGAAGAATATGGAAGACCACAGGAGGGCGGCTACGGTGGTCCAGCGTTGGGTGATGAGAGACGCGAAGACCACGGTGGACGACGACACGAGGGTGGAGGATATGACAACGACCGTCCCAGCGGAGGCTACTCTGGAGGTGGAGGCTACGGCGACGACAGACGTCAAGAGTCTCGTCCAAGCGGAGGTTACTCAGGAGGTGGCGACAACTACAACGACCGCCCTAGTGGTGGCTACGGTGACGACAGGCGCCACGAGTCCCGTCCCAGTGGGGGCTACTCAGGTGGTGGCGACTATAATGACCGCCCATCCGGAGGTAGCAGCTATGGAGGCAACACTGGAGGGTACGGCGGATCAGGTAGCCACGGAGGGCAACACTCTTCGGGCACATCCTACGGCGGCGGCGGTGGCTATGGTGGTGCCTCGGACGATTTCTCAGGTGCGGCCCAGCATGCTTCGAGCGAGTCTGGAAACAGCGGCGACAACGATCTGTTTAGCAACGTCCTCGGTATGCTGTCCGGAAAGAAGGACAAGCTCAAGGATGAGGATGTAGATGAAGACGATGCAGTCAAGCAGCACGAGAAATTCTACGGCGGTGGTGGCCACGGCGGTAACGAGCAAGCCAGCTCAAACAACGTCGGCGCTGCTGCGGCTATGCAAGCCATGAAGATGTTCAACAACGGCAGTAACGAGGATGCCAAGGGTGGACAGAACAAGTTCATCGGGATGGCCATGGGTCAGGCAGCCCAGCTGTTCGACAAGCAGCAAAGCGAGGGCAAGACTGTAGGTCTTAAGCGTACCTTACACATTTGAGTGTTTTACTGACATACTTAGGATCCGGCTGCTACTAAGCAAGATGCCATTGCTCAGGCTGCACAGATGGCTCTCAAGTTCTATCTGAAATCGCAGATGGGCGGAGGCAGCGGTGGAAGCGGCGGTGGTAACTCTGGAGGCGCTCTCGGCAGCGCGCTCAACATTGCGAGCAAGTTCATGAGCAAATAGAGTCAGTCTGCATAGCAGACCAAGAGGTCAAAACGCTATTCTGACCCAGATAAATTCATTGTGACGCGGCGTCACAATATGCTTGCCGTGTTAAGAAATTGTCTCACGTGCGTGGAGATATGATGCCGTTCTAGCCATCAATAATCTTTCATTAAACAGGGAAACCGATAAGCGAGAGTGAAAGACTGTGGCGGTAACGTACGAATCATATGCCCAGTATGATTGACGCACCAACCGCCATTGATATGTGGCGTACCGCACAATCAGCCGTACTAGCAGCGTGAGCCGTTGGCACGCCTAACTCCCGAAGTCCCGTTTGTTGTCTATCTCGCGACACAATAAAGGTATCCAGCTTACGTCTGTTCTCTGGAAATCTGCTGTATGGACGTTATTAACGAATTGCCAGCATTATTGCTCGTGTAATGGAGGGTTTGTAGGATGGGATAGTCTGGTACTATGTCAATGCGCGGGCCCACATCCTGCAGCTGTCTACAAGCTGCGTCTAGAAGATCGCATCCCCCATGACCTGTCTGGGCGCCCAAGAACGCGTCTTAGGCCTAGTAAGCGTGGCTTGTCTGCTTATCCGGGCCAAGTGTAAGCAATCGACAGACCGGATTGAGGAGATGAGCTGGGAATCCAACAAGCCGCACCCTTACCGGGGTACATCATGGGCTGCCGCCTTTCGGTACTTGTGTTTCCTTCCTGCTCTCAGTCTGCTTGTACTTTTCTTTGTGCTCTCGATACCCTAATTGCTGGTTTTTCCTAGCTCTCATCTGGTTCTAATCGATCGTTACGTATGCGCCGTCATGATGCACAGTGCCCACTCAGTCGCTACTCAAGCTAGCCTGTCACTGCTGAAGCTGTCGTCTCTGTTACTGCCCTTTGTTACTGCACAGGATTCCGTTAGCTATGACTTCGACAGCTATGGAGTTTCTGATCCGAGTGGCGCGCCGTACCAAACTTACAGGTCGAACACGAATGTGAAGCCACCGCAGATGCAGATCAATCGAAATGGAACAGCGTTACAGAGCGGACTTGTGTTCCTGGGGATCAATGGTCTGCCTACGAGTGGGCAGAATTGGCCAGCAATATTTGGTATGTTTCTCTTTTTTCCAAGGAGTTAATTAGATTTTACGTGTAAGCCATGCATTTCAGCCGCGCCAGGTCGATCGTGTAACGCTGAATTCATATACTAATTCGTGTGACCAGAATTCTCAGATGATCGCATGGGGTCACTTGTATGGACCGGCAACTACAGCGAACCTTTCGATTTCAAGACGCAGACATACAAGGGCGAGCCTGTACTTACACTCTGGTCTGGAGAGTTACTGAACGGCTACGGACGAGGTTCATATCATATCCTCAACCAAAGCTATGACGAGATAGCGCACTTTCAGGTCAACCGTTTCGGAGATGAAATGGGCGATATCCACGAGTTCGACATCACTGCTGATGATACCGCACTTGTCTTGATCTACCATGGCATTCCATGGGATTTGACTGCATCCGGAGGTATCGAGAATGGTTGGCTGTTCGAGAATACTTTCCAGGAAATCAACATCGAGACTGGAGAGCTTATTTTTGAGTGGAATGCCAGTACTCATGTTGGAATCAACGAGTCGTACAACTCTCTCCCGTCTGAGGTTGGCCAATCCGAAGAAGCGCCGTGGGATTACTTCCATATAAACTCCGTCGAGAAGGACAGCAACGGTGATTACCTAGTCTCAGCACGCGTCATGGACGCCATATACAAGATATCTGGACAAGACGGAAGCATCATCTGGCGCCTTCAAGGTAAACAATCGGACTTTGACGTTGACCCGGCTGCCAACTTCGCTTTCCAACACGATGCTCGCTGGCTCAACGACAACCAAACTCGCATGACGATTTTTGACAATGGACCCACCGAGACGATTGACTATTCGCGAGGTCTCTTGCTCGATGTCAATCAGAACGAAAAGACCGTCAAACTTATTACTGAATTCACCAACCAAGGCAAGACCTTTGCAACATTCGAAGGCAGCTTGCAAGCCATCGACCCTTCTAACGGAACCACAAACTTCATGCTTGGCTTCGGCAGCCAGCCCTTCTTCACTGAGTTGGACCACCAAGGCAACATCCTTCTTGACGTACAGTTTGGCAAAACTAACGTTGTAAACGCATACCGCGCGTATCGCCAGCAATGGGAGGGAAAACCATCCACCAAGCCGGATGTGCACTGGGATCAAGACGGAAACACGGCGTTCTTCTCTTGGAACGGGGCCACTGAGGTCGAAAGTTGGGTTGTATGCACGGCCAATGCGAGCGATTCACGTACCTGGACCAATGTCACTGTGGCAAGGAGGACAGGATTCGAGACAACAATCGACCTTTCCGATGCACAGTTGGAGAGCTTTGTACGTGGAAAAGCTGTGAGCAGGGATGGTACTGCGTTGGGATGGACTATGGCGAGTGATGGGAATGAATTGTACGATGCGCCAGACGATGTTGATGAGATTGGATCGGCGAGTGCTCCTACTTCTACGGCTTCTTCTTCTTCTTCTTCTTCTTCTTCTTCTTCTTCTTCTTCTTCTTCTTCTTCTTCTTCTTCTTCTTCTTCTTCTTCTTCCACGAGTACCTCAGCGCCATCGAGCACAGATACTGCTCCTTCGAGCACTTCGAGTGGCGCTGCGACAAGAGCGACACATGGGGTTATGGAGCAGGTGTACGTCGCTGCTGTCGTGGTGGTAGGCGGGCTCGCTCTTGTGTAATGCAGTTCTTGGCGCGAGGACGATGTAACGATAACGAGGTATTGCTGTAGCTAGAGACGTAATTCTAATAACTGTCTACCATCGATGTTCCTGGAATTTACCATATAGCAAGCGGTTTCAACCTTCAAGAGCATGCGCGATGGTCCGGCCGACGTGCCGACGCGTCCCCACAACCCCAAGCTTCCTGCCCATTCGATTCACTCCCCTAGGTAGCAACAACTCCGCTCCCGCTCTTTTCCGAAGAAAGTGTTACCAGATAGTATCGCATGCGTTCTACGTGGTTGCTACTATGACTGGTCTTATGTTCTTAAGCTCCACACTACTACTCTCGTATCACGCATGCAGACCGGATCCATGAGCGTTCCAGCACCACCTCGCGCTGTATCACCACTTGGCCTACCTGCGGCGGCTCTCCATGATCGCGCCCATGCAGAACCACATCCTGACTCAGAAGTTGCAGTGCGCTACGAGCGACAACGCTACTCGCAGGAGTTGGGACCCGTACGTCGCGAAAGAACTACTACACTGAATGAACCGCGTGCGATACCTAGTCTCAACAGTATACGATCGCGCAATGCGTTGCTGCGCAGCTCGACAGATGACTCAAGAGAGGATCTCAGGCGCCATGCTTCTGACATCAGCATAACAAGTGCACAGGTCAATGTGTATCAGGAAGGACCTGGTAGAGACGAAGTAGCAAGGACGGAGCGGTGGTATGGCCCAGTTGTCAAACTTTGGACTGCACACGTTAGCCTGAGCATCGATGAAGGAGCGCACAGAGATCATTTGGGTATATCCCCTTCCCTGTCCACTCTTGCATGTTTCGGCAGCTAATGAGGCGCTCAGCACTCGAACGCACTTTCCTAGGCTACCTCCGTACCTCCCTTATCCTTGTCATGACAGGAGTTTTGACCGCTCAGCTCTTCCACTTACAGCATTCGGCTACGCCTAACCCGCACTTTGGTTTCTACAAGGTCGGGAAACCGCTTGCAGCAACCTTGATCTGCATGGCTATTGTCGTGGTGTTAGTAGGGGCAATCAGGTTTTGGCGGCTACAGAGGGCGCTTGTGAGAGGGAAGGCCATGGCAGGAGGGTGGGAGGTAGGGCTCGTCATGGTTTTGATGATATGTTTGCTGTTGGGGACATTCGCGGTGGTTGTTGGGGTAGACATCGAGAAGACGTACTTTGGTAACGAGTAGTACGTATGGGCGTCTTTGTAGAGACGAATGCTGATTCACATGCTACACTATGGCGCAGATGTGTTTAGTCAGCGCACCCGCCACAGGCACAAGTGCAGAACTAGTCATGTGCGAGTTGGACGAGTATCATCAAGGCTCGAACATGTCTCAAGTAGGCACGTCGCCAACGGTATGTCATCGTTTGCGGTGGGCCCAACTCAGACCCTTCGCAACCAGCCGAGTTCACTGTTCAAGTTGTGGCACTGTGGAACTGCGGCATAGCGGCACGCGCTACAGGAGCAAACCATAGCAACTCTGCGGGGCAAGGCTTTGGAAAGGTTTGCCAGTATCTGTGGATATATTGGCAGCGTTTAGCTATGAACCTCGATACGCGGTTGTCGCACTGAGAGCAGCGCGCAGTGGACGTGCTACAGATACGCGGAAACAAGGGAGAGTTTGTCAATGTGAGGCGGTTAAAGTTGTTTTGGGTGCGTGTTACTGCTCAAGTATCGCATGTCGATACGGGCCGTTAGTCGCAAACATGGCTAGTTTGTACGTCTGCACTGGGTGCGGCCTGACGCAATAGCGCCACTCCGCTTCTTAATTCTCCTACGCGACAACCTTGCGAACCGTGAGCCCAACCCTTTTTCTCCAACTCCCCAACACGACATTGCCCCCTACCCACTTCCGCCGTCGTACATAAGGCCCCGAAGCCTCGATCGCACCCCTCGCGCCGTCAACCCATTACCCCAGTGCAGCGCGAAGGACGCTCCGATACCGCCAACATGGGGCTCTCCAAATCCACGCGCATCATGATACTGCTCGCCATCGACACGGCTTTCTTCTTCGTCGAGCTGATTGCCGGATATACGGTGCACTCTTTGGCGCTGGTTGCCGACTCGTTCCACATGGTGCGTATATCTGGCTCGACGTAAAATGCGGAGGCGCATGCTGACCCCTCGCGCAGTTGAACGATGTCATCTCGCTCCTTGTCGGCTTGTGGGCAGTCAAGGTGGCTAGCCAGAAGACAAACTCAAAGACATACACATACGGAGTGAGTGGGTCCATTGCTTGTGCGCGACGGCTCTGCTAACCAGGAGCAGTGGCAACGTGCGGAGACTCTAGGTGCTCTGATCAACGGAGTCTTTCTAGTCGCGCTTTGTCTCTCCATTTTCCTCGAAGCCATCCAGCGATTCGTTGAGCCACAGGATGTTTCGCACCCCGTCGTCATTCTTATCGTCGGTTCTTGCGGTCTCGCGTCCAACATCATCGGTCTCTTCCTCTTCCACGATCACGGCCACGGCCACGGCGGCCATTCCCACGGACACGACGCGCACTCACACGCTGAGGAGGGTCACTCTCATGGTGTAGACGCGCATGACCATGCCGTCGCAGATGAGAGCGGTAATATCGCGGATGTGCTGCCCCAGAACCGCGTCGGCTTCCCGTCAAACCTCACCCAAACACCCACCAAGTCCAACGGTGTGTCATTCACATCCGACGCAGACACACGCCGCTCGTCTACTCCTGGAAAGAAGAACAAACGCCACAGCCGATCGCACTCGCGCAACTATGCCACCATCGACGAGATCTACGTACACCCTTCGTCCTTCAGGAACAGCATTATCGAGTCTTCGCGCGCGCACGACGACGAGGCTGACGACGAGGACAACAATGTCATAGATGACGACGAGCCCACTGAGCAGACTTCGCTTCTATCCAAGTCCAAGAACCACGGCTCACACGACCACTCTCACGGAAATGGCAAGACCAACAAGAAGGATCAGCACAAGAGCCACAACCACAACCAGCCCAAGAAAGAGTCATCCGCCGGCGGCCACGGTCATTCTCACGCAGATCTCAACATGCGTGGTGTCTTCCTACACGTCATGGGCGATGCTCTTGGCAACATTGGTGTCATTGGCACTGCTCTGTTCATCTGGCTCACCGACTTCTCCTGGAGGATGTATGCTGACCCCGCTGTGTCTCTGCTCATCACCGTCATTATCCTTCTGTCTGCTCTGCCCCTGTGCAAGGCTGCTTCTCGTATCCTTCTGCAAGCCGTTCCGGAGAACCTTTCCATCGACGACATCACTGAGGACATTACCGACCTTACCGGCATCGTCTCTTGCCACCATCTCCACGTCTGGCAGCTGTCAGACACGAAGCTTATTGCATCGCTGCACGTTCAGGTCGACTTTGACTTCAAGGGTGAGGGCTCGGCACGTTACATGGACCTCGCACGCCAAATCCGCGAATGCCTCCACCAGTATGGCATTCACTCTTCTACCATCCAGCCTGAGTTCTGCCTCGACGCCAGCCACGACCATTCAGCCCATGGCTCTGACGACAGCGGCGCGGAAGACGGCGGTCGCGTCAGCAAGAACCCCAGCGTAAAGGGCGGCCCTGATGCTTGTCTGCTAGAATGCCCCGACAGCTGCGGTGGAGGAAAGCAATGCTGCGACCCCAACACTACCGGTCCCAACGCGCCTTCTTCATAAGCAATTGCTCTTTTCCTTTCCATTGGCACTGCGTGTATTATTTGTTTCGTTACAGTACCCCGACGCTTGTATGTGTCAATGTTTCTTCTGTTTGGTAGGTCCCTTGTATCAAAAGGCTAGGGCGACATCATGGTCGCTAATTATGCATGGCGGGTAGAGAATGGGATATTCATGGACGGCATTGTAATGCATTGGAGGAGTAGAAGGCAGCTGAACATAATGAAGAAGTGATGGCGAAACGTGACTCATGTTTCGTATCCTTATCTCTCGACCGTTTACACCAACCTCTCCAACACAGCACTAGCTGCCACTGGGTGAAATAGTCGCGTGTCTCAAGTGCCCTGTGCTGACGGAGTGGAACGCTCGTGTGGGTTGTTTACCCAAGTGGGCAACATCTCCACACTCACACCCTGCGACACGAAGGGCTTCAAGCATATACCAAGTTTGTAATATGGAGCTCGTGTGGGCACCAGGACAACGAGCTTCCAGATCTGTGGGTTGGGCCGTGGGTCACTATCTTCCATTACTGCCGCGCACCTGCAGGCGTGGCCTTCTGGAAGCATTGGGGACAGGCACACAGCACCCAGCACCACGCATAACCAAGGACAGGGCCGGGATTAACGCGGGGATTGTACGCTTATACAAGGAACATGTACGCGACCCGACGTTCAGGCGCGCCACTGCGCCGCTGACAGGTAAATGTGTGTCGGTAAGAAAGCTTGACCGCGCCTTCCGTGTCTGGGCGCTACAGCTTAGCCGTGCTTATGGCGGAAATTGCATGTCGTGACGAAGGCGGAGTAACATTTACAGCGGAGAAGGACGTGATGTGCATGAAGGCCATGGCCTGCAACACGCGGTTGTCATTACCACGACAAGAGACCTGCGATATACAATGTCGGATTGCAATGTCCCCCCGTCTTACGCTCATCTCTCGCCTGATCCTCGGTCACTGTTACCAAGCAAAGATGGTCCACCACCATCGAAAACCCAACCACCGCTTAAATTCCCCACTAAGCAGCCCATAAGCGCGCGATGCGGAGATCCTCACAGACTCATTGGCCATATCGTGGCTTGAATCCCCAATCGAGCGTGTCTAGGCGAGACGACCGTGAACAGCTCCACTGCGGGTCAGAAGCTTATCTCTCTGTCTCCCTCTCGGCGTCGCCCGAACTAGTGTGTATTCGGGACTGTTTGGAAAGAAACCGAGGTCGTTAGATTCGGCGGTCCTGGTCCCTGAACCCGGAGAGACTGTCTGAACTATTTCTACTTTCCGCAATCGGGGTGGGTCGGCCAGGCAAATTTTCCAGATGAGTGTCTGGAAGGCTGGAGACTTGAAAAGATTATGGACCAGTCAGAGCTGGATTGCAAATAGAATATGTTGGCTATTTGGTTGCAGGATTGCCGATGCCATCCTATCTCTGTGGCGGCACGGTTAGCATGACTGCAGCTAAAGTTACGTGTGCGGTTTTTTATACGAGCATTGATGGTGCTGGGGTCGTTCAACGCCGCAGCAAACGGGCGAACCACAACTCACGCATTCACGGTGGTCAGGGCCCGGCAGCTCGGCACGGCGTGATAGAGTGTGGTAACCAACTACTTTGTCGAAAACACCAACGTAAGATCGCCGCGTGCAATCGCCGCGTTTGGCAGGTGCTTGCAGCTGTTCCGGCTTGGGGGCGAATCGGTTAGCTGCACGCCGAGCGGGCAATGGCGCGACTAAGCCGCCAAGGGAAGGCTTCGACAGGCCTTGTGCCGGACGACTACGCTTATTTGGTTAGAAGCAGAGTTATCAAGACGTTACATCGGTCATGGCGAGAGTGCTTGTGCGTGCTTGGTTCCACAGCCCTTGAGCGACAGAGGCGAACGTCGGAGCCATTGGATACGTGACTGGCAGGTGGATTCCGCGCGTGCTCAACGAGGGGGTGGGTTAAATAATGGAGGTGTCTTCGTTCTTCTATTAAGACTCCAGGTGTTACCGGACCTTCTCTTCTACCTCAGGTTACACTCACTCTGGGCTGACTTTCCATTGACTCTGTCTTTGGTTGCAATTGAGCTTTGAAGCCATGGCTACCGCCCATGAGACTACTGCGTATGTTATATACCTGCCCCTCGGCCCTTTTGTACTCGGGTTTGTCGGGACTACGACAGCTTACTGACACTTTCAACAGCGCTGAGGCACTCCAGCACGGTCAAGAGGTCGCTGACCACCACCCCCATCTCTACGGCGCTACCATCAACGACTCCAACGTCGCCGGCGCCCATGTTTCCCTCGAGAAGCCCGGTGCGCTGACTACCGGCTCCGGATCTGATGGTGCTTCCTTTATCCAAGAGGACGACGGCATCGGCGGTATCAGGCCTACCGCTGAGGAATTGAAGACCCTCCGCAAGGTCGGAGAGCCTCTTCCCAAGAGTGCTTTCTTGGTCGCCATCGTCGAGCTCTGTGAGCGTTTCACCTACTATGGTGCTTCCGGTATCTTCCAAAACTACATCTCGCGTCCTCGCGACGGTTCAGAAGGTCGTGGTGCGCTCGGTATGGGCCACCAGGGAGCCACTGGTCTCTCCACCTTCTTCCAGTTCTGGTGCTACGTCACTCCCATTCTCGGTGCCATCATTGCCGATCAATACCTTGGAAAGTACAACACCATTGTCATCTTCTGCTGTGTCTACATCGTCGGTCTTATCATCCTTACCTGCACATCTATCCCGGCTGCTCTCGACCACGGCGCTGGACTCGGTGGTTTCATCGTTGCCATCATTGTCATTGGTCTTGGAACTGGTGGTATCAAGTCCAACGTTGCTCCCTTGATTGCCGACCAATACAAGAGGAGGCAGATGGTCATTGGCCATGACGACAAGACTGGCGAGAAAGTTATCATCGATCCTGCCATTACTATCCAGAGGATTTACATGATCTTCTACTGGTGCATTAACGCCGGATCTCTGTCTCTGCTCGCCACCCCCTACATGGAGCGTGACGTTGATTTCTGGTCCGCCTACCTGCTTTGCCTCTGCGTCTTCTTCGTTGGACTGCTCGTCCTCGTCCTCGGTCGCAAGGTCTACGTTGTCCGACCTCCTCAGGGATCCATCATTACTGATGCTTTCCGCGTTATCTGGCTGATGATCAAGAACCGCAAGATGGACGCTGCTAAGCCTTCCTACCAGGCCGGCATGGGCAAGACCAAGGTTTTCAACTGGGACGACCACTTTGTCGATGAAGTTAAGCGCGCTCTCATCGCTTGCCAGGTCTTCGCTTTCTACCCAATCTACTGGGTTGTTTACGGCAACTTCTCCAACAACTTCGTCACTCAGGCCGGTCAAATGCGTGGCCACGGTATTCCCAACGACCTGATGCAGAACTTCGATCCCATCGCCATTATCGTTTTCTTGCCCATTGTTGACCAGTGGCTCATGCCCACGCTCCGCAAGCACAAGATTCCGTTCCCTCCGATCAACCGTATCGTAGCCGGATTCTGGATCGCCTCTTTCGCCATGGTCTACGCTTGCGTCATCCAATACTACATCTACCAATCCGGGCCTTGCTACGCGCACCCCGGTGCGTGTGACGCTGATCTCGTCGATGGCGTTCACCAGGGAAACAACATTCACATTGCCGCTCAAACTGGTGCTTACATGCTCATCGGTCTCTCTGAGATCTTCGCATCTGTCACTGGTCTCGAGTACGCATACACCAAAGCCCCGCCCAGCATGAAGTCGTTCGTTCAGTCCATGTACCTCCTTACCAACGCTTTCGGATCTGCTATTTCTGAGGCACTCAACCCGCTCGTTGTCGACCCCAAGATCCAGTGGATGTTTGCTGGTCTTGCTGTTTCGTCGTTCATTGCTGGTTGCATCATCTGGATTCTGTTCCACCACCTCAACGACACTGAGGACGAGATGAACCAGCTTGACCAGGACTACGATAAGGACCCAACCATGAGGAGGAGCAGTGTGCACGGAGACCGCACTGTTGGTGTTCACCACTCTATTGACGAGAAGGCATAGATGGTGCTTTATGGGAATCGCATGAGTGTGATGATGTTAGTATGATGTTAATGTGCTATATTCTGCATAGCAGCTATGATACCAAGATGAGAATTCAATCGTTCAAAACATTTACCTATTGCTTCGTTGTTTCTTGTGTAAGCCTTTCCTTTCCCATAAGAACAGTGAAACAAACAAAAAGTTTGCGCTGTGCTTCATGGGCTCTCATTGCTCTTGATCGAATTTGGAAACCGTCTGGAGATTATCGTACTTTTCTAAGCTGCGTAAGCATTTAGCTCTAAAGTGTGCTATCGAGACTGGTTTACAATTACAAGTCTCGTAAAGTTGGGGAGGGCATATTTGGTGCTAGAAGCAGGCGACCAATGGGAGCTAGCGGAGAGCTCAAGCCGCTACGCTAAGCCAGCCAGCCCCGCATCCATCCAAGCGCTCACTGGCCTCCCCCCATGCACATTCATTCACGTCACTTGTTTGTTTGCTGCGCGCTGAACGCTATCTGGAAAATCTTCAAACTTCTGCATCTGCTTCGGTATCGAAAAGCCCAAGTGCTCTGCAAACCTCGATGATCTCACTTACTATTTGGAGAAACCAGGAAGGCAGCCTACCTAGGTACGCTCACCTTCTAAATCCGGGCCCCCTAAGCTCGTATCAATGACCTGTCACACCTCGTATCCTTCCGCCTGCGTTCGAGACACCGCTTCTCTCCACCTTAGTATTATATAGCTCGGTTCTCCAGACGCGTCAGCTCGTTCGTCGCTTCATAGCTGAAGTCTGTTTCTTTGCTTTTGGTCCCTCTGACGCCTTCAGCCTCTTCAAATAACGCTGGACCCTGCCGGCCCTTCCACTCACACCACATTCAACACAGCTGTTCAAGATGACGTCTATGACCACAACAACGCCGACGACAACCTACAACTACTCGTACACCACCTACACAAACGCCTCACCCAGCCCTTTCACCAAACCTACAGAGTTCCCGTCTATATTCAGCTACGGCCCTGCAGTGGGATGTGCCTCGAATTCTGTCGCTCCTGAACAATCCGCGCAACCATCCAGCTATCCTATCAGCCGACCAGAGGGTCGCAACGGCGGATGTGTCATCAGCAACGACGCTGACGTCAACGATCATGCTTTCTGGGACATGTACGCATGCTGTTCAAGCAACGACTCCACCGCATTAGGCAGTCCGTTTCCTTGCACAGCGTCGTGCTCGATCACCGATGGTCAGAGCTTCTTGGACCTGGGAGAATGCCTGAGCAAGAGGGTCGAGATTGTTATCTGCAGCCCGCCTTTCGACCAAATTGATAGGAATTCGACGGACCCAGACGCAGCTAGCAGTGGTAGTGGCAGCGGCACGGCTGCGCAGTCGACTCCGGCTGGAACGATGAGTAAGAGCGGAAGTGCAAGCGCCAGCAGCGACACGAGCGCAAGTGCTAGTACTTCAGCTGCGGACTCGACAGGAGCTGCCAGCGCAGTGTATGTCACACAGGGTGCGTCTTCAAAAGCCGGGCTTTTGCTGTTTGGCATCATGGCGTTCGGTTCTGCTGCGGGCATGCTCTTGTAAAAGAGAGGGAAATGAATAATGGATGTCATGTCTGAGCTGCTCTACCTACATGTCTTTTTTTTTGCATCTTAATGTAAGCTCAATGCAGTTTCTCAGAGATAAGAAGACGCTGGGTGACTAGAGGACAAACATCAAAGTTGTCCTTGACTACTTTAGTAATTGATCTTGATGTTTTCTTCTCCCCTCGCGCTTTTGGTGAAACCCAACTCTCCGCATGAAGGTGACGCTGTTAGTCGTGGTATTTTAGCCCGCAAATGATATGTCATAGTACTACGACTGATGACACTACTGCCGAGAACGTATATGCGTAGAACATTTTCTTCATTGCAATAGGTTCTGATCGCAAGACAACCCAACAAAAAGCACCACAAGAGGTTAGCCCACGATCAAGAGGCTGATGGAAAGCTTGGAACGAAGCAAAAGTCTTCAAAAGACGTTTACATGCTATTTGAGGGACGGCAGTATGCATGTCTAGACAGTGGGAGTCAGTTTGAGCTTTTCTTGTTCTTTGAACTGGATTAAATAGCCACGATGACGTTACAAGTCACTGGGTTGATGAGCGAGTTGGTAACCATTATCACTTCGTGAGCGGATCGACAACGACAAGGCTGACAGCTTCAGCGTAAAGGCGGTGTAGACTCCTATGATGGCCAATCTTACCGGAACAACGCTGAAGATCCAAGATGCATGGGTCCTCAATCCAGGAGGGTCGTCAAAAGATATCATTCGGCTCCTGGTGGTGTAGTGGTTGTCTTCGCTGTCTGTCAGAATCGAAGGATCTGTTCGAACCGCAAGTATGGTGTTTGTCGTCAAAGCCAGTAAAGCGTTTGTCAGAACATGATCCCAAATAGCCAGGTGCAGGGCTTTCAATGCAGTTTCCATGACAATCGTCTCGGGAAGGTATCGTCAAGAGCGCATTGATCTGACAGACATAGTCGACCTTGGCCCTTGTAACGCCATGGTCGTACAGTATGTGCTGCTGCTAAGCAGAGTCATTTGATGGCGCGAAAGCGCGTTGGTGGTACACACGAACGTCGAATGAACAGGAGCCGTCCTGTCCTTGTCGGAGAACCATTGCGCAGCGAAAAGGGGAAACACCATGAGTGTTGCCTGTATATAATGTGCGCACTCTCGATAAGCCGTCCCCAAGACATTATCGGCCCGAGAATGCAGCGAGCAAGCCCATGAGTCGATAGCATAAATCCCCGGACGATTGTTTATGGCGGGGTTGACGAGGTTTGGCGGCCTTCGGCTCAGAAGTTCGCTTGTCAGTTAGCAGGAGCACTAGGAAAGCTCAAGAGCTTCAACACTGCTTCTCTACATCCGTTAACTTCGACTCTTTGATCTCCTCTTGGGAGAAACAAACTGGCCCGGATTTGTCGGCACGGGTCGAGCCAGCGGTTCTAGCGTGCGACGATCAGCTTTCAGAGAATGTTCTCATAGCATGCACGTCCGCACACCATCCCACAATCCTGGTCAGCTCTTTTGACGTATCGGCATAGCCTCCCAAGGCCACGACAATCTGCGCTTGCTATGGCTTTGACTGCTCATGGATATCGAACGTGGCTGTCTCTTGCTGTATACGACCTTGACTTTCTCCGGGCTTGCCGTCAAGCCTATCATGATGTTTAGACTCTGATTTCCGGTGAGCTTTTGTGTGTGTCCGATCGATGTGGTCCCAAAGATGGTCTCAAGCGGTGTAATGAATGGCAAGAAATGTCAGCTATGATTCGACCCATTAAGGCCTACTCATGCATACCCAGGGTTACGCTTCGGCGTGGCGATGTGGTTTTGCATATTTGTCTGACAGCTCAGAATGAGGCTCTTGAGGGAAAGGGTGTGGTGAAAGGCCCAAGGCGATCGTTGCGATAACATAAGTCACCTTATAGGTGACGCGACACCAGCGAGGCGTACTTATAATACTGGAGGCTGCTGGACAACAGCGATCAGTTCTTACCCTTCTCTCAAAATCTGTTCCCCTCTCAAAAAGTTCCATTCGATCGCAATGTCGAGGCGAACCAGCTCTGATCAGGGTGATGGTGGTCCTTCAGTCCTGGAACGCATCAAGGCTCTGCACGACCACAACGAGCTCTTCACGATGATTGCCGAGTTCCCGCAAGCTGGAATCCATAATACCTTCCCTGAGGAATGGGCACTAGCGATAGCATACGCGGAAAGTGAAGTCTATCGATGTAGAAGAGCCCTCGAGTGCTTTCAACGAAAGAACATACAGTCTAAGGAGCCCAATCCTAGTGAGGATGAATACAAGAACATTATGGACGACTTTCTCAATGCAATGCTGCTTCTTGGTATGTGAATCCACACCAGACAGTCTTCCACCATAGCTAACAGGGTTGAAAGGACGTATAGTCGAGGCTTCCCGGAAGATGAGCTCGTCTACGCCACCCTCAAAGAAATCCATGGACAGATATCGCATCTTCAGTCGTGTTGAAAAGTCTGGTATACGGGGAGCAAATGGAGAGATGGCGTCCATGTATGGCCAGATGGGGGAGCCTATACCGTTCTACCTGGCTACGGTAAATGACGAAGATCTCCAACCGATGGCGCGATTCATCTCCGAATGGCTCTTGGATCCTCTGGTGGATTATATCCTTGCGCCTCCTAGAGATCTCTTGTTGAAACTGCCAATGTATAAATCAAAGTATCCGGTCGAGAGCAAAGAGAGCAGACGCCGGATCTTCAACACCAAGACTGTGTCAGCTGTTGCTGAGACGTGCGTCTATACATTGGCGATACTGATTCTGGTCGCTCCGATTGCTACATTTACAGTCGTTGAGGAGCAATCCTTGAGAATCATTATTATGCCGCTATTCTGTCTGGTTCTCGTTGTGTCAGCACAGTTGATGGGGTCGGACGCGATGCCTTTGTACACACTTGTGGTCGCGTAGGGATACACAGCCTCCCCCTTTTGATCGTCGATCTGTACTGACATGATGATAGATACTTCCAGGCGATGGTATTCTATGTGGGTGATTCAAAAGACGGTTGACTTGACGTATGGGTTGTGATGTTGTGGTTGCTCTTCGACGGCGCTGAACGCTTGTTGTCCTTCACCGCTTGTTGTGACTAAGACCAAAACGGAATGCCATGTATGTAAACCACTATTACAAGCCATACCCCCAATTAGAATCAAAGTATCACCAGCTATCGTTTTAATGACACAAAATACTGGAATAAACTGCCTACAAAAGTCTGAATATCACCATAAATCCAAACATCCTGGAGCAGCGGGTTTATCAATGCACATGGTAGTTCCATCAACACCACGTCAACGCGGATATCTTGATGGAAAATCACCGCTGCTAGGTAAAGATAACTCGCTGTTGCGACTCTTAGTGAACATGAATATGACCAAATGGGGCTTTGGTTATAGCATCGTCGTGAGGAGTGTACAGCAAACATGCATCACAAGCAGATGCTGTCTCAAGTGGGAACAGTATAGATCGCCCAGTCTAATATCAACCTGTTGCGCAAGGCTGTCTTCTGTTTTTTGCCTTGCTTGTCGACCCATACCCGACACCCCTCAGCCACAAAGTCGCTTAAGGGACCCACCGGGTCAATTTCATGTACCATACAGCTCTTGTATCACTATTACTCCCAAGAGAACATATCACAGTTCTTTTCACGCTGAGATCTTTGTCATCACAAGTCGTATACTTCCTTCGAAACCAACGGACGCGTCTTGCCCACACCCCTTGAGCATCATGGCTGGCAAGCGGAGCAAGCCCCTAATCTTGAAGCGATACAACGAGAAAGCCAGTAGGATCCATAGCGCTGCGATTAACATTGAGACAGTACTGACTACATGACAGAGACACGACTCTCCTCTCTGCTTTCATCTGCAACCCCAGCCTCTAACACTTCAACGCCTGAAGGCGGACAAGACAAAAGCCACGAATCCAACGACGGTGACAACATCCAGGCAGCAAATTCCTCTCTCAAGTAACAGAGCGCATCAGGTTGCCTGAACCTCACGTCGCTCTTCTCAATCAGCGGCATCGCCATCGAAGAAGCTTCTCAACGCGCCATCACCTTGGTTTTCGACAAAATTTATTCTTGTTCGCACACACAGAACATATAACAGACAAAATTCACGGTGATCGGCAAGAGCAGGGAATATATAAGAGGTGCACTACTATTGTTGTCTCACGTACCTAAGCCGTGGCAAAGATTCTGCTCCTCAATCTTGTAGCTATCCGTTCACATCAATTTACACTACACGAGATGCGAATTATTACATGCACTTTGCGTGACCTGAGCCTCATTGACGTGTTCAGAATATGCGCAGGACTATATGCGCGTGACTCTCGGTCACTGCCATGGAACGTGATGAGCTGTGGTCAACGCCTCGCCAATCAGTTCACAAGCAATATTGTGATTTAAGTATAGCCTCATAAGCGGGTCTCCAGTAAGATCATATATCCTTTCTGTCGCTCGTACGTATATAGTATCTGGCCTCTTAAGCCCCTCGCTTCGCCCACTGTGTCGACAGTGCGCAGGCTAGTCCCAAACACATCCATAGAACGTCTTCAGGTGCCTCTAAGGCTGTTTAACAGACTTTGTTCGTACTTCAGGACATTCCCTCCGTCAATGATGTCGTTGTCTTGACTGATTCTGTGCCCCTGCTGCTAATCTACTCCAGCTCTCGAGCTAGAGATAGCGCCGCGTCCATGCCACGCAATCGTCCACTCAACGTTCCTATTTTGGGTCTCCCAGAATCGTCTTGGGTCGACCGAAAAGGGCAGGTGTCTTCGGGTGGTGTAGCTAGTCGTTCAACGTTGGGCAAAGTACGCGTCGCTAGCCTTCTGGAGGTTGTAAATCTTCCGGGGATCTAGAAACGTGATTGCAGGATGCATTAGCTCTTTTCGAGGAGATGATCAGATTACGGGAACGGAGACGGTATAAAAAGGCAGTCAGCTGCCTCCAAAATGCGCAACTGAGAGCCTCCAAAGCTTCCAACGCGTCGACCCAGCTTCACTTACCTGTGTGATGTAGAGATCGTAGTCTCGAATCTCGGCAGGCTAAACCGGCTATCACAAAAGTCCTTTCAACCACTGCAGAAGATGCAATGTTTGTGTCGATGCTCGAAAGCGACCAAAAGGAGCGGCCAGAACCATGATAGCAAGGCGTGAGGTAAGGAGATAGCAAAAGGAGACCAATTATCTGGATGCCTAAATAAGTCTGAGTGCTTGGGGTGTGTTATTGGGAGACGAGCGAGCACTGACCTCGCGTCCAGTGTGCCAAGGAATGAAGGACCTTTGAGCAGCGAGCAACATCCGCGCGCGACGGTGAACCTATCGGCGTCCTGCCCCTGCAGGATCTACCATTAGAATGTTTCATATGGCATCAATGCCGATGACTGATTGCTGCTTATACGAACAGTGAAGGTACGTAGGTAAGCTTGATCAGTACAAGAGGGAAACGCATGCCGGCACTATGCCACATGATACGATTTCGTTGATCCTTATGCATGCGCATGCGCATGCAATATCTCACAGTCGCCGTAGAGCGATTGCAACCTATCCACCACCTGCAGCTACCCAAACATAAGGACTACGTCAGATTTCGCAGCAGTCCATGGTTACTGGGAATACACTATACGAGCATTTTTTCGCAGCAAAAGCATCTTCATGATGATTTCCAGGTCTGTAGGGCGAGCTATAGGAAGAACATGAGGTTACGAATTGTATGCTGACTATGAACCAACATGAGAAGCTGATAGAGGAATGTTGTAGCAGGCAGCAACTCGATCCGTTCAGTTTAGTCTTTCAATATTTCCCTACTACCTACAACCACAAGTAACATGCATTCCACACCACATGCGGCACGAAACTATGTACTCGCCCACATGCTTGCTTTCATGTCGATGTCGCAAGACATATAGCGCAACCCATCCCGCGTATGTAGTTGGAATAAGCATCCTCCGCTGGCTGCAGTAGGCGAACGTTCGGCGAGTGGGTGCTGGAAAGCGCGATGCAGGCAAAGTGAGCAGGAGGGTGGCATGCTGATGCAATTGGTACGTTTATAGTCCGCAGCGTAGATCCCCAGCGTAGGGTATGCAGGAGTGCGATCAACCGAACGGCCAGAAAAGCACAATCCCTTGCAGATGCTCTTCTTGAACACAAATTGCATGGGTATCAAAATGTGTCAGCCTAATTTTCGTTATAACCTCAGTCCATATGCCTCCAAGTTGCAAGATCCTGCAACCTTCTTGTCATGCTCATACGATCCGACGCAATACATAACGAGAAGCCTACAGCAACGACTTTAACAAAGTACGTCGGCTGCCCTGAGCATGAATTCCTGCAGTGTATTCTGAATGAATCCGCATGCCAATTGCGACTCGTTCTCAAGCAATAGCGGGTGTTTATAGCATCCTATCGATGAACGTGAGGATATACGAAGGTAGGTCGGCAAGCCTGAGACAGGTGCTGGTCGGCATGGATACAATTGGTGGAAAACTCGCTTGTTCGTGTATCGAGAGCAAGCAGTCCCTTCCTGGTAGGAGGCGTGGTTGGATGTACGAAAGTGAGTTGGGTGTTTGGGCTTTCGACGATCGGGCTGGCGGAAGAAGGAGAGTCTTGATCTGCGATTAGCCTGGGGATATGTAAGTAACTTTCTTGCGTAAAGTTGTGATGAACTCACCTGCTAGGTCGCGAGAAACTGACTGTATAACCTGAACACCGTCTCACATGCTGGCTTTCGCGCGTAGACCTCAAGGGGTGAAGACTCTAATGACTTTGATCGAGCATTTGCGATTTGGAGCTGATGATTCTGGAGCATGAAGAAAGACTGTAGCGTGTCGCATGTGAGTGATTGGAATTTGAGCCAAGCTCTCGTTCGTGTTGATCTGAGAGGCCGCCCCCTTTGCGGCAACTCCCAGCCACACCGACGGGCGGCACGTTGGTGTTCGGCGTTGTTGCCTGGACGCCACCATATATTAAGCTAGGTTCGCATTGACGCTGAAATATCTAGGTACTTCTAGCCAGTGGGACAGTATTTTTCGGAAGGATAGGCGGCATCCCAAGTCGGAAAGCTCGGCTCTATACCGTGTCCTCAGAAGCTTGCTTGTTGCAGTATGAGCACAATATTGAAGCTCTAGAACACTGATTGAGAGAGTGACGTCGCTTATCACATGGACCGAATAGCCACGAGTTGTTCTAGGAGGATCTGCACTCTACATGCTGAAGTATTGGCCAGAAATAGTTTTGGGGCAGGTATCGGCCGTTTCATCTCCACTGCATATGTTTAGCAAGTGGTTGATGCATCTACTCACGGTACCCTCTGGGGAGCGTCCGGACGCCACCAGGTCAATGCTTACCTAGGTATGATCCTAAGCCTGTGGGGGCCAGAAATTCTCACCCTATGCTTACTTCTGCTCGAATTGCATGACTATATGCTAAATCGATCATCCTAAAGTATGCAACAATTCAGACAACCAGAGCACAAGAATTGGTTCTTGTCGAGATACTTAGCTATCCAGTCGAAGGCACGAGCTGCAGAAACTCCCACGATTCCGTATCTGCAAGGACAGGAGGTATGCAAGTGGAACTGAGTCTTGACATGTGCCTTCCGTTCAAGGTACTGGCTCAAGTTGGAACAAATCACAAGCGGTGCATCGGTGATCAAATTCTGCTTCGAGCCCTTCTCTTTCATGCTTCGTCTGCACACTAAATTACTGAGTTACCGATTTGATTCCGCTGCCCTTGTTTCTGCCATGTCGGGCTACGATACAGGATTGGTGAGGTTCTGTATTGCTCGTTTCAGCAATTGTAGGAATGGTAGTAGGACGTAGGGAAGTCGCGGTATTCAGGAGATGACGAAAGGAGACGCGATGCATGGGTTGTGTTAGCAACACCTAATATTTTGGGAGTTGGAACCGACAGATATGTTGCAGGTAAAGAGCAGAAGAGATCGCTTCGGTCGAGGAGCAGCTGTCGTTGTCAGAATGTGGAGACAATATGTGGGGCTGACTCTTCCAAGTACTATCAAAGAAAGAACCAGACACTTCTTCAAGTAGTACTATCATTCTTTAGAAGTTTTTCTATTAGGAGCTAACGTAGGCTGCAAGCTGAGGCGTGTTATTTCAATACCTATTCAGTTTCCCTCCTGTACGTGGTATTTGCATTGACTGACCATCGTCCTCCAGCATGGTCCTTTCGTCAATAGCGTTTCTTCGAGCGACTTGCCGTCGTGGATGCACAGGCGTGAAGAGAGGAGATAAACATACAAATGTCATTGAATTTCAAGAAATTGTCAAAGTACCATATGTACAATTGGTCACCTAACACCCGCGGCTCCGACTCGGTTCGAAGCAGAATGCAACTGCCTTTCTATTCCTCTCTTCTACTTCTTGATCACCGGTCAACTTCACCAAATACCTATTTTTGTCCCGGATTAGCGATGTTAACATGTGATACAGGGGGAACTCTTACCAAGTCCATTGTGCCAATGATGGCGACGGCATCTGCAAGCAAATGGCCTCTTGAGATTTGGTCCATGCAGGCCAGGTGGGCGAATCCGGGTGCCCTGATCTTACACCTGTATGGCCTCTCGCTACCGTCTGAGACCAGGAAGACACCCATCTCTCCCTTGGGGGCCTCGATGGCGCTGTATGTCTCACCAGGTGGGACGGTGTAACCCTTGCTGAAGAGCAGGAAGTGGTGAATAAGCGCCTCCATGTTCTCCTTCATGGCCGCACGTGGTGGTGGCGCGATCTTGTAGTCCTCGACCTTGACGGGGCCAGCTGGCATGTCGTTCAAGCACTGGTGGATGATACGAAGCGACTGTCGGAACTCCTCCATACGGCAGAGGTAACGGTCATAGCAGTCGCCGTTGACGCCAACTGGGACATCAAAATCAACCCTGTCGTAGGCGTCGTATGGCTGCGACTTGCGGACGTCCCATGGAACACCAGATCCTCGAAGCATGACACCGGAGAAGGAGTAGTTGATGGCGTCAGCAGCTGAGACAACACCAACGCCCTTTGTACGGCCAATCCAGATACGGTTGTCCGTCAACATCTCCTCAGTCTCGTCGATGCGGTCACCGAATTGAGTAGCCCATTGGTAGATGTCGTCGAGCAGGCCGAGAGGAAGATCCTGTGACACACCACCAGGGCGGACGTAGGCCGCGTGGAGACGGGCACCGGAAACACGTTCGTAGAATTCCTGCATGTAATCAGCAAGCGTAATGTACCGTATTGCCACACACACAACTCACCATGAGCTTCTCACGCTCCTCGAAACCCCACAAGAAAGGTGTCAGAGCACCAACATCCATGGCGTGGGACAAAACCGACATGAGATGGTTCAGAATGCGGGTGATTTCGCCGAACAGGGTACGGATGTACTTGGCGCGAATTGGGATATCGATGTTCAGTAGCTTCTCGACAGCCAGCGAGAAGCACTGCTCGTTGGTCATCATAGAGACATAGTCGAGTCGGTCAAAGTAGGGCAGGGCCTGGAGGTATGTGCGGTACTCGATGAGCTTCTCTGTTCCTCTGTGCAACAATCCAACGTGTGGGTCGGCGCGCACGATCTCCTCTCCGTTCAACTCCAGAATCAAACGCAACACACCGTGGGCAGCGGGATGCTGGGGTCCGAAGTTGACCGTGTAATGCCGGATCTTCCTGGTGTCTACATGGTCGTCCTCCTCAGCCCTCGTTTCCTGGGCTGTCTCGGCCGGTGCAACGCCACCGAAGTTGGAGTCGGTCGCCACCAATCGTGTCCGCTGGCTCTCTTCGACTTCAGCGTATCGGCGGGGGGATGTGGTAGACAGGCATCGCGCAATGGGTCGTGAAGGGATTGCGGTTCGGAGCTGGGGTCGGGAGGCGTTGAGGCACACTCGCTTCGCCGCGGGGCCGGCCAGACGCGCAAAGGAGACAGGCATGGTGGTTGTATCTCTCCCTACGTCGATGTATGGGCCTCAATGGGCGTGTAGAGTGGAGAGTGAGGTCGTGGCGTTGGAGGGGAGCTTTCCTCATATCGATGATGCTACCAGATTGAGCCTACCGCCATTGGCTGGGTGGGTCTTGGCGCGCCGGCGCCTTCCTCGAACTTTTTGTGAACATGGAAAGTGCTCCCCACCGAGCACACCAAACTTGACCTCAACACCGCAACCATGTCGACACCGAGTGCACAGGAGCTGATGAAGCGCAAGGTACCTACGCGACTTGGAGTTTACCATTTGCTTCTCGCTAATGCAATGATTAGACGCTTGGAGTGGGTCCAGAGACTGTCACCAACCAGCAGTCTACGGACTTTCCAGGACACTGGCCTGGTGAGAACCATGAATGGGACTTGGAGTACTTCAAGAATGTATGCGCGACCACAAAACTCACCCATATACTTGGCTTTATACTAATCAAGGACCCAGAACTTCAACGTCAGCTTCCACAAGCACTCACCCAATAACACTGAATTCTCTCTCACTGGTATCGACACCTCGGTTGCCAACGCGTTTCGCCGCATTCTCCTCTCCGAAATCCCTACCCTCGCCATAGAAGACGTCTTCATCTACCAAAACACATCCATTATCCAAGACGAGGTGCTCGCCCACCGCCTCGGTCTAATCCCCTTGTGCGGCGACCGCGAGGGTCTACGCTGGATGAAATGGTACAAGAAACCTACAGACGACGATGCAGGCTCAGGAACACCTGCCGATTACAACACGGTAGTACTACGACTGGACGTAGAGTGCAAATGGCAAGACGGCGGTCTACAGCGAGCAGTAGCCGGAGAAACCGACCCCGACAAGCTCTACGTCGGCCACAATGTCTACGCTAAAGATATTGTCTTTGAGCCTCATGGTCGCCAAAACGACGTGTTTGCGCATAGCGAAGGAAAAGAGATTCGATCTACAAACCCGGACATTCTCATCGCCAAGATGAGACCTGGACAGAGCATAGCCTTGAGCATGCACGCCATCAAGGGCATCGGACAAGACCACGCCAAGTTCTCGCCCGTAGCGACTGCTTCGTACCGCCTTATGCCTACCATCGATATCACGAAGCCTATCATCGGTGCAGACGCTAAGAAATTCGCCCGCTGTTTCCCCCGCGGGGTGATCAAACTCGACAAAGTCACCTCCGAAGACATCCAGAAACATGCTGAGCTAGAAGGCAAGGAAGGCGAGCCAAAAGCTGTAGTCGAGAACGCCATGAACGATACTGTTAGCAGAGAGTGCCTAAGGCATCCCGAGTTTAAGGACAAAGTGAAGCTAGGCAGGATACGGGATCACTTCATCTTCAAGGTGGAGAGCACAGGACAGTGGGAGAGTGACGAGCTGTTCTTGGAGAGTGTTAAGCTTCTTAAGATCAAGTGTCAGAGAATCAAGAGGGGGTTGGATGAGATGCAGAAATAGAGCGTATCTATAAGATCCGGGAGTGTGGAGGAGCTTGCATTGCAACGGCGTTTAGGGCATTACGGTGGCGGGTTTCAAAAAGTACGATATCACGGAGCGAGTTTTTTTCTTCACCGATCGGACCATTTGTCACACTGCCTACGAGCATGCATTGAGGGGTTCAACATATGAATATACTATGCATTCATCTAGCCTTCAAGCAGGCCACTTCATGTGCCAATCATCACGTGTGAGACTTGCGAATGCCCTTCTCAAGGGTTTGTACCTAAGAAAATGAAGTATGGCCCACATATTCAGGGGACTCTGAAGCTACGTGTAGTGTAGAAGAGAAAGCTTGTTTATACTAATACAACTAGAAGTTCGCATCCAATGCGTGGATATACAGAAATCGTAGCTTTACAAAGAGAGCCAACCAAAAGATTTTAAACCGGGGTATATGAGACTTCATCCTCCTGGGACACCTTGCTGAATAAACAAAAGAGAATCGTATAAAACATGTGCATCGTTGTTAATCTTGGTAGAGAAATACCTCCTTGTGCGTTCATCATGCGCGTCTTCACTGTCGTGTACGTGGGTACTGGAAAGCGACCGACACAAATGTAGCTCCGACGTTGATCAGAGCTCTGCCAGTGCATCGTTGCACAGCTGCCGCACGCTCTCAGGATCAAAGCGTGGTCGGAATGTCACATTTCTCCTCTTCTGTCGTCGGTTTTCCCTCTCTTCCTCTTCTGATAGGGGGCTGCTCCTCGAATCCCTAAACCACGACTTTGTGGGCGAGGGAGACGGTGTTGGGAAGGCGAATCGGACACCCCGTACACCAGTAGCCTCTTTAAGAGTTTTAACACTAGCAAGTTGACCCTCTACCATACGAATAAAGGCGGGGGTGCCATTCGGTAGCCGGACCCCTGGTTTCGATCGCACCTGCTCGGTTGATAGCGGTGATAGCACACTGTCGTTGCTAAAGTACTGTGATAGGGTTTTAGACTTGACAGGCGTGCCCCAATTCGCATCTTTTCCGGGTGGTGATGGAAAGCGGAAATTCCTAAGCGTAAGATCTGGGTCCTGCTCCAAGTCAAAGGCGTAGGAAGCCGTGCTTGAGGTCGAGCTGCGATAACTGCTAGTGGAGTCGAAAGATCTCGTTCTAGACAATCGTCGGAACCAAGCCTGCTCGTCTGGAATGGTGGCGGAGTCTGGTGTCATGGGCTGCTCGTCGTCCACGGTCGGTGCAGTAGAAGACGGCGAGGGTGGCGCAAGAGCGACGATAGTCTCCTTGTAGTACTTCTCCGCAGCGTTCAATTCTTTATAGCGATTTTTAAGGGTCGCTTCTCTTGCCAGTGTGTCGTGAGAGAGTGCAATGTAGAAATTTAAGTAAGCGGTATGTACAGGATGAACCTGTTGATGGTCAGCTCTTGCTTCCGACGTTTTACGTCTACCTCAGCCAGCTCCCAACACAAGGAAGGTGGGCCATGTCATGTGCATCGCTACGTACCTTGTCGTCGACTTCGCCAAGCAGATGCTCTCCAAGATTTGCGCACTGTGTGTAGCGGCGACTCGTGTATAGATCTTTGAGAACCTTCATCTTCTCCTTCAACGTATTAATTCTAGCCTGCGCCAACATGTTGCTCAAGCGTTTGAAGTTGTCGGTCGCAGAGAGTCGGTCCAGATCGAAATTCAAGAAAGCGCAGCGAGGAAAGGATGGTTGGGAACGTGCGCTTGGACGAGAGGTGGTTAGGATAGAGACAGGACAGAAAGAAGGAAGCGCAGCCTCATCAAATGAAAGAAGTGAAGCCAGCTCTGTGAAAATGATTGGTTATACTGCGGCTACCGGAGCACTCTGTGGAGAATTATGCGAACGACAATAAAAGCAATGCGACGGATAATAAAAGCAATGCGAACGCCCATAGTAGGGCATGTTATAAGGTGCCTGAGGCCCTGACGTACTATTCCTGCAGCGAGCGTGTGTTCAGAGAGACGGCTGGTTTCAGGTCTCGATAAGGGTAGGGGTAGCTTGTCAGTGAAACGAAACTTGCGCTTGAGAGGGTCAGGTACCGCATCACAACGGGCTAAAGCATGCAGAAGGTTTGAAGCACCCTGTATGCACTGCTGATTTGCAGTGTCAGAAGTGCTGGTGTGCATAGTGTCCGCATTGCTGAGTAGTGGTATAGTCACCTGGCCACAAGATTCTTTGGTTGCTGGTACCTGCGTGCGTAGATAGCTTGGGCGCACGGGTTCTGCCGGAGTTCACACCGTACATTAGTTTTGGGTACATCCAATTGAAAAATGAGACAATTCGCAAATACTTTCAGGTGGCTGATTTAGAGGCCCATGACGAGGGGTAAAGCAAGATTACACGAGAATGATGCGCTTTCCGCATAGGCAACCCTCCAAGGATACATTTAGCCTGCATGTCTGCAACCACAAAGAAGGAGGGGTGACGCACATGATGGATACGCCATATACATGCACGGTGCTGCCCAGGTGTGACGTAGACGCCGTGGCGTATACGCGGTCAAGAAGCACACATGGCGCACGCAGACACAAGATCTAGACCATGAACAATCTCCACGAACTGGCTGATACAAAGGAGCTATGAACAGAGGTTTATTCTACACAGCCCATGAGGGAGATGGAACCAGATTCCCAGGATATCAAGTCTAAAGCTCCTAGAGCGCTTAACCCTCGGAAGCAGCTGCACCGGTAATAATCTCGACAAGTTCGCCAGTAATGACAGCTTGACGCGTTCGGTTGTAGAGAATCTGGAACTTGTTGATCATGTCTCCAGCGTTCTTGGAAGCGTTGTCCATGGCATTTTGACGGGCAGACTGCTCGCAAGCGTGACCCTCAGCCAGCGCCCAGAAGAGCGAGTTGGCGAGAGCGTACTCGCGGAGGTTGGGGAGAACCTCATCCTCGATCTCGAAAGCAGAGAAGTTGGCTAGATGTTCAGTTAGACATTGTTCATCTGGCTATAGAGTTGTGACGTACCAGACTGGGCAATGGCCTCCTCGGAGTAAGCCTCCTGGATGGTGGCCTCGTAACTCGAAGCGTTGATGAACTTGTTGTAGACGATCTTGACGGAAGCGTAGTCGGTGGGCAGCATGGAGATCTGGTCGGCAATGTTCAGGGAGTCGCCAAAGGTAGGAACGTCCTTTCCGGCACCAGCGAAAGACAGAACCATGTTCTTTCCGTTGGAACGACCCAGTTGCGCCTTGCACTTCTCGCCAATGACGGCCAGCTCAGAGTCGGGAGCCTCAGCGAGCATGGCTCTGACCTTCCTCGACATTCCGGAGTGGATACCACCGCAGAGACCCTTGTCGGAACTGCAGACGATGATCAGGTTCTTCTTGCCCTCACCCTCGATGGGCTTGGTCTCGGCGCTCTCGAAGACGGTGTTGGAGGTCTGACCGTACTTGCGGGACTCGGTCATGGCCCTCTGGGCGCGGGTGAGCTTGGTGGAGGCGACGACCTTCATGGTCTTGGTGATCTTCTCGATGTTGCGAATCGACTTGAGACGGCCCTCGATTTCACGGAGGGTGGCATAGCCGGCGGCATTGGAGGCAGTAAGGGTGGCGGGACTATATACACGAATTCCAGTCAGCACTTGACGCAGTTGGCGATGCAATTGATCCGGCAATGGGGGGTTGCAGGGCGCGAGAAAAGCTGCGGGCTCAGGTGGGAGCGTACCGGGCGGCGGCGGCGGCCATGCCCGCCTTGAAGGCCGGGCGCGCAGCTCGTGAGATCATCATGGCTACGAATTGAGATGAGTGGAGATGGCGACAGCCGTGTGGTGGTGCTTCACTGCTGTCTTTGCTGAGCGGGAGCTGTGTCGGGCAATCGGGATGCTGAATTGCTTTGCGCGCTAACACGCCAAGTGTCACGTGAATCTCTCCAACACAGCACGCCGGATGCGATGCCTTCTACTCGCGCCGCCACGCTGATGGGAGCTGGAGTGCAGTATGAAGTGCGTCTCTGTCTGCCAATGACGCCTTTGATGCCCAAAAATGGCCCCAAACACGACATCGCCATGACAACATTAGGTGGACATAGGCAGGAGCAACTGAATGAACAGGTGGCAAGCACCATCTACCAGAGCCTTGACACATAGTTCCGTCTCGTTGGGAAAAGCAAGCAGTTTGCATGCTGTCTGCTATCTGTGGTAGCTTATTTGCAGTGTCCGAGTGCTTGAATCGGTGGTGAGGTTACGCATCTGTTACGAAAGTCACTGGCCCAGATTTGATGAAGGCCGAACGCCCGTGCGCCGATGGACTTAGTGAAGCACAGCTGGGCAGGTCGTGGCTCCCTGGGGCTGCGCTTCACTTAAACTCAGCATTCCTCTTGTCACTCGTCTATCACCTGCGTCTTCCCTCCTCTATCCTTCAACATCGCCTCAATCGCACGACGTGCCTGCCCTCGCCTGGCACGCCCATCTCAACGACTACCACCCTTCCATAGGGTCCGCTCTTTCGCATCCGCTAGGTTTCCTCGATCGGCGCCAGACTTCGCTGAGCACGCCCATCCTGTTTTTTATTATCCACAATCTCAGCGCGCGCCTTCCTTTCGCATCATGTCTTCTTCAGACGACGACACTCCCCTTGTGAGAGGAAAAGATCAAGGTGAGTACGCCCGACTATCTGCACGCGCCACGACTATCTCCCTCTCGCGCGCCAATTGCCCTTGTCAAATTCAACAACCTCACCACCCAACCCTCACCAACCCTCACCTCCTCCCAATACTCGCTCTTCCTGGCGCGACTTTTGCAACTGTATCCAAGACCCAGGATGGCTAACAATAATTCCCTAGTAGCCAAGTCGAACGCAGAGATTACCAAAGAGGAAGATAAGAAAATGGACGCCGAAGTTCCTTCCAACGGTCACGTCGAACCTGGCATCTCAATCCGCATGGGGCCAGTCGCCGACGACGACAAGATGGATGTGGATGCGCCTGAGACCAACGGAAAGCGCAAGTCGCGCAGCAGCGTCACGAACGGCAAATCGTACAAAGACGCGAGTAGCTCAGAGGATGACGATAAGCCTTTGGTAGGTCGCCCTGAACGCATTCTGTACGCGTTACAACGAGCTAACCCTCCGGTAGAGCAAGCGGCGACGGACCTCAGAGCAAGCGAAACCTCCCAAGGACGACTCCGATTCCGAACTCAGCGACGTGCCCTTGAAGGCTAGAGTTCTACCCAAAGCAAGCGCCGAACAGATCGGGGAGTCGGCGGACTCTGACGTGCCTCTTGCCAAGAAGCTCACAAAGAAGAAGGAGTCTATTGAGAAGGCCGCTGCAAAAGAGGCCCAAGCTATGCGCAATAAGGAGAAGGCCACCCCAAAACGCAAGCAGAAAGTTGAGAGCGACAGTGACGATGATATCCCTCTTGCAAAAAAGAAGGCGCCAGTGAAGAAGGCGAATGGTGTGAAGAAAGAAGAGTCCGATTCCGATGCACCGCTCGCGAAAAAGGCTGCTCCGAAGAAAGCCACCAAGGCAAAGCCTGCTGCCGCCACCGCAGCACCTGCAAAGAAGGGCAAGGGCAAAGTCAAGAAGGAAGAGACTGAGCAAGACGAAGAGGCTGAGGAAGAGGAGGATGAGTACCGTTGGTGGGAAGACCCAGGCAAGAGTGACGGTACCAAGAAGTGGGACACACTGGAACACGCCGGTGTTGTCTTTCCTCCTGAGTACGAGCCGCTCCCTAAGCACGTCAAATTGGTGTACGACGGCGTACCTGTTACTCTGCACCCGGAGGCTGAGGAAGTGGCTACTTTTTACGGAAGTATGCTAAACTCCACTCACAATGTCGAGAACCCAACTTTCAACAAGAACTTCTTTGAGGACTTTAGTACCTACCTGGACAAGACTGGACACGGCAAGGACAAGGACGGAAACACAGTCAAGATCAAGAAGTTCGAGAAGTGCGACTTTAAGCCCATCTTCGAGTGGTTCGATGCGGAACGCGCGAAGAAAAAGGCTCTCCCAGCGGCCGAGAAGAAGGCGCTCAAGGCCGAGAAGGAGGCCGCCGAGGCTAAGTATATGTACTGCATGTGGGACGGGCGCAAGCAGAAGGTCGGCAATTTCCGTGTTGAACCTCCTAGTCTTTTCCGTGGCCGTGGCGAGCATCCCAAGACTGGACGCGTGAAGAAGCGCGTCATGCCCGAGCAGATCACCATCAATATTGGTGAGAAGGCTAAGGTCCCTGAGCCGCCCGCAGGTCATCGCTGGAAGGAGATCAAGCACGATCATGAAGGCACATGGCTCGCCATGTGGCAAGAAAACATCAACGGTGCCTACAAGTACGTCATGCTTGCTGCCAACTCTGACATCAAGGGTCAGAGTGACTTCAAGAAGTTTGAGAAGGCACGAGAACTCAAGAAGCACATCGATCGCATTCGGAAGGACTACCGAAAAGATCTCAATTCGAAGATGATGGCTGACCGCCAGCGTGCTACTGCTATTTACCTCATCGATCAATTTGCACTCCGTGCTGGTAACGAGAAGGGAGAAGATGAAGCCGACACGGTCGGTTGCTGCTCGCTGAAGTTCCAGCATATCACTTTGAAGCCCCCGGAGACTGTCATATTCGATTTCTTGGGTAAAGACAGTATTCGTTTCTACGACGAAGTCAAGGTCGACCCGCAAGTCTTCAAGAACCTCAAGCTTTTCAAGAAGGAGCCCAAGACCACAGGAGACGACATCTTCGACCGACTGACTACGTCGGGTCTCAACAAACATCTTACGAGTTACATGCCTGGTCTTACTGCAAAGGTTTTCCGTACCTACAACGCTTCCTACACGATGGCTAGATTACTCAAGGAGATGAAGGCTACTGGTACGATTCAAGAGAAGGTCAAGGCTTACAACGACGCCAATCGCGAAGTCGCTATCTTATGTAACCACAAGCGTACCGTCGCCGCAAGTCACGCCACCTCCATCGAGAAAATGAATGAGAAGGTGTGTTGCCACGATGTGTTTAGACCTTTGACTATGCTAACCCCTCTCAGATTAATGGTCTTCGTTATCAAGTTTGGAGAACCAAGATGATGATGATTGACGTGGACCCAAAAATCAAGAAGAAGAAGGGCGCCGAGTACTTTGAACGACCTGAAGATCTTGACGATGAATGGGTCAAGCAGCACCAGGAGGCGGAGGTCGAAGAGATGCGCCAGAAGATTACCAAGAAGTTCGAAAAGGATAACGAGAAGCTCAAGGCTGACGGCGAGAAGGAGATGAAACCCAAGGAGCTTGAGGAGCGCATGGACAAGGTCAACGAGCTGGCCGCGAAATACAAAAAGGAGAACAAGACCGGCAAGGTCGAGGCTGAGGGCAAGGGCCCGACAGTTGAGAAGCTTGAGGCCAACGTCGACAAGCTCAACCAGCGTATCGAGAACATGAAGATACAGATGGAAGACAAGGAGGGCAACAAAGAGGTTGCCCTTGGCACATCCAAGATCGTAAGTCATCCCATGTCCAGCTGGCAGAGTATCTGACTAACCACAATTAGAACTACATCGATCCTCGTCTCACCGTAGTGTTCTCCAAGAAGTTCGACGTCCCCATTGAGAAGTTCTTCTCAAAGACGCTTCGGGAGAAATTCGACTGGGCCATCAAGTCAGTTGATGAGACCTGGGAGTTCTAGAGCAGAACATGCATGCAGTGCGGTTTTCTTTCGTCTTCGGACATCTTCGTGGATGTGCTTTGGGTGCGTACAGCATCCCAGAGTGAGACTGAATGGGCGGGATTCGGCGAAAAAGCATGATGGCATTTTGTACTACTCCTGTATGCACATGGGTAGGTGGCACGATTCGGCGACCATGCGACATGACTTTGCGATCTTATTATGCTTAAGGAGTCATTGCATAGCGTCGAGATATTCATAATAGCTCTCTGATCTAGTCCCTCATCTACAACAACATATCGAATAGAGATACTCAAATGATTCCGATTACTGATGCATATGCAAGTGCGGGACGATCACCATAGTTAGTCTGTATTCTATGCATGAACCACTGTTCGACATAAGGGTTGTGCATGCATGCCTTCATATGCATCATGGCCCAGTCTGGTCTGGATGCAAAACCTGCACGTCGGCTGCCTCGCACAATCACCGTGAAGGAAAGACATGTGGTATAAAGCGGATGTAAGAGGGCGTCGGAGCTAATTGTAGGCGTTGTGCACTTGCCTTGCTTTATTGACGGGAGGTACAGATCGAGCAGATCTCTAGATTCTCATGCTGTGCTACGAGGTGCCAATAGATCTCGGCACCTAGAAGCCGTGTGACATGACGCAGGTACACACTTTGGATGTTTGCGTCGCCGTCTTGAGGCTCGACGACTAGTAACAGGTCGCCGACGGCATTGGGCTGGAGAATAGATGCGGCAGCGCAGCATCACGGCAACAGCCACCACTCGGCCGGCCACGACTTCTTGCTTGACTCGGCGGCCATAACATTGGTTGCATATCAAGGATGCCGCGAAGCGAGCATTCCTTCGCAATGCCTGTCCTCAAAACATGTGAAATCGTCATGAAGCGAGAGTTTTATGCAGGCTAGACGTTAAGCTAGAAGAGCAACCCCAGCATTGCACCTCGTAAAGGGAAAGGTGAATGAGCACCAGACGTCGCGGCTCCGCATTTGTTTGCTTTTTATTCGGCAATCGCTCGTCAACTCGTCAATAGATCGCGAATGTGGCTTACACATTATACAACGACGTCCGGAAAAGCCCAAAGACGGATGGCTACGTCGACAAGGGATTGCCTGATAAATCTGTTCGTTCGAACGACGGATTGCACTTGCCCCTGAATGAACCCCCACCTTGGGCTGTCATGCGACCCAAGTTTTGATGCTTGAGACAAGGTCCAGCACTGCGGGAGGAGCGCGCCGTCGTTCACCGCCCGCTTCTTGTACATCTCCCGCGGCAACCGCAGTATCTCCAGGAGAAAGGAACAGCAAACGTCATGCTGTGAAGCTGGCGTGGTGTGGCAAAGCAGATGCCACTACTGCACAAACATGGTGTCTGCACAAGACCTGCATCCATGGACGGTGGTGGCGTAAGGCGCCTTCAATACAACACATCGGGGTCTCGCTACATGAAGAACGATGCCCACACTAATCTCGGTCGACTTGCTTGCGGAGCGGACCATTATGGTGTGCATAGGATCAGCCACAAGTGCCCGACCAAGGCTGGCTGGCTGCTATGGGCGCCCATCTTTTGTTTTTTTTTCTTAATGCGAATAGCCTCAGTGATGCAGGTGGCTCTCCTCTGAAGAGAATTATCGCCGGGGCTTGGGTGTGCACATTTAAATATCGGCCTGACCTGTCCCCTCTCCTGCAGGTCAATGAGTCGTACATATTGGGCCTGAGCTATATGACATCGTTGTTGTGCCGCGGTATCCTACTTTGAGCATCCCTCTTCGCGGTTTAGTCCCTCTTATTCCAACCCAGCACCCACGATCGCGAGGACCGCGTGTTATCTCCTTTCCAACATAACGTGAGCACGACGGACGATCGCAGAGTAGTGCTTCGCCTATAGCAGCCGTGATATTGTCCTTTGCTGTTGGATTTATCGCAACGAGGTCTGAGCGCGACCCGCAACGCTCAAATCTCCACCCCCGACTTTGACATTACAAGACACCATCCGCCCACTGCGCCATCCGAAATCTCCTAGCGACTTGTTCTTGCGCGCATAGCAAGCGTAGATCAGGAACACACGCGACTCCAAGCATGGCTTCAGAACAGGCGACCAAGCCCTCGGTGCTGATAATAGGAGGGTTGGGTAAGGCTTGCTCTGAGCACCACCCAGGTATGACAGGAGGGCTGACCATGTCGATTAGGCTACACCGGACGACACCTCACCAAGTACATCCACGACAACAACCTAGCATCGCAGATACGCATCGTCGACAAGCACCTCCCAGAACTAGCATGGCTCGCACCCGAATTCAAGGAAGCGTGCTCGAGAGAGCGATTTATACAGGCGGATGCGGCGCAGGAAAGTGCGTACCCCTGACCACATCTCTGGGTGCAAGGGATGTCTACAACCAGACGTTCGAGGCTAACTCGAACCCCACAGAATCCCTACCACGAATATTCGATCGTGAAGGCGGTGCTGAGTTCGACTACGTCTTCAACTGCGGCGGCGAGACACGCTTTGCCCAAGACGAAAAGGTCTACGAACTCCGCTCCTACGGCCTATCCATGGCCATCGGCCGCGAAGCCGCCAAACGCAAAGTCAAGTGCTTCGTCGAAATCAGCACTGGCATGGTCTACAAGTCCGACAGCACACCGAGCAAAGAGTCAGACAAGCCGAAACCGTGGTCAAATCTGGCAAAGTGGAAGCTCAAGGCTGAGGAAGACCTCGCCAAGATCGACGGACTGAACCTGATGGTTATGAGGATGGCACACGTCTATGGCCCGTATACGAGCAAATTCCTGAGCACAGCGCTTTGCATGGCGCGGGTATACCAAAGCAAGGGAAAAGAGATGCGTTTCCTGTGGAAGGAAGACTTGAGAACAAATCTGGTACATGTCGAGGACTCCACTAGGGCACTATGGCATGGTGTAGAATGGTATACCAAGAGTTCCCCAGGACGCAGGCCAGCACCCACTTTCAACATCGTGGATCATGCAAATCATTGTACGGATTACCACTCTTCATCCTTGAACTTACCGCAGTACTAACGTTGTCCTTAGCACAAAAGCAAACAGCCCAGCTCATGGGCGAGATCTTCAACATTGAAACTGGCTTCCACGGCACACTCATCTCAGCTTTTGCACGGCTGAACCTCGACCACGTCGTGGACGAAGTAAACGACGAGACACTAGACCCATGGGCGGAACTACAGCAGCAAGCCGGCATCAGCTCATCGACACCGCTGACACCATACATGGAGAAGGAACTTCTGAAAGACGCAGATTTAAGTATGGATGGAAGTTTGTTTGAGAGGGAGACGGGATTCAAGTGAGTCATTCTGAGTATATATTGGAGATGACAAGATGCTAACACGAGGACAGATACAACGTAGAAAAGATCACAAGAGAAAAGGTCGAAGAGGTCATTGAGAGCTATAAGAGGATGAACTGGTGGCCATAGCCGTCTTCCGCTGCACTCAACCACTTCTTTTCATCGATACCCTCTCTCTTGTCACGACCTTTCTCACGACGACCTCCCTTTTTCTCGTATATCCAACCCCGCCAAAAAACCACTTTTACATCTTTCGAAACGACAATCATTTGTTCCGTTCAGCATAGTAGCGCAAGTATGCATTATCTGGAGCTTTCCAAAAGGGTCATGTTCGATACAATTCGACATCTTCACACAGGTCTTCTTATGTCTTGCAGACATCAGTATACGGCGGTCGCATTTCTCTTGCATGTCACAATTTTTCTCTTGTATGTTTTGGGGAATGTATCTGGTATGTGCACGTTACTGTATGGTATTGGTCTTGTTCTTGTTGCTGTTGGTGCATGCGAGTCATGGTGTTACATACCCCTCAATCTAGCATTTGTTCGCATACACTGCCACCTGCTGTGAGACAACTCGCTATGCGGAAATATCGTCTGGCTGTGATTGGGCATCCCAGGAGCGTGTGGTACATGAAGAGCATATTTGATGATCAGACTAAAGTTGGAGATCTGGAACATGACGAAAGTCCATTATACTTGGAGCGGTAGGGCTACAGAGTTATATAAAGGTACCTACGGGCTCCCTACTCTGAGCTATCCAAGACTTGGTAGTACTCTATTACCGTTTTCACTTAGCAACAAGACGTGCAACGCGGCCCGACCACTTCATATGAATTTATACTTTCACTTCCCCTGGAGAAGGACGGCAAGTAGATCTCCGGGACTTGCTCGCAGCAATGCTAACCAGCTCGGCTGCGGTTGCAGTTGCAGTTGTCCTTGTGAACTTTGCTGTCAGCGATGACTGCGACGATGGATGGAAATCTCTTCGACCAAGACCATTCCATTTTCTAGAGATCGTACCCTGTAGTGAAAGGATGGCTTAACGATCATAATATTTGTCGATTCATGAGGTTACCCCTCCGGACAGGACAGTGGTTGACGCTGGGAGCTGGTTAAGCTTCCTTGTCTACACTTGAGACTATTTATTCAACGGGTAAAGCGAGCATAGGCATGAGTGTTTCGACATTGATATTCGGAGCCCTCATTGTAGGCTTCAGTAGGACTAGCACTCTTAGGCATCTACGAGCACTACAACAAAAAGAGAAACTTAACATCTCTTTGGAGCAGGATACTCCTTCCTACTACAACAAAGCATATTAAGAGCTATATGGATATAGATTAAGATTCTAGAAGTCTACGATAACACTCATCTTTATAAGTTTTCTTATTAGAAGCTATTGTAAGCCGCAAGGTAAGGGTTGTTATCTCTATACCTGTTCGGTTCTCCCCTTGTATGGGGTGCGAGAGTACTAGAGGTAAGTGAGGGATACATTTAGTCAAGTGGGGAGGCTACTTCAACCCGCCTTGGGACATGTAGTACACAGATTCAAACGATATTTTGCTAAATCCCTACCATCTTTCGCTTGGCGAAACACAAGATTTCAAGAGACAGAACAAGATCGATTTCGGCCTTTTCCCAAGCCTGGGGTACTCTCTCTATATTGGACGAGCTTGACTATTGCACAGATTTATATAACATTGAATGGCTTGACTGGTGGATGCTATAGGACGCTTATGCCTTCTGGGAAACGATCCCTAATGTCTGTTAGCCCGTGTCATGTGTTGCAAGTACGGCTCAACATACTCTCAATGTCAGTGACGCTCTGGTCAAGGATTTGCTTGAGGGTCTTGGGGTTGTCGAGCTCCTTCTCAATCTTGGCGATGATGGACTCGGCAAGCTCCTTCTGCTGCCTCTGCTTGACCTGGCCCTCGTAGCGGACCCACGAGTCGAGGACAGACTTGGCCTCGGCGGCGATGGCAGTCTTCTGCTCGAGCTCGAAAGCCTGAGCCTCAAGCTGGGCGGTCTCCTGTAATTTCATCAGTCTCCTGTCCCTGCATGTCCCCAATCGCAGTATCGCACCTTGGAAACCTCGAACAGGGTCTTGGTGATGTCAATGACACCGCCGAGGTCCTGGACGCTCTCGATGCGCTGCTTGACAGCGGTGGTGTGGTCCTGGCGGGCAGCGTTCAAGATACCCGAGATCTTGTCGACCTGCTGTTGCGCATAGTCTCCCCAAGCAGGTCCAGCGTACTTGGCAACGGCCCAGAAGATGGTAAGGAGCGAGAGGGCGACAATGGACTCCTCGTTGACGACGTAGAGCTCGTTGCTGATAGCAGCGACACTGAGACCGGCTCCCGCGGAGAGGACGGCGGCCTTGGTGAGGGGGCTGTTGCCGGGGACGGGTATCGCGTCGAGGACGGACTGGGCCTTCTTCTTGGGGTCCTCCTGGGGCAGGTTGGACTGATAGCGGGCCTGGACGGCGATGGAGGGCAGGGCGCGGAGAGGGAGCGATGGGCGGAGACGGGCGGCGCCTATTGTGGGTGAGCACGGGGGTCAATGGCACGGCATATTCATCGGGGTGCTGCTACTCACCGACCGCGCTCCTTGCAAGACGAGAGGCCATGGCTGTCTGATGAGAGTGGGGAGTTGGGGTGCTTTGTCGTCGTCGAAAGCTAGCTTTTCGTGATGCTGCGTCCACTCAAAGAGCCAAGCGCCGACGCCGATGCGCTAGCCGAACTTCGCCCGGTCCTTCACTTTTCGACATGGCCAACTTTTTGCGCTCGTGAGCATTCCAACTCCGCGCCCAGGGACACGTCTGAGAAGAAGAAGAAGAAAAAACTATGTCGGGCACAAAGGCCGCCAACATGTCGGGTGTCAAGAGGAAGAGGGATCCCAGCAAGCCCGAGCGCAGCGAATCCAAATCAAAAACCAGGCGCAAATCACCCAGCGACGACGGCGAAGATCTCCAATCCGAAATCCTACAGCTCGAAAAACAGATTCTCGAATCGCGGAAATACTACAACAACATTGCCACCCTTTTGGGGCGGGCGAGACAAACAGACGCCGAGAATGAAGGACCAATACTCGCCGCCGTCGCCCTCTGCCGAGTCTTCTCACGACTACTCGTAACAGGCGACATGGTCAAGAGCAAGGGCATGAGCGAGGCTGAGGGTGTCATTGTATCGTGGCTGAAGGAGCGCTACCGAGAGCTCTGCGATGTCCTGTTAGACGACTTCCTCCGCAGCGAACACCCCCCGAAGCAGTCTGTGGCCTTGACACTGGTTATGCGATTAGTCAAAGAGGAAGCAAAGTCTTCCAAGGACTACAAGATCAAGAATGGACCACTGCCGAGACTCATCCGGGTATTGCTGTGCCTTCCCCTCGACGATCTGAATCGCGACGAGTTTGCCGAGAAGTACCTCAAGCAGTTTGACGATATCCGATACCAGACATTCCAGACCATCAAGTAAGTGCATACCCACCAAAGGCTAGACGTTATCCTAACGCATTCAGGGATGTACTCGACAGCGATCTCGACATCACAACGCGCCAACTCGTAGCTGCCAATAGCTTGTCTCTTCTGTACACACTTACCGAAGTTCCCAGGTCCAAGACCGACATCCAAAGCTTCTACGTGCAGGTGCAAGGAAAGAGTCCGATACCGTCTCTTCAGGCATACAAGGAGAAGGCGCAAGCAGCATGGTTAGCGACCATGCGAACAGGTCTCTCTAAGGAGCAACGGAAGACTATCCTGCACAATTTCTCTCACCAAATTGCACCCTGGTTTCAGCAACCTGAGATTCTGTCAGACTTCTTGACAGACTCCTACAACGTGGGCGGCGCAACCTCTCTACTGGCTTTGTCTGGAATCTACTATCTCATCTCAGAGAAGAACCTCGACTACCCATCCTTCTACCTCAAGCTGTACTCCCTGTTGGACGATGGCCTCATGCACTCAAAACACCGATCGCGTTTCTTCCGCCTGCTAGACACTTTCATGTCCTCCTCCCATCTGCCTGCAAACCTCGTTGCCAGCTTCATCAAGCGTCTCTCGCGACTAGCACTCCATGGACCACCAGCCGGTGTGGTCGTCGTGGTACCCTGGGCCTACAACATGTTCAAGAAACATCCAGCCTGCACATTTATGATGCACCGCGAGATCCGGGACCCAGCTCTGCAGGAGGAGCTGGAAGAGGAGGGCATGGACGATCCCTTTGACATGGAAGAGCAAGATCCTCTCCTCACAAATGCCATTGAAAGCAGTGTCTGGGAGCTAGAGGCACTGCAATCGCACTACCACCCTAACGTAGCGACACTGGCAAAGATCATTTCAGAACAGTTTACCAAGCGGGCGTACAACCTGGAAGACTTCTTGGACCACTCATACACGGCGCTGCTTGATGTCGAACTAGACCGTGACCTCAAGAAAGAGCCAGAAGTCGAGTTTGAGATACCCAAGCGCATCTTTACCGCAGAAGATGGACTAAATACGTTTGGACAGTTGCTCACGCAGGTTGTCGAATCAAGATAGTTGATGCATATGTAGTTGGAGAATGATACCCGAAGATATGTATTACTTGGCCAGCTTCCCAGGTTCCCTTTATCATGTTAGGCCACTGATGTATATAAAGGTTCCCCACGGTCATCTAAACATGAACTCATGGGGTATCTTCACATGCTTACAAAAAAGTATCCTAATTGTACCATACTGTCGATAGTGACGACAGAAATCTAGAACCCAGCATGAGCTTTCGTTGTTCACGCATAGCACGTGCACATTTCCCTCTACTTTGCTCTAGCTGTGTTCAAAAACGATGAAAAATGGTTGAGACGCACACCGTGGTTGACTGGTTAGCTTAATATCCGCCAAGTGTTGAAACAAGGTTTTCTAGCTTCGAAGCTTGTGGCTTGCTCGAGTAGCGTTTTTCTTAGTGTTGACAAGCTAATGCAATGTCACAAGCTCGTTGGTTCGGGGCCGCCCGCTGTCTTTCTCGTGTTGCGCGTACGATAAGAGACGTACGTCGTTGTGGGAGGGTAAGAAGATGGGGAATGGTTGGTAAAGCCGCGTAATGGAATAGAGGAGTCGTCTTGCAGATGCATGACGTAGTCAGTATGAGAGATGGAAAGAGTGCTGCAAGACGAAAGGCAGGTCGGCGATTATCTTGCATGCATTGGCGTTGTCAGTTCCAGGTACCAGAGACTTCGCATTTGACCGCATGGTTTCGAACTTTCACATTTCAGCTCCCAGGGATTAAGCATCTCCTGCCTGCCGCTTATCAGAAAGATGTAGGAAAGTGGAAATGTTTCACGAGACAGGTAGTGGAAAGATGGGTATCAGGGCACCTGTCGGCGGCCAATATCTCATTGTAATTAACTATCTATGCATGCCTAACCATGTGTGTGCATCCCCATGGAACATTATCGCATTGGCAGGATACATGAATCCGATGCCTCATTCATACCCCATCCAATTCGCGCCTTTCCAAGTTTGAAAATTCAAGACCCCACCATTAATGCTGTGTTACTCCGTGTTGCTTTTAAACAAACATGCAACCCAATCGTGACCGGATTGTTGGTATATCGTGAAGAAGGGAAAAAGAGCCAATGCTCTGGTGGTGGAGATGAGACGCTTATGCGAATACAGCGGCACCGATGGCGAAGACAAGTCCACCGAAGGAGACCATGTTGCCGGCGGCAGCACCAGTGGACTCGGGAGCAGAGGCGCTCTCGGTGGAGCTGCCAGCGACACCAGAGGTAGCGGACTCCTCAGATGAGGCGGTGGAGGAGACGGCAGCAGAGCCAGTAGCAGAGGCAGTGGAGTTACCACCGACGATGGGGGTGACCAGGGAGCCGCTGGGGCCAACGGGAGTAGCAGTGGGGACAACTACGACCGAGGTGACGGAAGCAGTCTCAGTGACGGCGACTGTGAAGTTGTTAGCTTCGTACTGATGTACCAGGTTGACAGGATAACTTACGAGTAGAGGTCACGTCAGCAGCGGAGGAGAGGGCAGAGGTGACACCAGCGGGGACGGAGACGTCAGATGGCGATGGGAGAGGGACAGCGGAGCCAACAGCGCTAGTGGCAGGAGGAGCCTGAATCTGACCGTCGGAGATCTGAGAGATGGGCTGGACGCTGTACTGAGGAACAGCGGCGACGGCACCAGCCATGATGGCAACGGAGGCGATGGTGAAACGCATGTTGATGATGTGTTGGTGGTGGTTTGGGGGTTTGGGTATTAGAGGCTTAGAAGTACTTGACTTGAAGATAGCGACTGGATGATCGACTCGTAGATTGGATGAGTTGAGCGGGTGAATCTGTTTGTGCGTTGAGTGGATGAAGAATCAGAACGGAGGCCGCAAGCAGATCTATTTATTTGGCTGGGACAGCAAGGCAACACACACGCAAGGCTTGCGGCTGTTGTGTCGCAATGCGGTGGGGGACCCACTCTTACCCAATGGTGCCCTGTGCATTGTGTACGTGGAAAGGGAGTTATTGGAGAGGCTTTGCGCCCGTGTGTTTCGACGAGAGTAGAACCACCCAGCCCCAGCGCACAGACACGAGGCCAATCTGCGATTGGCAGATGGACAAGCATCGTTCCAAGAATTTCAGCCGCTTTCTTCCAAGTTAACCCACTCGAACCGTTGGGCGAGGCTAGTCCCCTGCTGGAGAGGCTGTCACGCTGCTGAATGCCGCCGAGTTGCTTCGTTTTGATTGCCTGGCTGTCTCTCGCCATCGCACGACAGCGAACATGGACGTATAACCCGCCACCTGAGTGTTGCAGCTCCGGCCACAAGCAACAACCACCTCGAAACACGCAACCAACAGTGAAGACTTTGACTGCCACGCAACCTCTCTCCACTGCAAATCGCTTGTGTGCACCTTATCGCAACGCCAGCAAACGCCTCCCGCCCAGCGGCCGTGCCACTAGCAACCATAGTGCCAGGGGTAGGTCCGTCACTATTCGATCGGCTGAAGCCTGCCCATCACCAATGTAGATCGCTGCCCGGTACAGGTGGCGGCCCTATGCAGCCCTTGGAATATTGTTGGCAACAGCCTGTCTGCGCATCGCTGTCCGGCTGTGTTTCGTCTGTTCGCCTCTCTTTCCTTGCTTCTTACTATCCTTAGCAACAGCACCCAGAATTGTTACCGAACTTCGGCAGCTGGGGTTCTTTTTTTGCATACCCGTCGTCGTGGGCGACGCGTGTCCCTCTTCGTCGTTTCGCTCTTCGCTAACGCGCAATCGATCCATGCCTCTGCAAAAATGTTCCTCTCCTGATGATCCCTTGCTTCAACAGAACGCCACTAACACGAAACCATCGCCGTATCCCCGAAAACCCTAGAATCTGAATGCCGCCCATGCAAGCGCAATATATTGAAACAAACAAAATCCAATCTGTACCTACATAGATAGTACACTCAGACATCGGCGCATGCAAGAAAAAGGTTAAAATGCACGGCCAACCCCAGTCCATTCTCCGGACTTCGCAGCAAGGTCCATGCTCGTAATCTCGTTTCGCATGATTTCTTGCCGCTGCCGTGATAACGATTCACGGGGGAGGAGATCATGACGTCGTTGTCTTCCTTCCCGTCTCGTATCCAACGTTTTGCCCTCACGTTGTCAAACGGTGATGTGGTGCGAATTCGTGGCCGGCGTGATTGCGGGCAGCTCACGATAGAAGGCACTGGAGTGTGTAGCGCTTGTGCCGTACATGTTCGGCGGAAAAGCCGAGAGCTCCAAGAATGTTCCTCCCACCCTGTCTGTCCGACGCTACGACTTGCATCTAGCATGCTGCACTTGCGCAGGTCCGATATGTACAGCTGCAGTACCACACACAACACCCAGACTTTTCTGCGGTTCCCAAGCTGCCCTAGTAGTGCCGCGGCCAAAGTCAACCATCTGTCACCGCAAGAACTGTCCGCGCATCATGGAGAAAAAGCGGGTGGGTGATTGTTGCCCCGGCTACCAACCTTCCCAGCTGCTCCTGCCACCATGGCTGACCGCTGAAACGTCCTGTGTGCCGAAATCTAGGAAAGTTACCGGTAAAGTTCTTTTGACCGCGCCACCAGTTGCAGGTACGCGGCTGCCTTGCTGTGGTGCTCGCTCATTGCGAAACCTCAGGCTGTTGATTAGGTTTGCCCGGGGCTAAGCGATGAGGGCTTCTCTGTTAGCCGGATCAATCAACTGCATACGCCTTTTGTGCATAAGACTGGCGTGCATAATATTATGTACGTATGCTGAACCCGGACAACGCAGCTGCACGTTACTGTCCGTAGTCTGCGAAGCTTAGCTATATCGTATTGCTTTTGACCCAGTTCAACAATACATTGACAAGTCTCAGCAACTCAACAACTCACGACAGGAACAGGAAAGGTCTGGATAGATCAAAGTACTTGTCATAACGATCTTCATTATCTGTGTCATAGTACAGCCTCTGCGTCGAGCGCGAGACAATGAAAACGCCGTTGTAATGCTATAAAGAACGATGTCGCTAACAATTAATTTTTTTACCTAAATATCGACAATGAACATCTGGTTCATAGCTCCACTAGAGCTGTCCATTCTTCTCCCTCGTAATCTCATCCGCCGAGTCGCTTTCCGACGCAGACTTAGGCGCCATCATAGGCTCAGGGCCCTTTGGCGAGCCGGGTGTGGTGCGCTTGAAGTAGTTGTGTACATCAAGGTGGTCGTCCTCGTCAGGGTCAGCACCTTCCCAGCCGTTCTTCTCAGAGAACTTGTGTTGCTGGCGTTCGAGCCACTCTGCGCGCATCTCGGTAATCTTCTGCTCGTAGTCGAGCTTGGCGTCGTAATCCTTGTGCTGGCCACGGAAGCGCTCCCACCAGGACAGGTGCTTCCAGTGGATGGCAATACCGTGGTAGTCGTGCTCTTTGCCCGCTCGAATGTATGCCCAGCGACGCTCTTGCTCCTTGAGATCCAGACCGGTCGTGTCTGGAAGGAAGAGTAGAGTAAGGAGAGCACCAGCAAGACCAAACCAGGGAACAAAGTAGAACTTGGTCTGAGTGTCGATGTAGTTGTACAGGACGGCGGCGAGTAGGGCACCAGCCTTACCGCAAGCAGCACTGAAACCGTGAGCGGTGGCGCGGACCGGTGTAGGGAAGACCTCGGCAGCGACAAGGAAAGTGACACTGTTGGGGCCGAATTGGTTGAAGAACGAGGACAAGAAGTACATAGCTTGGAAACCGTGAATGTTCTCAGGCGACGTGAAGTAGTCCAGAGCGAAACCGGGGATGATGAAGAGAACAAAGTCAGCCAGGAAACCGACGATCATCATCCATTTGCGCCCGTAAAGCTTGTTGTCGATAAGCAAGGAAGCGAGGTAGTAGCCACAAAGCGATACACCGACGTTGATCAAGTTATACAGCCAGCCGGTCATGACAGACTTGTTGCCAGGCGTAATAATGCTGATGAATTCGTTCTGGAAAAGCTTGTTGCCGTAGAAGAAAACGTCGTTGGCAAACCAAGCGCCAGCAGTAGCCAGAAGACGGGGTCCAAAGTATGTAAAGGTAAGTTTCAAAGACTGAATGTCGTAGCCGGTAACGTTCGACTTCTTCTTGGAAAGCGCCAGCTGCCTCGAAGCCGATTTCATCTTGTAGTAACGGAAGTAGACGAGCCAGAGTGTACCGACAGCAGGAATGGCGAAGGAGACACGGTAAGTCCATTGAGCCAAGGTCTTCGAGTACGGGGGGGATGATCCGCCGTGGAAGATGAGGAGCAAGATGATCAGGATGACCTGGTTGAAGAATTGTCCCCAACCTTGCATCAGGAAAGCACTGGTAACTTTCCTGCCACGGTGAAGACGATCGTCCTTGGTAGAGACTTTTCCGGAGCCGACAGCGTTCTCCATACCAGCAGTCGCAGTCATGGGGTACTCGCCTCCAACGCCGATACCGTAGAAGAATAGAGCCCAGACGTAGCAGATGACCCATCCGTTCTGGGTGACACCCCAGGCAGCAGTGAGCATGAGGAGACCGACGAACATGATAACAGCATCTTGGATAAGGCCGAAGCGGCGGCCGAGCCAATCACCAACAATACCAACGAGGATCTGACCAACAATGATACCGCAAATCTCGAGGTAGTCAATAGCCTGTAGCCAGGTTTCATCGCAAATCTCGTGCTTACCCCAGCATGCTGGGAAGGCAGCCTGCAGAAGAGGTCTGACGTTACCAATGGAGAACAGAACGTAACTAGATTCATGTTAGCGAAGAATTGAGCGATGAGATGTTTCGACTTACCCCTCGAGACCAAGACCCATACCAGGGATTACACAGGTTCGGAAGTAGTGACCAAAAGGCGCAAGTGGGTCTTTCTTGAACATGTCCCAGAAGTAGGTTGCTTCAGCTTTCGCTTCAGCTTTGTCGACTTGTCCAATGAATTTGACCCGTTGGCCCAGTGGCATGTCTGCCCAGTAGGTGCCGTTGGCATTGTAAAGGTCGTCGGGGTGAAGCAAGGCATGAAACACATTAGACTCGTTCGCGCTCATGTCGTTACGGATGTCAATGTCCTGAGTAGCTTGGTGCTCGCCGGTCATGTTGGGGCCATGGGGTGCAGCAACACCATAATCCCGGAGGGATGGTGGCGTAGGTTCGTGAGAATTCGCCATAGTAACAACTGTACAACGAGGGCTAGGCCGGACTCGTTGTTATATGCTGATAATGGAATGGCTGGAAAAAGCGTTGCCCAGAGCCGCGGGTCCTAGGCGAAGCTTATATGCGCTTTGATGCTAATCCGAGGCGGCGGATTATCCCACGGATATTACAATCGTTTGATGATGTGGGTTGCGCAAGTAATTCCACGCACAATGCAGAACAGTAGCACGTTCGATAGGGTGGCTTCTGAGTGGTCGATGGGATCTGCAAATCGACGCGATGCCAGATGCTAGTAATAGCCGGGCGGCCCGATGACGAACTTTCCGATATGGTATGCACAGATTGGTGATGGACACACGCCTCGAGCTGCTTGTGGTGCGTTCTTCTGTTCCAAAGGGCTGCCGCAAAAGCCCGGTGCGTAGGAATTGAGGGTCAGAGAGGTAGCCACCCAGGTTCAGCCGAGCGGAAAAGATGAGGCAGAGGCGCACAGGGAGCGCGAACTTGAGTGAACAAAGTTGAGCATTTCGCACAAGCCGACGAGCTACAGGTTATATAAGGGTCCAAGGATGCGAAGAAAATTCTAGTGTACAGACCGTCGCTTCCGGCGGGGGCATAACGTTACTGTGGACGCGAGGATACTAGAGGTTTGAAAGCCCCACCCAGTCTGGAAGGAGCTCACGCGACAGCAAATCCCAGCCTTTTCGGCACAAGCAGCACCCTCTAATTGGGCCGAGAGCGACTGCATCTACTCTACTCCTCGCTCTCTGCCCCGTAGTCGCCAAATCCGAGTTCTTGCGCCGTGGACCTTTCTCCAGATTTATGTCTTTTCAACGTACTATTCGTGATAGCTGATGGAGCTATGACGTTTTTAATAAGCCTTCTAGGGCTTGCACAAGCATACCAAGCTACGATCAAGAGGCATGGCAACAGATCAGTTGCCCAGCCCTGCTACGCCATTGACGCATTCCTGCCGCGTCGCCACTTGTTTGGATGTACGAGGCGATGAAAGGCCTTTGAAGGATGAAGTCTCAAGGAGCCAATCAGAGAGCCCAACAGAGAACGTGGGCGAGGCAATGGATATGGCGGGGTCCGAGAGTCTGGGCCAAGGAGGGACGTGCACGGCTGCTACGGTGCTTAGCCTCATCCATCCTCGTTGATTCTGCCGAGTATCCACACTTCGTCCGCTGCCATCGTCCCATGTCCCCCTCAACACCACCAATAATGCTGCTACGGTGACATGGTGCTCATTATCTCCGAGCATGTCAGACAAACAGGGGCGCTGCTTGCTTGTTGCCGTTCAATAAACACATGTCCGAGGAAATCTCTGCTATGCACTGTTGAAGTGGAACTACAAGTGCAATACTGCCACATCCCGAGCTTCGTCTCCGCTCCTTGGACAATCTCGAACAACTGCCACGATGGCGGTATCGGGAGCATAAAGGGGATACCTTGATCCTGTACGATAAGGCCATCTCTGATCTTGCATTACAAGAACCGAGAAACACGCCTTTGTATCATCGCTCGCTTGATTGCTCTTCATGCCTCGATTTCGCCCACGAGTACTACTCCCTAGGTCTATGTTTGATATCCACTATTTGACCTGACTGAACAAATGGGCCCGGGGGATGTCAGCGGAGAAGCCACGGTAACATCCGACGGCACTGCACGATATCCACACTCCCTCAAATGGACTCGCCGAGCCGCATGTGGACCAAACACATACCATGACTACACTTGAGCCTAGCGGCAGTTTGAGACGCTCACGATTCATAGATTTCACGTGGAGGGGCCAGTGCTGAGTAATTGATATCAGTAAGTGTTAGCTAGGACTATCGAGTCTAGGTATATATATATATATATTTATACAAGAGTGCCATCCAGTGGGTGAGTATTATCAGTGAACTCAATCATGTCGCCGAGAAGGGAAGCCACTTTTTCTTATATGCAACAAAGGTGATAGACATGAGAGGGCGCTGTATCATTCATGCGCAAAAGACCAAACGCTATGCGAAATTCCAGCAATCTGGAGATGTTCATGCAACACAAGGAAAAATAGTCGCTAGAATCCAAAACGGGTGGAGCCTCAACTCAACCAGTTCTGCCATTGGCACCGGCAGCCGCCAGTCCCACCGTCGATGGGTCCGCTGACACTTCCTTGTCCCTGCGTGCCTTTGACAAGGTTGCCTCCGAACCCGCGGTCTTCAAACTGGAATGACTTCTTCGATTCTTCGTCTTTGATTGACCCATCGTCCTCCATCTCGTAGCAATATAGGTTCTTTTTCGCTGGATCGCCGCCGTGACGGTCTATGGTGACGGTAACTGGGTACGGAAAGGTGCCTGGCCGCTTGAATACGTTCGAGTTGTCCGAAGTTGAACGCTGCAACAGTGTCTTGCTTTCTTTGCTGCGAGTCCAGATCTGCACCAGAAAACGTGTCTGTGAGTATGTACACCTCAGTTTGGCAGCGTCCTTTGTACTTCCTCCGTCGACATCTGCAGGGTTGCCGCCACGGTTGGTGCCGTTGATTTGCTTCAAGAAGATTGAACGGTCGAAATAGTTGTAGAAGCCATAGTGCTCATCATCTTTACCGCGATTGTATAATCGTAGTGGCTGCGCAGATGGAAAAGGCAACAAGTTTGCAGGCGCAGCAGTTCCATCAGAAGCCAACATCGGTGGTGGGATCACTGCAGTGATGTTCGTTGGATCGTTCGCATCGGCACGCTTCGTCATTCGCGACACGCTAACGGTGGGATCCTGTATGCTGATGAACAAGCCAGTATCTTCGCCCTCAAAGGGCGCGGAATTTCCGTCTGTAGTTTGTCCTAGGAAACTCATATCGGTAGTTGATGGAGGCGCGGGAGAGGGCGAAGCTGCGGCACGTGCATGCAACAATGACCGAACAAAGGCACCGGCTGAGACTGGATTCATGGCTCTCTTTACGCGTTGAGACTTTGGTAGTTCAGCTGAACTTCCATTTTCGAACGTGATTTCGACTTTGAAGTTCGGCTGGTCGGGTTTGTTGGGCGCGACGGACTGCTGAAGTTCTTTCGGCAGCGCACAGCTCCACAACGTAGTTGGTGCAACACAACCACTTTCTTCCTCTACTGCCTCTGGTTGAGCGATGGTCAAGATACCGGTAGGTATGGGAGGGTAGTCTGTGAGGTTGAGCCACTGGCTACCGACGTCTGCGCTGGGTTGAGTCGGCGTTGGCTTGTTGTCATTGTTGTCGTTTCCCCTCCTCGTAAGTACTACAACTACGGGGATGATGATTGCCAGTAGTATGAAAAAAATCAGACAACAACAGCAACTCCAGAAACAGATACCTCTTTTCTTTTTCTTCTCCTTCTCAGCACCCTGGGGTTTTGAGCTTCTTTTCTTTCCGAACGGCCAAATACTCATCATATCGCAGACTTTGCGGTGCTTCTTTCCCCCTTTGAGGTTGGGAGAAGAAGCTTGTGAGCTGGAACGGCTGACGTTATCGTAGCTCCAGTGCGAGCTTTTTTGGGCGAATTTGGGTGGCGGAGCAAATACTGGCAAGCTCTGCTGCGAGGTGTTGGCATTTGTTGGTGGAGAAGCTCCGCTCTTAACTTGCGGTGCTGGCGCTGACGTGTGCATATGCTGTGAAGGTGGTGGATAATTAGCGCGAACGGAGTAGCTGTCCGCAATTGGCCGCCTATCTTGCAACTCAATGTTGACGTTGATCTGTCGTGGCTCCTCGACCTGACGAGGCATCAAGACGGTTCCAATAGCCGCTGTACCCACAACTGGGGAAGCCGACATGGTAGAAAGAGGGGATGTGATGCCGCGATGAGGGTCAGATGCTGGTTCTGGAGTTGGGTGGAACACCACCTTTTCTGAATCTCTCTGTGATGAAACACTGGAAACTGTAACCGCTGTGTTATCTGGTCCTTTGGAAAGAGGGATCGACTCTTCTCTCTTGCGTGTACCATATTGGAGAGGTACTATCGGCACGTCTGGTGTTCTATCGCCATCACGCCCGGGTTCGGTCCACGTCGACGATTTCGGTGTCATGACGAACGGGGTGGTAATGACATTCCACCATCCTTGTGATCGCCGTGGAGTGGGCACCATGGAAGTATCGATAGCCAAAGAGTTCTCCACAGTCCTCTCTCTTAGAGGTGTCTCATCCTCTTCGAAGACAGTACTGGTGGACATGATACGATCCTTCCTTTTAGAGTCATCGTCTTCCTCAAAGGCAGTCCCTGCTGAATCTAGGGTGTCGTTCCTGGCGTGACCAGTCGCTCCTTGTGTATCTCTGGCAGTATCGGCGCCTGGTGCCTGTGACATACCAGCAGGTAAAGCCGGAACTGGAGGAACGTTGGAGTTCGCAAAGGTCGATTGGTAACGAGAGTAGATGCTGGGTGTGTAATCGGATTCTGTAAAGGGCGTATCTGGAGACCAAACCGACTTTACTGCTGCAGGAGTGATGATAATACTTGGGGTTACAAGAGTAGAGTCACTGCCAGCACGATGCCGACTGGCTTGAAGCGTACTAAAGTCGGAGATGCTGTCAGTCGGGACGGATATTCCAATTGGTATGCGTCGGTCCCAAGGCGAAATCTCCTGCCACGATTTGCTCCCTGGGGTCATGGAAATAGCGGTGTCAGCTTCGCTCCGGTCGATGCTAGGCTTCTTCCGATGTGTAGTGTCTGGTTGAGGTGTACCTTTGGTGATACCCAAGCCCTTGTTCCTGGTCGAAGACCGTCCTAAACCGAACCACGGCGACCTCCGAACAGACCCGGAGCCTCTCTCTGCTCCATGTGGAAACACCTGATGAGGTTCGGTGCCTCTATGCCTTGTGAAACTCGTATCAACAGTGATGCCAGGTTTCGCCGGCCTTCCCAGAAGCTCTCGCCTCCGACTTTTTTGCCTCGAGACGCGTCCTGCAAAGGATCGCGAGTTCTGTCTTGAAGTTACTCGCTGTGAGTCAACGTAGGTCTCGGTGTCGAAGGTTGATCTGTCTAGGTTCCGACTTTCCTCAAAGCCGTCATTGAAGTGTACCGATATCTGTTCGTCTGAATCGGTATGCGGGTCGTGTGCGTATGCTTCGCCATCCGTTTGGTATGCGGTATTAAATGTTGATCTCGAAAACGACGTAAGTGGTGGCTGCTGGCCGTACATGTCTCTCCTAGTGTAATTCATGGTTGACCCTGTCCGTCCGTGTCTTCCGTCCGTGGGCTACCAAGATTGAAGCAGGTGGGGGGACGACACAGCTGTGTCTTCAAAGAAGATCGCCGCGATAATGAATTGTCTCGATATGGGCCTAGTGCTGAAACTGAGACAGTTATGTGGCGGTGCTATTGTTCGTGCTATTGTGTAGATGTGTTGCGGGGCCCGAAATGTATTACGTGACCATAGAAAAACAAATTGAGAAAAACGGCATAAAGCAACAACAAGAACGGAAAAAGAGAGTGATAAAGAGGTACGGAGGACGGTAAAGGCGGATCAAAAGGAGAATGGTGAGGCTCTTGGTCGGACACACGACCCCAGATCTTTACATGGCCGTCGATGGCCCTGCCGCCTACCAGGCAAACCACTGCCATACCGCATAGTGCATAGCTCCTTCACCTAGACTTTTTACTCTAGCCTCTAATCTGCCAGAACCGCCGGCCACGAACGGATGAGTCAAAGCGTGCTGGTCGCAACAGGCCTTGTCAACGGGTCCCGAGTGAAGGTGATTGGAGCCACCAGGTGGATCTGCTTCATATCGAGCGCCATGATTCCAGGCTTGAGGCTCAGTAACCGCCCTGGATTCGCTGGGCTGGAAATGTACAACCCTATGCAAGATCTGAGACGCTCCAGAGGCATAGCTGGATGTCGTGTCTAGTGAATGTTGAGGTGAGCCAGTCAGAGGAGAGGACGACGTAACTCAAGCGCCAAATCAATCAGTGCGGCCACCAATAATTGGACGAGAAAGGCGCTGCCAAGATGGCGCTAGCTTGCGGTCTGTATGCGCCGACAATTCCCCTGTCTACTCTTTGGTGGAAGATTGTATAAATGTCGTTGGAATGCCCTTCCTGATCCTATGAGAAGGGAGTCAGTAATGGCAAGGGCAAACTCACGGAGATTGAGTCAAAGGTGTTTGGTCAAACAGCTGTTTGGTGTTTTGAGTTCCATGTACCACCACTTTGTAGAAGCCGACCTGTAATCACTCACAAAGGCTCTGAGTTGCGCACACTCAGACAGTATAGCATGTAGTGACGTGCTTGTCTCTCTGCGATGTCTATGGCCAGGCGGCCATTGATTGCTCAAGGGTGCACAGTCTGGTCCGCCGAAGCTGCGACCACGCGTTCGCATCTATCCTATTAAGACATCCATAGACATGCAACCACACTGCAATCTGCCTGTGGTAGCTGAGGAACACCAGAAGCTGCATCTGGAGCTGGTAGGCGTACAATAACAACAACAACTCATGACCGCCGTTATCAAAGTCATCCGTATACCTGCTAGCGATGTCGGTTCAGCCATCCGAATACGAAGTATCAATATCACCACACGATGCCACGGCTGTCTATCAGCGCTATGCGTTGTCGTCCAGCCCCCATTGAGCGTCACAAACTCGTACATGGAGCATTCAATACGATAGTGGAATAGTGGAGATGTGAGCCAGCACTAGTTCCACTCCTTTTGGGTCTCTTGGCATAGACCCAAATTGGTTTATCGCCAGCTCCTTTCCGACAACGAAGCCTGACGAGCTGTAGTAGTATATCGTTTCCAGACTCTCGTTTTGCCCATAGCCAATTGAAGAGACGCGGTTTCGACGTTCCACGGCATCCTCCCCGACGCTCCCTTGCGCCCCCAGTGCAACCGCCTTGCTCCTGCCGTTCCAGCTGTCCTCAGTAATATCAGAGCTACCGTCGAACCACGTCGGCAACTGCAGCTGACCGTCTTATCGCCGCGAGCCACACGCCGGCCTCCTTCCTCTTAATCCACGCGGCCCTTTGCACGCCGACAAAGTCACGCTGGCTTCCCAATCCTCCTTCTCCGCTTCCGCTGGCCAACGCAGGAGGCGCTCCTCCGCTGCACGGCAACTGCCGCCGAATAATATCAATCTTCCGGATAGTGCAGAGTCGCGAAGCAGGCTAGGCACAACCAGCGGTCTTCACGGCCGCTCGCTGGGCGAAGCCTTACCCTCGATTCCTGGCACCCCGGGCGCCTTCGAAATGTCAAGATCGCCTTCCCCACAGCCTGGGGGGTGGTCGAGTCCGGGCCTGAATGCTCCAGACTACAATGGCGGGCGCACCCGTCCATATGCGAATGGCTCTTCTTCACACAATGTTACCTGGGCATCCGCTCAAGCGCGGAGTGCTGAGGTCAAGGGATATCCCGCCTTCACCCCGAGAAACCAAGGTTTCTTTGGCAAGCACTTTCGCAGGATATCTACAAGCCTGCCCTTCAACCACGGCGACAAGGAGAAGCTAGGTCGCGGACGGCCCCAAAACAAAGTCATGCGCTTCCTGAATGCCATAGCCTGGACAGTATGGCGTCTGCGGAAGCGAGTCGCGTTGGTCTTGTTCGTTGTATTCTTCTTCATTTTCTACAATTCAAACACACGTAAGTTGTTATGCTCTCTGATTCCTCGTATGGCAACGGGTATTGACAACTGTAGCCTTACGTCGCATGTACAGACGGTCCGCATGGTTCGGCGGCGGCAGCAAATATGTCGTCATACTCGCAGCGAACCAAGGTGGAGGTGTTATGGAATGGAAGGGCCCCCGCGAGTGGGCCATCGAACGTGACAGTGTCAAGAACAAGAAGAAGTACACCAAGAACTGGGGCTACGAATTGGAAATTGTCGACATGAGCACCAAGAAGCGTTATGCGCACGAATGGAGAGAAAGCTGGGAGAAGGTTGACACCATTCGCAACGCTATGCGGAAATACCCACATGCTGAATGGTAAGTGTTCGGTGCATGTCATGTCCGCAAAGCTAACGTGCGTCAGGTTCTGGTGGCTTGACACAAACACCTTCATCATGGAGCCGACCTACTCTCTCCAAAAGCACGTCTTCAAACAACTACAAGACGTGACATATCGCGACATCAACGTATACAATCCCCTCAACATCACACATCCTCTGACCGACGAATACCTCGACCCCGAAACACGCTCGCCCGTGGGAGATGGCAAGGTCGACTCTGTCAACATGTTGCTACCTCAGGACTGTGGTGGTTTCAACTTGGGCTCCTTCATGGTCAAACGAAGCGTGTGGACCGACAGACTGCTTGACATCTGGTGGGATCCTGTTGGCTACGAACAAAAGCACATGGAGTGGGAGCACAAAGAGCAGGATGCTTTTGAATACATGTACCAGAACCAGCCCTGGATTAGGCCCCATGTTGCCTTCATTCAGCAGCGCCAGATTATGAGTTTCCCACCAGGCGCATGTGGCGAGAACGGCGACAACCCCGACATTCACTACCAAGAACAAGATCGTGACTTTTTGGTCAACATGGCTGGCTGCGAGTGGGGTCGCGACTGCTGGGCTGAGATGTACAAGTACCGCCAACTCAGCAACCACCTGAACCGTACACCTTGGGAGAAATTCAAAGACGGTATTTCAGACTTTTTCAAGAGTAGGACTAAGAAAGACGAGAAGAAGGATGAGAAGAAGAAGAACTAGGGCATTCATGAACTAAGGGGAGGCATGGTTTAGATGAACTGGAACGTATTTCTGACATATTTTGGATATCCTATAAGCTTGCGGTTCGGCTTATGATTTTGTTATAATACCCGCACGCAGTAGAGGGGGATGTACCGCAACGTGAGGTGACATGATTTCTGCATGGATCGGAGTCGGTGTTCTGTGCCTGTACCATACGAAATTGACTTTCGGTGAGCTGGTATCGAGACGGACGATGTGCTTGCATTTTTATTCGTAGGAGTACTACTATTGTTGCAAGGTCCCCCCAGTTGTCTACACTAAGCATGTGAGATACTACAGACTTTAGTGGCAGTCTGCATGATCAGGAAGAGGCAGATCAAGCCGATGGTGGTGAGCCAGGATGTAAGGTATCTGGGGATGCGGTATCTCTTGTAAAAGGCCCATTTTCCCTTTCCATCCCCACCAAGAACGAGAAGAACAAAACATACGTGGCGCAGCTCGACTCGCTTGACATGCTGGATAATGACGTGATAGATGGCGTGTTGTAAACAAGCCTCGAGGTAAGTGGAGTAATACTGTATCTGAACGAGCATTCGTATGATCCTGCGTCGTACGGATAGACAATGGTACGCGACCATGTCTTGCAGACGGCAGACCACAAGGTAGATAAGCTCAGAAGATACATGCGCATGTCTTGTACAAGGGCAGGTGAGCACGTCTAGACTCGCCAGCCTCAGACAGAAAGGGAGTGAGCGAGGCCTGATTCGTCCATTTCCCACACCTATCGCCAATGGTCATACGCCAGTGAGTACACGGGACACGGGGCCAGGAACGAACATTCGTCTACTTTCCTCATCTGCAACCCCGAGACAGCCTTCTTACACCAACTTGTCTGTCTTCCTCCTCCATTTCTCGCTTTCGGTCGTGTTCCTTCGTACCCCGCCCAGAGCGACAACCCCGATCTGCGCTTCTCTCCCTTCCCCAGAAACGTCATCACGCCTAGACCCTGGCCGTGCGCAAGTTGGGGAGCCAGTCTACATAGCGTCAGCTCGCTCGCGGCCTTAGTCTTATCTCCAACTGCGACTCGCAGCGACCCAGCGACAGGATCGGGTCGGCTTTCAGTTCCACTTCCTGTTTCTGGGCGCCGATAAGCTGTTTCAGAGCTGCGCTGGTCTTTCTTGCTTCCATCAGGATTCTCCAGCATCGCCAGTCCAAACAAAGAACCGAAGTCGGAACGGCCCTTGGGCTCCACTTGAGCGCATACTCCCCACGTCCGGTCAACCTAGGGTCCGAAGATATAAGGACTATCGCCGAAGGTCCAAGATTGCAGCGCTCTTGTCACGACTCGAGTTTCTGAGGTCAGGGTGCGATGCATGATCATCGTCCACCGCGAGCAGGCAGACAAACTATAGGAGCCGAAGATACGCACCATCAGGACCAAGCCATGCCTCCGTCGCGCCATATCGCTTCGTCCTCGAGGCAGCGCTCAGAAGGTATGATCCATCCCGTTTTCTACTCACATGCATCTGTCTATTGAGTATGAGCTTACGTAGCTTACAGAGTCATGGATCGATCTTGCATCGGCGCCTTCTTCAACCTCCCTATCGTCTGCGACCGACGAGATCATCACAACAGGACTCACGGTACAGCACGACTCCAACGCGCACAGGCGGCAGAACAGACGCTCACGAGGTGGCGGTCAGTTCTCCATAGGAACTGGGCACAGGGTCACGGCAGGAGGCAATAGTAGCCAGGAGGAGTATGAAGAGAGTGAAAGCGAGTCGGATAGGGTCATGACATCTTCCAACGAGGCCATCGGCCCATCACCTCTGAGACATCCACAGTCTGTTGCATCTTCAGAGACTATGTCTGAGAGGGAGGAGGACGACGACGATGAGAATGCGACGGCCGTCAACTATCCTCGTTCCTCGAGGCGAGAGTTTCAGCCACGACCGAACGCCTTTTCACACCCGAACAACCAACAAGCCATCCGATCGCAGTCTGGCACTTTGTACACGCCTCGCAGGAACGTGAGGCCAGCAGGACAACGACAGCACTCGTACCCACAGCATCATCCTTACAATGCCATCGCCCCCAATTATCAGCCCGATCATGATGAGGCCCTCCGTGCTAGCCTGTCTACTTTGCTCTCCGCTGCCGCTGCTGTGCGAGGTCTTCCGAAGCCGGGTCAACCACGCGCGAACCCTCCCTCATCCACTCGGGTCGATCCGAGCTCCCTACGCATGGTCCCAGAATCTGTAGCGCTGGGCAACATATCCGAGGAGACGGCATCGTCTCCATGCAGTACTAGCAGCAGTCCTTCAGAGAAGCCCAAGCGCAAAGTGAGTCCGCCGGTAGCTGGTGTGCGTAGCAGTAGCAAAGACCGCCGCATTGCCAAGAAAGCACGCAAGACAAGCCCGATGATGATCGAGGAGATCAGTCCGACCCTGCTTACTTGGGTAGTTAGCGCCGGCGTCGTGGTCCTTGTCAGTGCCATCGGCTTCTCGGCTGGTTATGTCGTGGGCAAGGAGGCAGGCCATGCTGAGGCTATGGGTCAGATCGGTGCAGCAGGTTCCGAGGCCGGACGCTGTGGTAAAGAAGCAGCTGCAGGCATCAAAGGCACTGGCCTAGGTCTGCGGAAGCTACGATGGGGTTCTGGAGCGGGTATTCGCGTCTAAACAACTTACGATGACAACGGTCACGATGATATGCATAGTTTTTGGCGAACACAAATTTGCAAGTATTGGGGCGTTATATCTCATTGCATATTGATATCACCCGGCATGGCGTTGGTTTGGCGCTGCTCGGTCTGAACTTTACTATATTTAGGGGTCGTGGCTACGACGCCTTGGAAAGTGATAGGTTAGTTGGTGCTATTGAACGCACATGCAATGTAGCAGTCATGTTGGTCTGCTAGGTACAGACGCATATATAGACTCAATCAATCCGTTTATTCTTGTAGTATGGTATCATTGTTGATCTGAGGTCGAGTACTCCATCCACACTCTGGAAGACGATGCCGGAGAAAGGTTCCCAGTAGAGTATCAATCGTCTGCGAGATGAGAACGAGCTTTGATAAGAGCGCGAAGGACTATCCAACGGCGCGATACTTTCACAACACATAATAAGACACAACATTTGCAAGCGCCAGCGGAATAGAGTAGAACTATACGTATACTTGAGTACCTAGCCACATGAGCGGTAAACTTTTCAAGCAAACTGAAAGTAAAAGGAAGTGACCCTACTCCGCCGACCTACCGATACAGTTGGTCATGAGCTGGAAACGCTATACACATGAGAACATAATCTTCATCCTGATCCTTCCTTTCCTAGATCTTGACCCGACCTGACCCTACATTTGGGTATATCTCCTGTAATGAATACTTCTTTTCTCGGCAAGATACCGAACCCTATCCAATAGATTACACTCGTCTACAATGGCCGACCGCCAACGAAGTCGCTCCATGACCTGACTTCACTGGGGATACCTTCCTTCTTGGGCAGCTTCTCGCTCATACATTGGGCGAACAGAACGGCAGTCTACGTTGACGTTAGCTTTTCAAATCATTGACGACGGGTTTCGTCGACTCACCTTGGGTTCCATGAATAGCGGTACACCAAAGTCGACTGCGTTCCTCCTCATTACGTAGTCCTCGTCGAACAGACCGCTCGCCCTGTACTTGGCCAAGTTGAAGCAGCCACGGATGTCGTTCTTCTCGAACACCTCACGGAGTTTCCTCTTGTCATCCTTAGGGAACTCAATGACCTCAACACTAATACCTTCGGTGTTCTTCTCCAGAAGTTCCTTTACGTCCTTGTTGGCAGCAAGGAATCTGTAGCCCAGTGCGTGTACGTACTTGGCGATCTGAATCAGAGAGTTGGAGTGGAGCGAACCAGGTGTGACATCACCACCGAAAAGAAGACCCTCACCAGGCTGGGGAAGGCGGAAGTTCATCTGTGACTGCGCGGAAGCCCAGTAGGCCTCAATGAGGTCCTTACCGAAGCAGGCCATTTCACCAGTGGATGACATCTCAACGCCAAGGTAGGGGTCAGCACCCGCCAGCCTGGTCCAGGAGAATTGGGGAACCTTGGTGGCGAGGTAGTTCCTCTCGACGCTCATAAGGTCAGTTGGTTCAGGCACGTCGCGACCAACGAGGGCCTTAGTGGCAACTTCTATGAAGTTGGTACCAAGGACCTTGCTGACGAAGGGGAAGGATCGAGAGGCACGTAGGTTGCACTCAATGACCTTGAGGTTGGGCTCAGAGCCCTCAACCTCCTCCTTGATGATCTGCATGTTGAAGGGACCAGTGATGTTCCAAGCCTTGGCGACCTTGTCCGCGATCTCCTTGACACGCTCTTGGATGCGCTTGTCGAGGTTGACAGGGGGAAGCACCAAGGTCGCGTCTCCGGAGTGAACACCGGCGTTCTCGACGTGCTCACTGACAGCGTGGACAAGAACGTTTCCGTTGGAAGCAACAGCGTCGCAGTCGATCTCTTGGGCGCCGTCGATGAACTGAGTGATGACGACTGGGTGGTCGGGCGAGACGTTGGAAGCAGCAAGAAGCTTCTCCTTCAGCTCATCCTCACCGCGGATGACAGTCATGGCAGCACCTGACAGGACATACGATGGGCGAACAAGAACTGGGTAGCCAACAGAGTTTGCGAACTTCTTCGCATCCTCGTATGAGGTAAGCTCCTTCCAGGCGGGCTGGTCAACACCGATTGAATCCAAGATAGAAGAGAACTTGTGGCGATCTTCGGCCTTGTCAATGTCGTGAGGATCAGTTCCAAGGACCTTGGCCTTTCCAGACTCTTGAAGCTTAAGAGCAATGTTCTGAGGAAGTTGACCACCGACAGAAACAACAACTCCGCTAGCAGTCTCCAACTCGTAGATATCCATGACACGCTCGTAGCTAAGCTCCTCGAAGTACAGCTTGTCGGCAACGTCGAAGTCGGTCTGAACACATGTTAGTCAAGATTCAGTGGAGGCATTGATGCTACTTACAGAGTATGTCTCAGGGTTGTAGTTGATCATGACAGTCTTCTTTCCGAGGGCGTTGAGGGAGCGGGTAGCGTTGACAGCACACCAATCGAATTCGACTGAGCTTCCGATCCTGTAAACACCGCTTCCAAGGACAAGAACGCCATGGTCGTCGAAGGTGACGTCGTGAGACGAGGCGTTGTAGGTTGTCTAAGACTATATGTTAGCGACTACAAGGGAGCGAAAAGAGATTACCACAATGGCAATGAAAGGCCCTGGAGGTTGTCGCAGGTCTCGGGATTTTAAACCTCGATTCCGCGAGAGCTCTCAGGCCTTGCAGAACCACCGTAAAGAAGAATATACTCACGTAAAGATAGTTAGTGTCCGCAGGGAACTCAGCAGCCAGAGTATCGATCTTCTTGACCCATGGCTTAATACCAAAGCTCTTCCTGCGTGCGCGGACCTCGTCTTCAGTGCTGTTGACAGCCTTAGCGATCTGCTTGTCAGAGAAACCGAGCTTCTTGGCCTTGAGGATAATCTCCTTCTTGAGTCCGAACAAGCTGCCTATCTCCTCAAGCTCATGTGTGAGGTCGACGATGTTCTGAAGCTTGTGCAAGAACCACTTGTCAATCTTGGTCAAATCATGAACCCTGTCGACAGTGTAGCCTTCGTGGAACAGCGCCTGACCAACGGCAAGCCATCGGCGATCGGTGGGGTTCTTGAGTTCCTCGTCAAGGTTCTCTCCGTACTTCTCGCCCTGGAACCCAAGGTACTTGGGGTCGACTTGACGGCAAGCCTTCTGGAATGACTCCTCGAACGTGCGACCGATGGCCATAACCTCACCGACTGACTTCATGGAACTGCCGATGTCGCGCTTGACGTTCTGGAACTTGCTAAGATCCCATCGAGGCATCTTGGTGACGACATAATCCAAAGAGGGTTCAAAGTTTGCAGTGGTGGTCTTAGTGACGGCGTTGGGCAGCTCGGGGAGGGTGTGTCCGAGACCGATCTTTGCTGCAGTGTACGCCAGAGGGTATCCAGTTGCCTTGGATGCCAATGCAGATGAACGAGAGAGACGGGCGTTGACTTCGATGACCCTGTAGTCGAGGCCATCAGGCTGTAGGCAGTATTGCACATTGCACTCGCCAACGACTCCCAAATGACGGACGATCTTGATGGACGCAGATCGGAGCATGTGGTATTCCTCGTCGCTGAATGTCTGACTTGGCGAGACAACGATACTGTCACCAGTGTGTACACCAAGAGGATCGAAGTTCTCCATGTTGCAGACTGTGATGCAGTTGTCGCTGGCGTCACGGACGACCTCATACTCGGCCTCCTTCCAGCCCTTGAGAGACTTCTCAACCAAGATTTGAGGTGACAGTGTGAGCGAACGGGCTGACAGATTCTTCAGCTCCTCCGGGTTGTTTGCGAAACCTGAACCGAGACCACCGAGCGCATACGCGGCGCGAACGATGATAGGGTATCCGACCTTCTCGGCCGCGTCGAGTGCTTCGTCGACAGTGGAAACAGCAATTGACTTGGCGATGGGAATGTTGATCTCATCAAGAGCGCGCGCGAAGAGATCACGGTCCTCACTGGTCTTCAGAGTCTGAACGCTAGTTCCGAGCACCTTGACACCATACTTCTCGAAAATGCCCTTGGCATCCATTTGTACACCCAAGTTCAGCGCAGTCTGTCCACCGAAGCTGAGGAAAATGCCATCAGGCTTCTCCTTCTGAATGACATATTCGGCGTATTCGGGTGTTACAGGCAGGTAGTAAATCTCGTCGGCGAGCACGTGGGACGTTTGGATGGTAGCAATATTGGGGTTGAGAAGGACGGACTTGACGCCAGCTTCCTTGAGGGCCTTGAGTGCTTGTGAACCTGATGAATGGTGAGTATGGCACAAATTTACGTGGGCACGAGTGCTTACCTGAGTAGTCAAACTCTCCGGCTTGACCAATGCTGAGACCACCACTACCAATGACTAGGACTTTCTTGACATCAACAAGGTCCTGCGCGCCTGAAATGACGCCGCTCTTCAAGTATGCCTCTGCATTGGGTGCGGTCTGTGTCTTGTTAAATGCGGACGCGACCTTTGTGAATGCCCGCAGCTGTCGGAGAGCGGCAGGTGACTCAGTGCTGGAGCGGAGCGAAGTCAACGGCCGAGCACTTCGGGTTGTGAAACTTCGAGAGTATGTGGAAGATGCAATAGAGCGAGTATGACCTGTAAGGGAAGGTACGCGACGTGCTAGACGCCCGCAGAGAGCCATTTGCAGGCAGTCAAGCAATTGGAGAGCGTCGAGCGCGACAAAAGATGGAGATGGAGGATGAGGCGTCGAACGCGCGGGAAGAAGGTCGCTCGGTGGCCGACAGGTGCAATTGAAGGGCTATAGCTCGACCCAGTTGAGCAGAGCACGAATGACTCCCTCAGGGTTTATGTATAATCTGTGGGGAAGCTGTGATGCGGCAGCCAAAAAATTCCAATGATGCGCGACGGGCCAATCAAGCTATCTCCGATAACGCACAGATAAGACCGTCGGCGATCCTTGAAGACGCGATGGATGAAGGGTAGTATCCAGTCATTTGCATTTACTTTCGCTCTTATACAATGCATTTCTCAAGATTTGACTCACGCAAGACGTGCGATCTAGTCATGGGTAGGTCCGATGCAGTTGCAACATTCACAGTTGTTTCCAGCTCGTCGTGGAGAACATCGATGCGGAGGACCGATTACGGCGCCGAAACTCAGATCCCCAGCATCTGACACAAATGAGAAGAAATTTTGACATGGTCGCGCAGAGCTTTCTCAATGGGTACAGTCACACGGGAGCTAACTATTGCATCTGTGCGCTGCGGGTACCAGGGCATTACTACTTTCAGTACCATGTGCACCTTTTTAGTAGTCATAAATCCCTTTGAGGACTCGCAACATGAATCGCGACTCTCACATATACACATTCGGTCGAAGAGCCAGTCGACGACCTGTATACGGGAGGATGCTTGCTTTGCAGTCACTATATTCAAGTACCCCGAAGATGCCAATAATCATAAATGCCAATACGCTAATTCGCTTTGTGGGGTCTTCGGACCGTTGGTGACTCTTCATAGCTTGGACCGGCACGATGAACAAGGCTGGCGCTTTCCTGCCTCGATCGCAGCACTTGTCTGCTTCTGCACATGAGCAGCGGTCTGGCAGCTCCCCTCGCCGAACTTCTTCATCCAGCCTTCTTTGCCTTATCCGCTGCGTTATGTCGATTTTTGTATTCGCGTGGGCTCTCCAGTGTCTTACTGCTTGTGCCTACCAACCTTTGTGTAAAGCTCGGCTTCGCCCACATCCCAACTTGGCTCTCACGAGCCTTCTTCTCCGCAGCGCGATATTTTTCTTCAGCAGTACCAAATTCGGCACCTGTTTTGGCCTCGTATACTGTAGCCAGACCAGCCTTCAACATCTCCAGCCCCACATCTTTCTTGAAGAACCATCTGCGTACAAAGACTTGGGCTACTATACGATCGTACTGGTCGCGTCTGTATATGTATGCGCGTACTCGGCGGGTGTGGATCAAATTGATGAGCCATTCATGGGCCTCCTTCGCGAACGGCTGAGCTTCTCGACCCCAGTGTGCAAGTTCTGGTGCGTCGACTCCAGCAATCCGGATGTGAAGCTGGGCATAAAGTCAGCCATTAATTGGGTGCAATATTTCCACCACAACGCCTAGTGTCTTCTTATTCTAGAGTACTTACTGTTTGCCTGACCAAGTCTTCTCTTTTCGTTGGTACTTTCTTCCAGGGCAGGATACCCCACCCAGCTATTCTCCCACCTGGCGTGTGGAACAGCCTGAAATTGTCTGCATCTCCTACACTTGTGACCTGGCCAAATATACCCTTCCGACGGTAGTAGCGTGGTTTGATATGGTTGACGGTTGGTATGCGACGCAAATAAGTCTTGTAGAGCCGGACACCAGCAACTGTTGAGACTGTAAGAGCGACAGCCGGAATCAAAGTCCGTGGCTCATACAGCGTGCTTGACCAATTGTCCAACTTCGCTGGAGGGGCCCATTGAGGCAGTCCGCTTTTCTGTTGGTCATCGTCGTTGCGTGACCAAGGCCATCGCATTGTCTATTGTGCGAGGTCGTGAGTTGAAAAAGTGAAGTCAAAAGACGGTGTGCTCCAATGTTGGCAATCGGCGCGACACAATCGCCTCGGCATACGAAGTGTTCCAGGTTAGCGTCGACAAAACGTACCACGTGATTATCATAGGTTATCTAGGGTTTCATAATCTTGTCTCACGACTCTGAACGACTTGGAGGGCAAATGTACATTCGATATTTTTGTAATGACTTATACGTTTTTCAGTAAGCTTGGAGAATGACAAGTATTCAAGGTCCAGAGTGCTCAGCAAGCATTTAAACAAGAGCTGCAAAACTGTGGCGTACCACTGTAGACGCATACTCCCCTCTAAGCATAGATGCTTACTCTAATATTGTATGTTCTAAATCACTAGAGAGACAGTCAGGAGTTGTGATAGGAAGGTCCAACTGCCCTGACTTGTTGTGGAGCGCCTATCGTCGGCCTCGAAGTATGCCATCCGTGTTAGAAACCATCGCGATCCATATGACACCCTTCTGGGTGTGCATTGGTCGACACATAGATCTACAAACAAGCAGATAGCGTCTTCGATGGTATCTTTGTAGCCTATAGCGCGCTGAAGAGCGTTGAAATGTGATATTGAAAAGTCGAAGGATAGCGACTCGAATAGACGGTGTAGATGTTGAGTATCGGATGATACGTGCGATGCAGTCGCATTTCCGACTTCAGATTGGGAGAGGCTTGCGCAGGAGTTTATGCAGATAGATGGCTTCTGAGATCCTGTGTCTTTATCAGTCCTGATCTAACCAAAGTGATACATGCATATCGAAGATGAACCTACCGTGTACCACTATCCGTCCTCATGTGTCTTTCTGTCGGCTGCACGGTTCGCTGCGGCAGATGAACCTTACCTCACAACGCGCAATATGATGAACGAAGATATGTGCTACACAATCGAGAGCCCAAAGCCATGCTACGAGACTGCCGACGCAGCAAGAGGAGAGAATGCGTATGCCTCGCACGACGCACAGACCCACATGGAAGGCCTTTGAGATGGAGACGTGGGTGGTCTCGAGCTGGTCATCGCAATGGGTTGTAGTACTGCTCGCTTCCGTAAGAGCGGGGTCGGCTTGCAGATGTCGGCGCTTCCTAGATGCCAAGCTACACATTAACAATAAGATCTTTGTACGCGTCCGCCATCGCCATGATGGATGGAAGATGGATGCTCAGACGTGGTCGGGAGGGGGATGAAGTCAGGAACGACGGGGTTAGCTTAGACGGAGTTTGCCTAGGCGGGTATGGTGCGTTTCTTTTCGTGCTTCGACCTCCACAAGTCTGGGCATCAGTCTATCGTCTACCTGCACCCTGCCACCCCCATCGCTACAACTTCAACCGAACCTCTCATGCTTTCGCAACAAATTTCACTCGTTATACATACTGACAATCTTAGTGGAATTGTGGCCGACTACTGACTGCGGCCTGTAGCCGCTTCCTTGTCAGGTGCCTCCCATCTTCCCTCACCACATCTCCATCAACATGTTCAACATCGAATCCACAGCCGATCCTACCGCACTCGATGACGGAACCTACCTCTTCGACCAAACTCACGATGATCTCCTATCGATGCCAATGTCCAATGATAGTATACATCTGAAAGGCGGCATCACACCTATACCTGGGTTTAGTAACTTGGGCTACGGCCGGGAATCGAGTGCATCGTCCGTGCACTACGGCGATTCTCACGATACATCGGAACTGGGTACAAGTCACGAGGGAGAAGGGTCTACCCCAAGCGCTTTCGTTATTGGATATGGGACCAACTATACTCCTTCGCCACTGCAAAAACCATTCACACCAAACTCAGCCATCAACGGCATGACTAATACCCAGGACAAACAAATGTCGCATCTGAACGACGACAATTCGCATGCGATTCCTGACGGAAACGACGCGAAACCCCATCTATCATTAAAGAATCATCGAGGGGATGCTGCATTCATGGCGAGAACACCACAAAGCCTGAGTCGCGCATCACAATCATCTTCAACTCCTGAGCTCCCACAGCCGCACGAGCAACAGAAGAAGCATCGGAGAACGAATTCGCTCCCGGTAAAAGGGAAAGTCAACGAGATGAAGGCAAATTCAAGCATACCTGCAGAGCTCTCGTGGCCGGAGTTTGGCCGACAGTGCATTCTCGCAGCGGAGAACAGCCGGCTGAATCCGTTCACCTTACATCCCGCTGAGTACAAGCTGTTACGAGAACATGTAACCCACGCCCAGGTCACCATTTATCTGAACATCAGGAATGCGATACTTCGGCTATGGCATCGTAATCCTCTGGTGTATGTTTCTCTCGAAGAAGCTGCGGGATGCGCCCGCGACAAGCGCCATTTCGGTCTAGCGAGGGTAGCACACCTATGGCTTATGCGGAACGGCTATATCAACTTCGGATGTGCTGAAGTACCTGACACTACCGGTACACTCCCAAAATCGAAGGCCAAAGTCGCACGCAGACGTTCAATCATTGTGGTCGGTGCGGGTATGTCAGGATTAGGATGCGCTCGCCATCTGGAAGGATTGTTCGCCCAGCTAGGTGATCAGTTAACAGAAACGGGCGAACTCCCACCGAAGATCACCATACTCGAAGCTCGTCCGCGTGTTGGTGGCCGGGTTTACTCGCATCCTTTTCTCAATCAACTTAGCTCGACCCTCCCTCCTGGACATCGTTGTACAGCTGAGATGGGCGCCCAGATCGTCACCGGATTCGAGCACGGCAACCCGTTGAACGCGATCATCCGAGGTCAGCTCGGTATACCCTACCATGGCCTCCGCGATAACACCATACTATACGACTACGATGGTACGGTGGTGGAGAGAAGCCAGGACATTCTGGTGGAGAAGCTGTACAATGATGTCTTGGAAAGGGCGGCAGTGTATCGGAACAAACCAGCAGCTCATAGGACAGTGGAGGGTGATCGTAATTTGATGGCCTTTGGTCGTGAGCCAGCCGATGTCGACGGGCCTACTGTTGCTGAGCTAGAACATTCTGATGCTCCTTTGGCCGCGAATGCTACGAGCACAGCGTCAACGAAGCAAGAAAAACCAACAACGGGGGTAGAGAAGCTAGCGGGCAGGGCATATCAGCTCAGTGCAGGCTTCAACCCGGATGTTACGGCAGCTGAAACTGTCCAAAGTATGGGTTGGGAGCTCAAAGCGGGTGCATCGAAGATGCAGTCTTTAGATCTCGATACGATTGCGAGAGCATCCGAGTATCCCACACTTGGACAGACAATGGACGAAGGTCTCCTTCAGTATCAATCACTGGTTGACCTCAAGCCCAGAGACATGCGTTTGTTGAGTTGGCATCACGCCAATCTCGAATATGCGAATGCTGTCAGCGTCAACCAGCTTAGTTTAAGCGGCTGGGATCAGGATATTGGCAATGAATTTGAGGGCGAACATAGTGAAGTAATAGGAGGCTACCAACAAGTCCCGCGCGGTCTATGGCAATGTCCCAATCGATTGGATGTCCGCTTTAGCACCCCCATCAAAGCCGTTCATTACAATACCGACGAACAGCATAAAGGCAAAGCTGTTAGAATTGAGTGCGCAAACGGCGAGTCTTATGAGGCCGACCAGGTCGTTCTGACCACCCCTCTGGGAGTGCTGAAGTCTGGATCGATCAAGTTCGAACCTCCTCTCCCTGACTGGAAGCAGGACGTTATCGAACGAATGGGTTTTGGTCTCCTCAACAAGGTCAGTTCAACTGTTCAGTCATTGCTGCCCCTTCTGACAATATACGTAGATTGTTCTGGTGTACGAAAAAGCCTTCTGGGAGCCAGACCGAGACATGTTCGGCCTGCTCAACAAAGCAGAAGACGAAGCCAGCATGCAACCCGAAGACTACTCTGCCAAACGTGGACGGTTCTATCTCTTCTGGAACTGTATAAAGACGAGCGGAAAGCCAGTGCTGATAGCGCTAATGGCAGGCGACGCTGCTCACTACGCCGAAGCGACATCGAACGATCAGCTCGTCAAAGAGGTTACGGACCGGCTCGATGCGATGTTCGCACCGAACCACGTTCCCCTGCCGTCAGAAGCGATTGTAACGCGGTGGAAGAGAGACCCATTTGCTCGAGGCAGTTACTCATATGTTGGGCCAAAGACACAGGCAGGCGACTACGATGTGATGGCGCGGCCACATGGCCCACTGCACTTTGCGGGTGAAGCGACTTGTGGCACACATCCCGCAACGGTGCACGGCGCGTACCTATCAGGCCTCCGGGTCGCTGCAGAGGTTGCTGAGATAATTTTGGGGCCCATCAAGATACCAAGTCCACTCGTTGAGAAGAAGGTGATCAAAGTAGAACAATCTCCAGCGACACCCAGCATAGAAACGAAGCGCCGATTCGAGCCCGCCGTTACAACATCAACACCAAGAGAGGACAAATCTGGGCGGGTACAACGCGACGAAGACTACGAAGCTGCTATCATAGGGGCTATTCTAGACCAAATTGGTGAACGTCCGATCAAGCCAGGACGTACAGGTGTCAACCCGTTCCTACTGTTCACCAAAGACTTCTGGTACATCTGCAAGCAGGAGTGCGATGATGCTCACAAAGCGAGGACAGGCAACCCCGAGGCCAAAGCACCGAAACAGGAGATTCGTAATGCAGTTGGCTTGAGGTGGCGCACAGCAGAGCAAGAAGTCAAACAGCCGTACCTGGACCAAGCCAGTACTGCACTAGACGATGCGACGGCGAGCACAGCAGACTTCAAAGAACGCGTAGATACGTGGGACAAGGAAGCTGCACGCATACGGCGCGAATACATTCAGGCCAACCCGCCAGAGGGTGGCAACGAAGAGCTCATTCTCAACAGTCGCACGGCCATTGAGCTGGGGGCTGGCAAGCGACTGCGGAGATTATGAGGCTGCTGTTGTGGCGACGTTCTTTTGTTGCATTCATTCATGTGTTATATCTGTATGCTGGGCGCCATATCCCCGGTGTTTGTGTAGTTTTTTTTCTCTATGGTTTGCATGGAAGCTGCGATGGAGTTCGGGTAAAAGGGTGAATGAGAAGTCGCGTGGCTATTTGCAGCGGCAGGCGCACACGAACACATACCCGCCCTCCGAGGCTTTTCTGTAGAGCGATGGCGTCTCGCGGATGTCTGCTTTCTGTAGTATGTCTCGGACAGTAATACAAGTCTAGTGGATAATGTCACGCGTGACTTGGGCCTTGCCCAGCGCTACTTGGGACACACTCTCGTCCGGACCCACCACGCTGACGCGCTGTCCGAGATGCAAGCCGCATGCGGGGGATGTGTGCCGTGCGTGCAGCGTAATACGGGAAGGTGGCCGCTGGTCGAGAGGGGCTTGAGATTTGGAAGCCAGCAAATGTGAGGTGGAGCTGGCGGGCAACAGAAGAGATTTGCTGGCGGGCAGCAGCTGTCGTGGTGCTCTGGACTCGCACAGTGCATGTCACAACCACAATACGGGAAGACGCTAGAAGACGTTCGTCCGTTCTCCAATGGCGATCTCTACGAAGGCCGCCAACAAGCGCCACGGTTGCTTGCCAGTCTTGTTCTAGAAGCGCGGCGCATGACTGGTGGGAGTTTAGCCTCGCCGCAGCAGCATGCATGGCGGTTGAGCGTGTTGTTGCTCGCCAGGCACCGGGCTGGCTGGGCACAGAGTCGGGAAGCGTGTGCTGCTCAGCATGGCCGCCGGATCATGGAATGGCGAGTGTTGTTCTATGCATGTTCTTCGGTATAGAGCCCCACCAGGCGGGCAACACAATTCGCCAGCAATGGATGGAACCTGTGGCTTCGGCGCGTTAGTCCCGAGCGGTTCCTCGTTGGCGGGGTCGCGTGTGCCAGGTCGTGGGGATCTCTCGGCCTCTCTCATGGGGCCTCTAGTCGCGTTAGCTATCCCAAACAGCAAAGCCTCGCCTCGCCTTGGTCCGCTCCGGCTCTGCTTCCCCAACGTGCCAGCCTTCCAAGCCGCTGTTGCGTGAATTGCTGCATCCTTCACTCCTCCAAGCTCGCAAAGGCCTCCATGTTGCCCTTCGCTCCTGACATCTCTCTGGGCCCGCACCCAGCACCTGCTTCCCTGACACGTTCCCACGACCGTGCCCCCGTCGCCTGAAGTGCCGTCGCATTAGTCCTCCTCCATCGTCTGCACCCCACCCTTCCCTGCTTGCGCACTACACCCCAGCCATGAGTTCCTTTTTCAGTCGCATCAAGTCTGGTGCTGTAAGTCCCCAAGAGCGACCCAGAGTCGCGCGCGCCCGTCGCCAATGGCTGCCACTGACACGTCTGTCCACAGCCACCCTTGAGCCCAGCGACCGGCAGCATACCCATCAAGAAGGACCCCAACGCGCCCGAGGTCACGCCGCTCGAGAAGCTGCTCCTCAATGCCGGCCCTCTGCGCGGCGACGGCAGCGACAAGTTCTTCGGCTTCGAGAATGTAAGTCCGCCTGCCTGATGCCGCACTCGTCAAAGTCCGCCTGCTGACCACGCCCTGCTATAGTTTGGAAGCACGTGGTATGCATCCGCCTCGCCCACTCCCGCTTCAACCCATGCTGACTGACTGTCTGCCCACCAGCTACTGCAACTCCATAGTACAGTGTCTCTACTACTCGGTACCCTTCCGAGAACAGGTCATCAACTTCCCCGCCCGCTCGCCCCCAGAAGCCCTCGAGAGGCCCTCATCAGGCCTGCCCAGACTCAATACAAACCTCCAAAATGGCCAGACTTCAGCCCTCTCCCCCACGGGCCGCACATCGCTCTCCAGCCCAAATGCGAGAAGTCCCGCAAAGCCTGCAACCACTCCAGGCGCCACCAACCAGCCTCCAGGCACCAAGCCCGAGGACAACAAGGACTCGCCCGAGTACAAGAAGAAGCAGGCCTTGGCCGCTGGCCCTGTGCTACAGATGGACTACGAGAACGCAAACGCATATGGCATGAACGAATCGCTGTTTTCATCACTAAAAGACATATTCGAAGCTGTAATAGCACACAGGTCGCGCATAGGCGTAGTCAGCCCACACAAGCTTCTGGAGATACTGCGGCGAGACAATGAGATGTTCCGGACGCCCATGCACCAGGACGCACACGAGTTCCTCAACTTGCTGCTCAACGAAGTTGTAGAGAACGTTGAGCATTATTCCAAGACCCGCCCAGCTCAGGTCGAGGACGTAACTGAGAACGAGGAGACAATGACCGACGGCGAAGTTGTGACCGCGCGAAACTCAGTGGCCTCTGCAAAGTCGAATTCCGGATGGGTACATGAACTGTTCGAAGGCACATTAACATCCGAGACACGATGTCTCACATGCGAAAATACCTCGCAGCGAGACGAGGCATTCCTGGACCTCTCTGTCGATCTGGAACAGCATTCTTCCGTGACGAGCTGTTTGCGCAAGTTCTCAGAAGAAGAGATGTTATGTGAGCGGAACAAATTCCATTGCGACAACTGCGGAGGCCTGCAAGAGGCGGAGAAGAGGATGAAGATTAAGCGGTTACCCAAGATTCTTGCTTTACATCTCAAGCGCTTCAAGTACACGGAGGATCTCCAGCGACTGCAGAAGCTCTTCCATCGCGTTGTGTATCCCTTTTACCTCCGGCTGTTCAACACCACCGACGATGCAGAAGACCCAGATAGGCTATACGAGCTTTATGCAGTAGTGGTCCACATAGGAGGTGGTCCCTATCATGGTCACTACGTATCCATCATCAAGACACAAGATCGAGGCTGGTTACTCTTTGACGATGAAATGGTTGAGCCGGTTGACAAGGCCTATGTCAGGAACTTCTTTGGTGGAGAGAATGTCTTGGCTTGCGCCTATGTCTTGTTCTACCAAGAGACAACAGAAGAAGCCATGATGAAGGAGCAAGAAGCCGACGCCCTAGCCGCAGCAGAGCAAGCCGCCAAAATGACACAGGAAGAAGTCACAACACCGAGAGCGAATGGTGCCAACGGTCAGGCATATCATGCTTTCAATAACGCAACGACACCTACATTGGAAGAGGCCGACAAATTCGCGAGCCTCGATCACGCAGCTACCGCTCCGCCACTTGCCCACGTTGAAACGAACACCGACCATCACCCAGTCGAACATACCACAACACAAGTACCTGTCCTCGGTGCGCGGAAAAGTAACCTTGGGCTCTTTGGTAAAGGCAAAGAAGAGAAGGAGCGCAAGGCTCAAGAAAAGGAGCTTGAGAAGCAAGCGAAGCAAAAACGCAAAGAGATGGAAATCCAACGACGCGAAAACTACCGCAAACAAGAAGACGAACTTCGTGCAGCACTCGAAGCTAGCAAAGCATCAGCGGTGGAAGAGGAGAAGAAACGCGTTGCGAGTGGCGAGGTGCCACCTCCCACAACTGCTGGTGCGGGAGGCGACAAAGAGAAAGCGGCGAACGGTTTTGGAAGCGTCAAGGGTATGAGCGGATTGAGTCGTTTTAGGCATACCTCGATGAGTCTCAAAGGCAAACCCAAGTTCTGGGGTAAGGACAAGCAAGACGACGAGCCCAATCCGCCCGATACACCGACCACAGACACGGACAAGGACGGCAAGAACCGTTTCAGCTTAGGAAGGAAGAAGAGCACGTTCAAATTCTAGGAAAACTTGCCGCCGTAGAACAGGATGTTGTTATATTGCAAGATGCGGATCCGAGTATCAGTCTTGGATTGTCAAACAGGGTGGCTTTTGAAGCTTGTCCTTCCGACAGAGTGAAAACTGGAGGAACAGTCTTCCTACCGAAGCGTTGGAGATGCATGTACGTTGCATGGTTATTCCTTTCTTTCCTCAAGGCTTGACGATGGCGTTGTAATTACTACCCTCAAGGATGGGTGGTGTGTTGTACATATCAACTTCGGATATTCGTTGTTATAGCGTACTCGTTTAGCTTAGCAGAACTGCGAGTTTGACAGAATAGTGAATTGTACAGCTTCTCAATGGATCGCGGCCATCTCTCAGCTTCGGGCTATTATATTGAGTTCCCTTTGAAGTCAGCTTAACTCTCACGTTCACATTCAGTTCATCCTGCGTATGGGCCCTTGGGGCAGTTGATGAAAAGGTTTGTTCAGGATTACATTTGGATAGATGACCATGCTGATCCGTATCGAAAGAAGACAAGTCTGTACCTGCTTTTGGCAGACTAGACTGGAAAGTTGAAACGCAGACAACGTTCCGCAGTAAACTAAATGCTCTCAGTGCCCCTTTATAAACGCCCGCTACTACGATCTTCATCGCAACGCACTGTACTCTTACACCACGCATCGACGACACCTGTTCTACCAAGGTCTCTTCTATGAAAACTTCCACCGATTACCACAGTTCATGCACTCGCAAAAGGTCGTCATCGGTTCGTCAGCAGACCTGGTCTGCGCTTGACTATAGCTGACCATCTTTTGTTTGCATTTTCCGCACTGGAACTCCTTGGAAATGGCCTTTTCGACCTGTGCAACCATGGCCTGATTCATGTTGATCTGTTCCAGCTTCTCGTCTTCTGCTCGTCGCGCGTCCGACTTCATCTCGTCGTGTGTCATGACGACGAACTTTTCTGCGGGCACCTCGCCAGCGAGTACACGCTTGCGAAGCTGGGGATTCGATTTGCTCTTGAGATTCTGGAAGAGCGAGCGCATCTTGCCCTTGTAAGTGTCGTTTACACTACCAGCCTTGGCGTAAGCAGCGACTTCGATTTGCTTTGCGACGCTGAGAATCTCGTCGGGCACTGGGCATGTCAGTCATGTACAAGGGAGTTGGTAAGTTGCTACTTACTCGCTTCACTCATGAAGGCCAGACCGTCGTACATCAGCCTAACGCAGTTGTCGCGCGCCTCATTTCCAGTCACCTGGTACTTGACCTTGTCTGTCTTGTGATTGCGCTTGTCGGCGGGTACATCATGCTTCTTCTTGGCCAGATTTGGTGCCGGAGACGCGGTTCCTGAGGGTGGAGGAGCGGGGGAAGAGGCTGCACCTCCATTCGCGGCTGCCTTTGCCGGACCGTCCTTCTTGAGGGGCTGCTTCTTTTTGACCTCATCCCTCCACTTTGCTACCAATTCTGTCGCGAGCTTTTGTACTGCGGGGTCCTTGTGAGTTCGCAGACGGTTGATAGTGACACCGATCCGTGTTGAGCGCAAGAGGTCCTCGGTCGCGTGCACACCCGTCTTCAGGTCATTAAGCAGCTTCAGCACAGAAGCGCTGGGCTCGCCCTCAGATACAGCCTTTCCGATGGCCTTGCCACGGAGCTCGATCTCTTTGGCGTCCATTGCCATGGTCCAGGCAGTGCTTGTCAAGGTGTAGGGTATCCTGGGCGCGGAGTCGCTGGTGCCTAGGGCAGTCTGTCGCTGTCACGAAGGCAAGTTCTTCCTGGATTGATGTTGCGACTGAGAAGGTCGGGAGGTCGGCGCGGGGTGCTTAGGCGCGTCAGAAGCAGGTATACGCGACGTTGGGGCACGGCAGTGGTTCGGCGACGGTAGGGGAGACGTCGAGGCAGGCAGGCGGCAGGAGGCAAGGAAGCGTGGTGCGATGGCTTGTTTGATTGCCATCTAGAAGTTGCCTTTGCTCGGAGAGGCCCGAGCTCACAGCCGCTAGCCTCCGCCTTCACCAAGGGAAACTGCAACCGTTAACTTGGGAACTGCCAGACTAAAGACCGGCGACGACTGCTGCTGCTACTGCTACTACCGCGCCAACTCGTGCCTCTGGTACTACCGACACAAACACACACACCCGACGAATCGCCATGGCCGAAAACGCGGCCCCAGGAAGCGCAAACAACGCGGGCGCAGACAGCTCGCGCGGCATGCCCTACTACGAGAGGCTACGACGCGACTTGCGCGAATCGCTGAACAAGAAGCGCCTGATCGATAACAACCTGGTCAGTACTGCACGCGATGCGTCGTGAGTCTCTGTGAGCCTCTGTGTTGACTCTCATGGCAGCTACAACTCGAAGATAACATCTTGCGAGTCGAGACACAGTATCTCGAAGAGACGAGCGCCGGGAACATCATCAAGGGCTTCGATAACTATATCAAGGGCGCAGCAACCACCACGACAGCAGGGGGAGCAGGTACTGCCACCAGGCGCAAGGCTCCCATCAGTGATGCGGACCGCATCTTCAGCCGGAGCTCTACAAGCTTCTTGAGGGTATGTCGAGGAATACCAGGCCGGCTTGCCAATCGCTAGAGATAAGATGCTGACTGCTCTACAGGAATCGTCGACGCCGGGCTCTGCGACGCCATCGCACGCTCCCACGCCAACTTCTTCCTTCCCTACGCGCGAGTCGAGTCAACCTACAAACGGCGCGAGACCAGGAGGCAGTAAGAAGAAGAAGGCAGCCGACGATGATGATGAGGACAGCAACAAGACGAAGCGACAGAAGATCTCCTACGGCCGCGAGTGAGAATCCGTCCCGAGACTCCGACACCGCTTGCTTCAAAAGCGGCGGAATACAAAGATCCTGAAATTACAGAGCATTACCAAGGTATCTTGAGGCGAGTAATTCGCTCAAGGTACGATTGCGCGTCCTTATGGGTCCCGAGACACAAAATCTAACAGACCTACCAACAAAATAGGAAGGCACAAAGGAGTCGGTTAGACACCCGAAGCTGCGCGTGTTCAACTTGTGGGTACCTTACAACAGGCACGGGAGAGGTGAAACCGCTGTAGATCGGACTTGTGAACGCGGGGTTGGTTCAATCTCGATATGAGACCCACTTAATAGAGGATAATGTACTACACCACCACCGAAGGGCGACAACGCATCTGTGCTGACTAGCCGGCGTTCGTGGTGGAGATTGCTCGATGCTTGACTTGTTGCTTGCTTCGAGTAGTCGGAGGAGTGGTGGTGGAGTGCTGCTTGGCGTCCTGTTACGCGCAAGCCACGTCCGCAATCTGCTGGCGGCTTCATCTCAGCGAAGCGGAATTCATGCTTGAGGAGGGTTAGTATAGTGGATCAACAAGTACAATGCAAGAATGCAAGTCCCGCTCGTGGCATCCAAAGATTGCGAAGGATTCGTGGCAATCTGGAAATAAACGAAGCGAACTACTTCTTCCCGCGCTTCTTTGCTGTACATTGCGGCTACTGTACCATAAAAATGAAGTCTCATGGTCACATTGCACATTTACAACCCTTGCCATGAATCGTAGCAGAGACCCTTCTTTTTGTGGGAAAAATGTTATAACAAGGGTATTAATGCATATTACTCCAAGGCTCATCTGGTTGTATTCGAGAAGGCGCAGGGACGGCCAGGATTGAGATTGTGATGCCAACCACGGTCGGTTAATCTGAGACGATGGCGGAGAACAAAGACGCAGGCGGTGCATGCTGGCAGGCTGTGGACTTCGCATCCTGGGATATCATGGTATGCAGAACTATAACCCAACGACACAAGTCCGCTTGTGCTAAGACATCCCGCCCTCGCTTCATGGGCTTGTCGGTCTATGCGACTGCTTGAAGATGCGATCGGCGGGGCTTAGTACGGTAGAGCGAAAAGGGCTTCTCCTTTGCGAGACAACGGCCAAAATGCAACACTGGCTTGCATGATGGCTTGCAATTCCGTGTGGTGGCCACAAAGTTTCAAAGACCGAAATAGAGGAGCCGGAGCGGGTGGCAAAAAGACAGCTGTTTAGGAAGCTGGCGGAAGTGCTTAATGCTGAGTGGTGCTTCGGCGGTACTGCAAGCTAAATTACAGCTTTCTCCGGGCACCAACAGACTGCGCGCGGAAGCCAACAACAAGCGCAACAGAGTCAAGCAGTTTTGCCTCATCACGTTCTCGTAACGCGATATGTTGCCTTGCGTTTCGCGTTGCTGTAAGTCGTCGCGTCCTTATGACGATCTTTTCTCAAAAAAAATGGTACGAGTATACAGCCGTCAGGCACGCTACGATCTCATCTCAGGCTCTTTTCGGTCCTTCTCCAGTGTGTGACCCACTCGAACAAGCGACGTCCGTGATTGGTAGCCCTTCGAGTAGCAGAGAAATAACAAGTCCCGCAGCCGACACGACGCAGAAAGAAAGCCCGACGTCAGCACACACAGGCACTTGTGCGTTTTCGAGTGAAACATAATGACATCGTTGCGCCCCGCTCAGCCTCGTACGCACAACTCGGAATTTGCAACAGGGGCAACCTGGAGGCCGGAGCCAGTGGGTGTGAAGCAAATGATAGCAGAGAACCAAAGCTTGAGGCGGCCCAAAGGTGCAGCGGGAGACATCCCACTCGCTGAGGTAAGACAAATTTCAGGGTCCGGCGGCGGCTAGCAAGGGCATGACGCTCCATGACGGGTGCCAAGTCTCAGCCCTTGTCGTAAGCCGACCGCTCACGGGACGCCAGATGATGGCATTGCGGAGACAAGGTCGTGACTATGTCGCGTTGGTCAAACCCAGGACCGAGGCATCTCCAATGACGAACGGAGACAGCCCCTTGGGGCCGAATCAGAGAGGGACTGCCGTCACTATGTCAGCTGGAGGGAGGAAATTGAGATAGAGAAACAGAAACTGGTGTGCATGAGATAAAACAAGGGTCTTTGATTCTGCCGCGCTCCTATCCACAATATGGAAGGGTGCGTCATTTTCTCCCGCTGCCTGTACTCGACGACTCAATGTCGTATCCAAAGCCATCCTATTCTGGCTTGTGCCCCATCTCCGGGTGGCACCTATGCGCGCGCGCTTCAAACTACTACTGTACAAAACGTCATTGTGCTCACCACCTGTGCCTCGACTCTATGTCGGGAAGGTGGTGGCTAAAAGAGAGTCTAAAATATTAAAGGGTATAAGCGAATGGTGATGACAACATGCTCCGTATCGACTACGGGTTGAAGCCCTGTCGAGCGATGTTGAAAGATTAAATAAGCAATTGTGGGCGGGTGAAAACCAGGCCCAGGTGAGACAAACGCGTAATGTTACATGGTGGGAAATCGCTCGGAAACGGAATACTCGTAATTCGGAACACCAGAACGCCGTGGTGGCCCCTCAATTCGATGAGCGGGCCAGGTGGTATCTCAGTAAAAACCGTGGTGTGTAGCGATGGGTAGAAGAGGAACAGCTGTCTCAACTTGTTGTCGTTGGGTCTATAGTCGTGACTAAGAAACGCGCGACAGTGGTATCTCAAAATATGCAATGTACTGGAGACATGCGACAGGCCGGTTGGGACGTGTACCGGACAAGCAAAGCACTAGACACAACTGGGGTGTTGATCTTCTAATGATCGACACTTTCCGGTGAGGGATGATCGATACTGCCGTCGTTCTTGTGAACCTTTCGGTGCCTCCTCAGGTTGGAGACGACAGAGAAGTGCCGGCCGCAGCCATCAACTTCACACGCGAAGGCTGTTACAATGTTAGTACTGAAAAGTATGATGTGCGCGGAATGACTTACGCTTCTCGCCGGTATGGCTGTACATGTGTGTTTGTAGCGAACTTGGTCGTGTGAAACGCTTGTCGCAGATCTTGCACTTGTGCTTCTTTTGCGAGCTGGAAGACACCTTTGAGCTGAACTGGCTCATCATTGAAGCGGGCGCTGGAGGCATGTTTGCTCCTAGAAGCGCGTTGGGGCGAGGCAGAGTGCGCGAGTTGCTCAGGTCAACAGACTCGGAGGCAGAGCTGTAATCTGTCACAGAGCCATCACCACCGTAGTATCCGTTAGGGCCATAGCTGCCTGACGAGATTGACGAGTGTGTCGAGTGTGCTGAGGGGAAACCGTATGAATCGGTCGAGCTGCGGCTAGTTCCTTGAGAGCCATAGATATTCCTTGGGGTAATGTCTGACTGGCTCAGGGAGACCATACCACGGCTCGCGTCAAGCGCGTCGCTAAAGCTGTTGCGCGGTTGCTGTGTGTTCATTCTGTTAAAGTCAACAAGTGAACTTTGGCGTTGTCGTTGGGCCGCGCTTTCTACGGACTCGTAGAAGGCTATTGAGGGGACTGACGGGTGTGAAGAGCGGCGGGAAGCATCCTGTTGGTATGCGTACGGGCTCCGTTCTGTGTTGCCATATTCCACCTGAGAGTAGGGCGCTGAAGTTGGAGCATATGTTTGATTTGGAGGTGACCCAGAAGTAGTGTAACCGGTTGGGTACCGCGACATGAGATCTTCAGAGGCATCAAGTAAGTTTTGTGTTCCGAAAGTGCCATCCGGGAGAGTAATACCTTGTCCCATGGGAGGAGCTGTGACCGGCAGACCGTGGTACGGGATGGCAATGCTGGTAGGCCGCTGCGCGTCGACATTGGGTGCAACGGTGGTCTGGTACAGTTGCTGCTGCGAGGCACCAGTAGACACCCACGGG